AAAATGGCTGAAAATTGCAGAAATCGCAAAAATTGCAAAAATTCCTGAAAATTGCAAAAATCGCAAAAATTCCTGAAAATTGCAAAAATCGCAAAAATTCCTGAAAATAGCAAAAATTGCAAAAATTCATGAAAATTGCAAAAATCGCAAAAATTCATGAAAATTGCAAAAATCACTAAAATTCCTGAAAATTGCAAAAATCGCAAAAATCCTGAAAATTGCAAAAATCGCAAAAATGACTGAAAATTGCAAAAATCGCAAAAATGACTGAAAATTATAAAAATCGCAAAAATGCCTGAAAATTGCAAAAATCGCAAAAATTCTTGAAAATTGCAAAAATTCCTGAAAATTGCAAAAATCGCAAAAATTCCTGAAAATTGCAAAAATTCCTGAAAATTGCAAAAATCGCAAAAATTCCTGAAAATAGCAAAAATTGCAAAAATTCATGAAAATTGCAAAAATCGCAAAAATTCTTGAAAATTGCAAAAATCGCAAAAATTCCTGAAAATTGCAAAAATCGCAAAAATTCCTGAAAATTGCAAAAATCGCAAAAATCCTGAAAATTGCAAAAATCGCAAAAATGACTGAAAATTGCAAAAATCGCAAAAATGACTGAAAATTGCAAAAATCGCAAAAATGCCTGAAAATTGCAAAAATCGCAAAAATTCTTGAAAATTGCAAAAATTCCTGAAAATTGCAAAAATCGCAAAAATTCCTGAAAATTGCAAAAATTCCTGAAAATTGCAAAAATCGCAAAAATGCCTGAAAATTGCAAAAATCGCAAAAATTCCTGAAAATTGCAAAAATTCCTGAAAATTGCAAAAATCACTAAAATTCCTGAAAATTGCAAAAATCGCAAAAATTCCTGAAAATTGAAAAAATCGCAAAAATTCCTGAAAATTGCAAAAATCGCAAAAATTCCTGAAAATTGCAAAAATCACTAAAATTCCTGAAAATTGCAAAAATCGCAAAAATTCCTGAAAATTGCAATAATCGCAAAAATTCCTGAAAATTGCAAAAATCGCAAAAATGACTGAAAATTGCAAAAATCGCAAAAATGACTGAAAATTGCAAAAATCGCAAAAATTCTTGAAAATTGCGAAAATTCCTGAAAATTGCAAAAATCGCAAAAATTCCTGAAAATTGCAAAAATCGCAAAAATTCCTGAAAATTGCAAAAATCGCAAAAATTCCTGAAAATTGCAAAAATCACTAAAATTCCTGAAAATTGCAAAAATCGCAAAAATTCCTGAAAATTGCAATTTTCAGGAATTTTTTCGATTTTTGCAATTTTCAGGAATTTTTGCAATTTTCAGGTATTTTTGCGATTTTTGTAATTTTCAGGAATTTTAGCAATTTTCAGGAATTTTTGCAATGTTTAGTAATTTTTGCAATTTTCAGGAATTTTTGCGATTTTTGCAATTTTCAGGAATTTCTGCGATTTTTGCAATTTTCAGGAATTTTTGCGATTTTTGCAATTTTCAGGAATTTTTGCGATTTTTGCAATTTTCAGGTATTTTTGCGATTTTTGTAATGTTCAGGCATTTTTGCGATTTTTGCAATTCTCAGGAATTTTTGCAATTTTCAGGAATTTTTGCAATTATCAGGAATTTTTGTGATTTTTGCAATTTTCAGGCATTTTTGCGATTTTTGCAATTTTCAGGAATATTTGCGATTTTTGCAATTTTCAGGAATATTTGCGATTTTTGCAATTTTCAGGAATTTTTGCAATTTTTAGGAATTTTTGCAATTTTCAGGAATTTTTGCGATTTTTGCAATTTTCAGGAATTTTCGCGATTTTTGCAATTTTCAGGAAATTTTGCAATTTTTGCAATTTTCAGGAATTTTTGTAACCTTTCTTGGGAAAATTGTTAAAAGTGCATCCCCAAAACTTGGTATTTTTTTTCGGGCCAGGAGCTATTTAACTTCTAGTCAGCTGCTTATGATCTATAAGGTACAGATCCGACCTGTCCTGGAATACTGTTCTCATATTCAGAGTGCAGCACCCCAACATACCCCGGAAACTGTTGGATTCTGTCCAAAAGGGCAATTCGTCTCGTGGGTGATGTCTCGCTCACGAACTCACTCACTTCTCTGGAACACCGTAGAAAAGTGGGCGATCTGGCTCAATTTTATAGATATCATCATGGACGATGCTCTTCTGAAATCTCCCTTGGCAGTCCCCGCGCGAGATTAACCCGTCGAATTGAGGCTTCGCAACTCTTCGTGGTCACTTTGGAGACCTGCAGAACATCTCTTTCCAAAGACTCGTCCATCCAACGAACAGCGAGGCTCTGGAACACATTGCCAAGGGAGGTGCTCCCCGAGGCATATAACCTCCAGAAATTTGAGAAGAACACCAATTCCTACCTTATTTCCCTTGGTTCTCACGATGTTCTCTGAACATTACAGGATATCCCTTGAGCATCCACATGCTGTTGGGCTATACAGGCTAAATAAAGATCTAGTTGGCCAGAGGATGCAGGACGCATGAATATTTAATAGCAAACATTTGCGCAGCGAGTGGGTGGATTCCATGGCACGCCTCGATGTTTAGAGCGACACATTGTGAGGATAAATTAACTGGCTATTCAAATTTCAAAGGGAAGGTAGGTCCTTTAGTGAGAAAGGGCATGAGAAGCACCTCTCTCGCCAGACGAAGGGTTCTTTCAGATCAAGATAGCTCTTTTTATCTCTTGGAGCTCACGAAAGGGAATCCCTATAATGTTCGGAGAACATCATGTGTACTTAAGGAGGATAGGTATTGTATTGAAAAGGAATATTGTCAGATATAATTATGAACATAAAAACATTGATATATATATATATAAAGAAATACACTGTTTGAGTTTTTTTTTATTATTTTGTTTTTGTTTTTCTCAGTAAGTGTGGAAAACCTGTTAACTATAAATAGTCTCTTCTTTTTTTTTCCTCCTAAATCTGTTGTATATATATTTCAAAATGACTGTACCAATACAATGTAAATTGTCTAATGGAAATGAAGAATGCACATAATATTATTCTGAATATTCAACAGAAAACAACAACATGTTTGGGCGCTGAACCCCATACATCAGAACAATATTCTGAAACTGGCCGTATCTGTGCTTTGTAGATCATGAGAAGCTGTTGAGGTGTAAAATAGATGTACGCACGGAATAAAACTCCGAGTTTTTGTTAAGCAGCTTTCGCGATGGATCTGACGTGATTTCCCCATGAAAGAGTATTGCTGATGGAAATACCGAGCACAGATATAGTCGAGGATGTAGTGAACTTGCTGGGAATGGTGGTACCAGACATTGGTATATCAGGCATACAGAGCTCTACCCGTATAGAAAAATGTCAGGCTTCAGTTTTGGTTGCGTTGAATTCAACTATATTTTCTAAATAGTACTAAAGTATCGTTAATCTATGACTGAAGTCTATCGACTTACAGCCCTACCACATAAGATTAAACCAAAATCTTTATACCTTTCTGTACCTGATGGTAATAATAATAATATATACTTTATTCAATTAGTTTTTATTGGAAAAATAGAATCCTTATGGTAGATTCACTGAACTACAGTAATTTCTGAATTGAAATTGATTGGTTGTCTGTTGTCTGAGTCTGAACATCCACAAGAGCGATCTGTTGTAACTTTCATTGATAAAAACGGTTCATCAATTTAATTAATCCAGATTCTTGATAAACCTGCAGACATTCAATTACGTTTTGACCGCAACTATTATATAAAATCCGATGAGAAATCTGTCTAATCGATTTCCTGTTTCCTGTAGTTGGAAATTTTATTTCTTTGATGAAGATTCTTTCAATAACCATTAAATAAAAGTTATGTTGTATTCAACTGATTATTTCAAAATACAGGATCTTCCTCAAAACTATGGATACTAAATCATTAATTCTTGAAAAGGAATAGGTATTCCCAGATATAACTAACAAGCGATAAAAAAAATACATTGAGAATTCGCATTCTCTATGTGATGGAAATATCAATTCTTTCTCGGTTTATTCAACAGAATACAACTATTTTCCTGGAATATGCCACGACCAACATTGAATTACATCTATTGAGCATACACGATAAAAATTTGAAAATAAAATCTTCTGAAGTAGAGAATTTGCATTCTCCTTCATATAAAGATATGCACATAATATCATTCTGAATATTCAACAAAAAAACAACTACTCTCCTGGCTATTTGCTACGTCGAACATTGAATTTTATCTGTTGAATATCCGAAAAGAGAGCATGAAAAATCAAAATCCTCTGAAATTGAGAATTGTCATTGTCTCTCAAATCGAATAGATATGATGCATTATGATATAAAAATAACTTACCAATATGTTCAGCATTGAAATGATGTTCAACAGATATAATTCAATTTTCGACGTGGCAAATAGCCAGAGAAGTAGTTGTTTTCTGTTGAATATTCAGAATGATATTATGTGCATATCTTTATATGAAGGAGAATGCAAATTCTCTACTTCAGAAGATTTTGTTTTCGAATTCTTATCGTGTATGTTCAATAGATGTAATTCAATGTTCGTCGTGGCATATAGCCAGGAAAGTAGTTGTTTCCTGTTGAATAAACCGAGAAAGAATTGATATATTCATCACATAGAGAATGTGAATGCTCAATGTATTTCATAGTGATATCTGAGAATATTCCTATTCAATACTTTTACCCAATCAAGGGGTTCAAACTTGAACGATGGAAACTTGTTATTTTTATAGACCTCAATCTCAGATTCGTGAAGAAAAAAATCAATAATTCTTCTCTAGATATGCAATAATTTACTGAAATATCTCAATTTTCATCTAGAGGTTGTCTCGAGGGTTGTCTATTAATGAAAAAGAGCAGCATTGAATTCAACACACTGCATCTCAAAAACAATGCAAGTTATAACATACACCTGTACACACATATTTTTACTTAAAAATGGTCCATGAATCTCTCAACCATTAGGTTTGACTTTGACTTTTGAATGTTTTTGTTTCAGACTGATCCAAACACGGCATTTTTGAGGGCAGCTAGAGCAGGGCAGCTGGACAAAATTCAGGAATATCTTGATTCTGGAACAGTTCGGGACATCAACACTTCGAATGCCGTGAGTTGTTAACAAGAATTTTTCACCAAATTGAAAAATACACATGATTTCCTCTAAAATTGCCTTGTGCCGACCCTGTTTCATCACAACGGAGCTATAAAGATATTGAAAACAAATCAGTTACCACAAGCATTTTTCGACATTGTTTAATAATTGTATGCATAACATTTCCTTTGAATTCCACCCCACCACACGAACTGAAACGAATTTCAATAGGTAGGGTCTGGTTCTCGAACAACTGATAACAATTCTTCATAGTTGGCATTCTTCGATCTTTTTACGAGGGTCATGTCATGATATTTTATTCAAACAGTATTCGATCTGAGAGGCCATACCTTTCTGTAACGATAAGAAAAATATACAGGCTGTTTGATTTTCCATGGCTGCCTTTAATGGTATCCGAGGATTAATGCTTATGGCTTCTGCTGTCTATAAAGGGTGATTCAAAAAGTTCCTATTGATAAGGGTCCGAAAATGCTTCGTAAGGGATCCACGCCCCTTTGAATTGGACACCTCAAAGATGATTTTTTCTCAAAAACTTTGAAATCCTTCACAATAAATCTTCGAAAATTGGTGTACGGTATAAACATTTGATGGCAAATGAGACTCTGAATTCAAAATTGAAAAACCTTTATTTAGGGGCGTTACAAGCGGGGGAGAGTGAGTGTAAAAACATCCCTTCTTCTTTTGATATTCAGGTTATTGTGATTTCGTTTGAAAATTTTAGTGTTTTTCACGTAAAAAAGGTTCTCTTAGTTCATTTCGATAGAGCACAATAACTTGAATATCAAAAGAAGAAGGGGAGTTTTCACACTTACCCTTCCCCCCATGTGACGCACCTGAGAAAAATTTTGAAATTTTGAATCCAGAGTCTTATTTACCATCAAATGTTTATGCCGTACATCAATTTTCGAAAAATTTATTGGGAAGGATTTTAAAGTTATAGAGAAAAAATCGTCGTTGAGGTGTCCTATTCAAAGGGGCGTAGCTTCCTTAGGAAGCATTTTCGGACCTTTATTTAGGAACTTTTTGACTTATTTTCATGCAAGCAATAAGCCTCTGGAAGGATGCCGCTTACTTTTGAATCACCCTGTATAGAATAGAAGTTGTTCTCGGCTATAGAAATATAAAAGTGAAATTGAACACCGAGTAGTGTCTGATGACTCACTTTCAGTTCCTAAGAGTTAAACTTCAACTTAAATTTTCGGAATCTCCATAATCGAACATCCAAAATAATCACACTTGGGCTTTGTATAGGGCGTCCGTCGAATTCAGTAGTCGATTGTTGGGGTTGCCATTAAAAAATACCGAAGACGTCATTTCTTCTAGACGAATCATTCTGTATCAAATTTTTTTAATTTCTTTTATAATTTTAAATTTTTACGAATTTATCACTACCTACTTCATCAGAGCACTGAATTCAACAAACGCACTATGTATGATATGATATATTTTTGAATTTAGCTTCCAATGGAGATTCGAAATATTAAATAATATACAGGGTTGTGCAAAAGTATGGAACCAGGTGAATATCTCGGTAACCGTTCGTTAGATTTTTTTGGATATATGTACAGGGTGAATATATTATGATAGGTATACCTAAATATACTTTTTTCCATATTTCTGAAAGAGCTAACACTTCCTTAAGTCCTGCGCATATATCATGAAACACACACCCTGTATAAATCTCCATGAACGCCTGCTCCTTCATTCGCGAATAAAAACCTCGCAACCCTCGTAAGCGTTGCTATAATCAGTGCTGAGTGCTACTCAAGCCAGTCGGTGTCGGTATTCGATTTGCGAGCACATTACCTCCGAATTCATTTCCGATGCCTATCCGAGCCACATTGATTTCGGTGAAATTCCAGAACGGCCTCAACGCCCTCCATCTCGCCTCCAAGGACGGCCACATCGACATCGTGAGGGAGCTGCTCAAGAGGGGCGCAGTCGTCGATGCAGCCACCAAAAAGGGCAACACCTCGTTGCACATCGCCTCGCTCGGTAAGTCAATTATAAGGGGTATCTTCTTAAAGCGCCGGCCGTAGGACGTTTAGCTACCACCTCAACGAAGCACAAAAAGTCTGGTGTTCACTGCATTGGAAGCACATTGGAAGTCACTGGAAGTCACTAGAAGTCATTGGAAAATTCTGGTAGTTATTAGAAGGCGTTGGAAGTCTGCTGTACAATTCATTGGAAGTCACTGGTGTCATTGATAAAATTGGGAGTCCTGGTGTCATCGGAAGTCACTAGAAGTCATTGAAAGTCTTTGGTAGCCATGAGAGGACATTGGGAGTCTGGTGTACACTTCATTGTAAGTCACTGGTGTCATTGGAAGTCACTAGAAGTCATAAGTAGTCATGAGAAGGCATTGGAAGTCTAATGTACACTTCATTGGAAATCATTAAAAGTCACTAGTGTCTTTGCAAGTCACTGAAAGTCACTAGACGTCATTGGAAGTTCCTGGTAGTTATTAGAAGGCGTTTTACACTTCATTTGTAAGTCACTGGAAGTCAGTGAGGTCAATGGAAATCACTGGGAGTCCTGGTGTCATCGAAAGTCACTAGAAGTCATTGAAAGTCTTTGGTAGTCATTAGAAGGCATTGGAAGTCTGGTGTACACTTCATTGTAAGTCACTGGTGTCATTGGAAGTCACTAGAAGTCATAAGTAGTCATGAGAAGGCATTGGAAGTCTAATGTACACTTCATTGAAAGTCAGTGAAGGCCATTGAAAGTCACTAGCGTCTTTGCAAGTATTTGGAAGTCACTAGAAGTTATTGGAAGTGTTTGGTAGTCATTAGAAGGCATTTGAACTCTGGTGTACACTTCATTGTGAGTTACTGGAAGTCATTAGAGGTCAGGTGTAAACTTGATTATAGGTCACTGGTGTCATTGAAAAAATTGGGAGTCCTGGTGTCATCGGAAGTCACTGGAAGTAATTGAAACTCTTGGTAGCCGTGAGAAGGCATTGTAGGTCTGGTGTAGACTCCATTGTAAGTCACTGATGTCATTGGAAGTCACTAGAAGTCATTGGAAGTCACTAGAAGTCATTGGAAGTCACTAGAAGTCATTGGTAGTTATGAGAAGGCATTGATGGTCACTGAAAGTCACTAGTGACTTTGCAAGTCACTGGAAGTTACTAGAAGTCATTAGAAGTGTTTGGTAGTCATTAGAAAGCATTCGAACTCTGGTGTACACTTCATTTTAAGTCACTGAGAGTCATTGGAAGTCAGGTGTACAATTCATTGTAAGTCACTGGTGTCATTGGAAGTCACTAGGAATCATTGGTGTTATTGGAAGTCACTAGAAGTCATCGGAAGTCTTTGGTAGTTATTAGAAGTCAGTGGTGTCAAAGAAAGTCACTGGAAACAGGGTTAGAACAAGTAATGATGTTAATAAAAAAGTCGAAATCGTCCGTCTTTTTACATTAGTTTGGACTCTTTTTTTTCTATAATCTTGAAGTATAAAATAACAAAATATGCAATTTTCACAAAACAAACTGAAACTATTGATTGAATAAAAAATAATAAATACATTGGCAACTACTTTGTGCTGCAGGATCTATATCTGTTAATGTATAATATATTGACCACCACTCAATATATTCTCTCATGCTTGACATAATGCCATTAGATATTTTAGTTGCAACTAGTTTCAATTGAAAAAATTATTTAAATCATTTCGTGCCAACCCTGGCTGGAAGACACTAGAAGTCATTGGGAGTATTTAATAGTTATTGGAAAGCATTGCAAATCTCTTTGTAACTCTTTGGACGTCATTAGAAGTCTTTAGAAATCATTAGAAGTCTTTGGAAGTCTCCGTTGATTTGAAGTCTGATGTACAATTTTTTGTAGTGATTTACCCCTCGGAAGGGAATGTAATGATTGATTCACAATAATCGCTATTTATATTTCAAGTGAGGAAAGGTATCCATTTCCTCCCGCGTGTGAAGTTTGATGCACGACGCTTACTTCAGGCGAGGCGGTCTATCTCTGGATCCAAATCATCACGCATTACGAACGTATAGTATGACATGGCCAATTGACGGCATTCGAACGAAAGTCAATTTGACACTTCTGTCATCATGAATTAATTGATTTGTATATTGTGTAACTGCATTCGAAAATTTTGATCTGAAGTACGTTCAGATTTCAGAATATGAAAAGCGTTTATGATATCGTTGGAATTCAAAAAGGATATTATAGTTGTTGTTTTATAATAGTGATAAAGACACTGATTACTTGGATTGCACAGATTTCATAGGTATAGCGACGCCAAAGGTTGCATGCTGATTCCAATTCATTTTACCTCCCACGGGAGTTGATATTCTTTTCCTCACGTGGGAGTGAATTGACAACTTTGTTTTCTTAAATGAGAGAGCAAACGGCTACTTTCGATTCAATGAGTAGATACAAAAATTCTCCATCACAGGCATATTACAAATGCATCTCTAATGAACACAGTAAAAGGAAGCAGTTTCAATGTTAATAAGAGTGCAGACTCTTCTGATACTGAAATATAATTTTTCAACTAGCGTGCGGAAAAGTCCACTATCCCGCACTCATTTTGTTGGTCAAGAAGACACATTTCCGCACTAGTGCGGAAAAAGTTTCAAAACTCAAATAAGTGCAGAAAAGAGGATTTTGGGTTTTTTCCGCGCGCTTGTAGGAAAAATAGTGTACCTCACACGTGCGTAAAGTGATTTTTTCGCACTGGTTGGATGAAGTACTATTTTTTATCTTATTTTATTTTATCAGCTGGTCAAGAAGAAGTAGTTCGACTCCTAGTCCAATACGGTGCTTCCCTGAACGTCCAGTCCCAAAATGGGTTCACCCCCCTATACATGGCGGCCCAAGAAAACCACGACGGTGTGGTGCGATATTTGTTGTCCAAGGGAGCGAATCAGACTTTGGCCACCGAGGTACGAATCAATAATCACTTCGAATGCACCATTTTCTCATGATGGTTATTCTCAAATGAGTGTCTATTCTCTAATAAAATATTGTTTATTCTCAAACACTACCAAAACTCGTTCATCTCTAGAACTGCGAAGCTTTAGAATTCTTTGCCAGTGGAAGTATTTCCAAGAAGTCATAACCTCCAAAAATTCCAACACCTACCTACCGAGTTACGCACGATGAGGGATTTCCTTTCGTGTTCTCCAAGAGATAATAGAAATAACGTGTTTGTTGTCAAACAAAAATTGTTTATTCACAAATTCTCGAATAAAATGTCTATCCTCAAATAAAAAATCTTTATTCTCAAATAAAAACCGTTTAACATCAAATAAATAGGTTTTATTCTCAAACAAAAATTGTTTATTTTCGAATAAAAAACGTTTTTTCTCAGATAAAAAGTGTTTATCCTCAAATAAAGAGCGTTTATTCTCATATAAATATGTTTATTCCCAAAAAAATTGTTTGTTCTGAAATAAAAACGTTTATTCTCAGATAAAAAGTGTTTATTCTCAAATAAAAACGTTTATTTTCAGATAAAAAGTGTTTATGTTGTTATTATTATTATTATTATTATTATTATTATTATTTTCAAATAAAAAGCGTTTAGACTCAAATAAATGTTTATCCCCAAACAAAAATTGTTTGTTCTCAAATAAAAACGTTTATTCTCAGATAAAAAGTGTTTATTCTCAAATAAAAAAGTTTATTCTCAGACAAAAAGTGTTTATTCTCAAATATAAAGCGTTTATTCTCAAATAAATATGTTTCTTCTCAAACAAAAATTGTTTGTTCTCGAATAAAAACGTTTATTCTCAGATAAAAAGTGTTCATTCTCATATAGAAAACGTTTTTACTCAGATAAAAAGTGTTTATTCTCAAATAGAAAATGTTTTTACTCAGATAAAAAGTGTTTATTCTCAAATAAAAAGCGTTTATTCTCAAATAAATATATTTATTTTCAAACAAAAATTGTTTGTTCTCAAATAAAAATGTTTATTCTCAGATAAAAAGTGTTTATTCTCAAATAAAAAAGTTTATTCTCAGACAAAAAGTGTTTATTCTCAAATATAAAGCGTTTATTCTCAAATAAATATGTTTATTCTCAAACAAAAATTGTTTGTTCTCGAATAAAAACGTTTATTCTCAGATAAAAAGTGTTTATTCTCAAATAGAAAACGTTTATACTCAGATAAAAAGTGTTTATTCTGAAATAAAAAGCGTTTATTCTCAAATAAATATGTTTATTCTCAAACAAAAATTGTTTGTTCTCAAATAAAAACGTTCATTCTCAGATAAAAAGTGTTTATTATCGAATAAAAAACGTTTATTCTCAGATAAAAAGTGTTTATTCTCAAATAAAAAGCATTTATTCTCAAATAAAGTGCTTATTCTCAAATAAAAAGCGTTTATTCTCAAATAAATATGTTTATTCTCAAACAAAAATTGTTTGTTCTCAAATAAGAACGTTTATTATTAGATAAAAAGTGTTTATTCTCGAACAAAAAGTGTTTATTCTCAAATAAAAACCGTTTATTCTCAATGTCTCCATCTGTCTTAGGACGGCTTCACGCCGCTGGCGGTGGCTATGCAGCAGGGCCACGACAAGGTGGTCGCCGTCCTTTTGGAGAACGACACCAGGGGCAAGGTGCGCCTGCCCGCCCTGCACATCGCCGCCAAGAAGGACGACGTGAAGGCGGCCGCGCTGCTGCTACAGAACGAGCACGATCCGGACGTGACGTCGAAGAGCGGCTTCACGCCGCTGCATATCGCCGCGCATTACGGGAACGATAAGGTGGCGCTGCTGCTCTACGAGAAAGGTAACGAACGTCTCTCGCCAGTCATTCAATTAGTAGCATGTAGATAGTCACTGGATGGTATTAGTTAGGGTCCCTTGATGAAAATTATTGACGTTAAAGTCATCTTAACGGGGTACGGACAGATCATGTTAATATCTTCATGTTTTATACTTATCACTGGTGTACAGTTTCACATTAAATAAGGAATTAGCTAAAAGTATATCCATATGTGTGAGAACACGGGAAATCAATTCACTCTATTCGAATTTCCATCGGATAACGTACTTCTACAAAAATGGAAACATAATATGATTGCAGCCGGCATGGAATATAGGTTCAGGCCACAAAATTTTTGAGTTATTCAAATTTCTTGGTAGGAGATAGAACAGTTTTCAACGCATTTTTATTATGTACACTTCAGAAAGAAAGATCAAATAGAAGAAAAAAAATAGAGTTGGAAAATAAGTTAAAGCAAAAAGATTTAGATGCAACAGTCAGAGTTAGCAAATTTCAGAACTATTGCCTAAAAATTATTTCAGATTTAAAACAAAATCAGCAAATATCTTTAGAGGAATACAAAAAAATTGGATAAGCAAATATACAGGCAATTTTGAGCAAAATTCATAGTTTCGATTAACAATACTATGAAAAACTTTGACATTTGAAAAACCGAATGGAAGATTTGATTAACAAATTGAATAATATTAGTAAAAATTTTGCTTTATATGAGCGTGATTCATGTTCATTTATTGATTACTTATTACCTACCACTCTTGTACAAGTGAAATTGTTCCATACGAAATAAAAGTATGTTTCATTGGTTGAAATTTATCAGTTTTTACCCCATTCTGAACTTTTGTGATGGAAAAATATTCAACTGAACGTATATATATATATATACAGTGTGACCCATTTAAGATGGAAGCACCCTTATAAAACTTACATTTTTCAACCGATTGGAATGATTTTTTTTTGTTAGGTAGATATTCAAAAAGTCTATTAGGACACCAAATATCATGAATAAATCTCCATTTCCAGGGCCAACTAATCTGATTTTTCAAGGTCAAAAATCTAAAAAAATCACTAGCGATTTTTTTAGAAAAAATCTGACTACACCACTGGATTTGTGACATTTTCAAATGGGTAACATGTAAATTACGTTGAAATGCGTCAATCAATAAAAAAGTTATAAAGGAATGAAATTTGAGAAATATGCCGTTTAATCAACCCATCAATTATTATTACTGAACAGATTTCGATGAAACTGTGATCAGTAATATTTCAAGACATCCTGAATTCAGTGGAGTATACAGAATTTTCATAAAATTCCTGAACATGAATTGGTGGGTTGATTAAACGGCATATTTTTCAAATTTCATTCCTTTATAACTTTTTTATTGATTGACGCATTTCAACGTAATTTACATGTTACCCATTTGAAAATGTCACAAATCCAGTGGTGTAGTCAGATTTTTTCTAAAAAAATCGCTAGTAATTTTTTTTAGATTTTTGACCTTGAAAAATCAGATTAGTTGGCCCTGGAAATGGAGATTTATTCAGGATATTTGGTGTCCTAATAGACTTTTTGAATATCTACCTAACAAAAAAAAATCATTCCAATCGGTTGAAAAATGTAAGTTTTATAAGGGTGCTTCCATCTTAAATGGGTCACACTGTATATATTCCTACATATAAGAGACTTATTTCTTATTTTATAGGAATAGTATATGTATTTCGTTGGTATATATGTACTTACCAACTTGATATCGACCTCCATTGAAGTCCTTCAGCCTTATCATTCAATACTTCGAGAAGACATATTTTTCTAATCAATTTATCGTACCCTTTTACCCACTCGAGGAGACGCTATGCACTCTCATACAAAAATCAAAGACAGAGAAAGATATATGGATGTACTCTTCCCAGGACTGGTGGAGGAAGGAAGATGCGAGGATCCTTTATCTAAGCGAAAAACATATTCTTGTCCTTGTCTGGCGAAACATATGATTTGCTTCAAAATCGTTTGTGGTTATGTTTGATTATCACTGCTTTGTGCATCATTTTATCTCGTGGCGTTTCGGAAATATTCGAGAAATATCATCTTCAGGAGTCCCTTTTCAGGGGGCCGTAGCTTCCTTAGGAGACATTTCTCGACGTTTTTGATCACTAACACAGACATTTCAACCAATCAAAACCGTGTATTTCATAATGAGTGAAATAATCGATTGAACGACCGAAAAAAATCTTCTCGTTCGGCAGGCGCCGATGTCAACTACACTGCCAAGCACAACATCACCCCCCTGCACGTGGCCAGCAAGTGGGGCAAGATCAACATGGTCACTCTGCTGGTGGCCAAGGGGGCCGACATCCAGGCGAAGACCAGGGACGGACTCACGCCGCTGCACTGCGCCGCGCGTAGCGGTCACGATCAGGTCGTCGATATGTTGCTGGAGAACGGGGCACCGATGCACGCCAAAACGAAAGTGAGTGGAATATTTCGAAAATTATTGTGTTGTGCATATCATCTAGTTATTTTTTAAAGCTTATTTTGTCTTTGAGAACAAGAGGGATATACTTTTTTAGATTTATAGTTGGGGCCTTCGGGCTATCTGCCTCCACACCGCGACCTTTTCAGATCTATTGTGTCCGCCCTCAAAATTGTTTAGAGTTCTTTGGCTAGCCCATAGACTAGCTTTCAGATCTCCTGTGTAACTTTGGGCTCTTGGTTTTTCCTTACCCAGCGTAAGGAACCTTAGTCTTGACAAGCCCTCACAGTGGCAAAGTATTTGTACTGCTGTTACCTCCTCTTCCTGACAGAACCTGCACAGCAGTTCTTCAGTCAGACCTATCGTACTCATGTGTTTGTTGAGCCTACAATGCCCTGTGAGAAGTCCCACTAGTATTCTAGTTGTACTTCGTTCTGGCTCAGTAGATATGCTCTGAATGTTGGCGATGGTTTTTTAATAAACTTTTTTGCCTGTCTCATTCCTGGCGAGTTGGTCCACCATTCTTGAGATTTGGTTTGCTTCCATGAGTTGATACTTGTCTTTGTATAGCTTTCGCAATACCACAAAAGAGTACTGGGCCATTCAGAGCTTTGTTTGCTCCTGCTCGGGCAAGTGAGTCTCCCTCTTCATTGCCCACGTCTCTGACTGCCTCTGACTGCCCAGTTCATTTAGGGTTTCTGAGCAGTCTCATACTAGCTTTGAGTTAACTTGCATTGAGTTAACTGCTTCGATTGCCGCCTGAGTATCCGAATAGATTGCAATGGTTTTCCCTTTAAAATCTTGCCTTATCAATTCTTTTAAGGAATGATGTATTGCAATAATTTCTGCCTGAAACACCGTCGCGTATTTGCCTAAGCTCACTGAGATTCTTGTCTTTGGCTTAGCCCCATAAATACCAGCTCCTGACCCTACTTACGACTGCTCTGGTTTCGCTTTGAATTTATATTTGTAGTGGTGGCAAGTTCAACAGGACCTCTAAATACCTGAAAACCTCAAAATATACAATAATTTCATCTGCTACAAGGATTTAAGAATAAATCAAAGTTCCACTTCCAAAAGGTAACAAAATCATTTTTCTTTTGCTAAATAAACTTCACTATAGAATTAATAATAGTGTTATACTTATGTTCAGTAAATAAATCAGTATTATAGTGAAGTTATCAATTCGAGCTACTTAAAGACTACCTAGGCGATCGAAAGCAATTTGTCAACATCGACGGAACTCTGAGTGATCCAAAAACAGTGACCTATGGCGTACCACAAGGAACTGTTCTTGGACCTCTACTTTTCACGATATATGTGAACAATGTTATGAAATCGACAACAAAAGGTAAAATAATTTGTTTTGCCGATGATATGGCTATTCTCTACCAATCATCATCCTGGAAACAATTAAAAAGTGAATCAGAAGAAGATTTCCGGAATATTGGCGAATGGTTCAAGTTCAACAAATTAACACTCAACAGCCAGAAAACTTGCTACTTACCGTTCACCTCCTACGCCAACAACCTACCGAATCTAGGGCCACTAAATATTGATAATAATATACAGATTCTGGAGAAGGACTCAATCAAATATCTGGGAATCATTATAGATAGACACTTCAGATGGGATCTACAAATGAAATATTTAACCAATAAACTGAGGGGTCTGTTGACTAAATTTAGGATCCTTTCAGATTATCTAGATAATACACATCTCAAAATTATTTATTTTGCACTTGTCCAGTCCCAACTCTGTTATGGTATACTAGGGTGGGGTGCCGTGGCCGACTGCCACCTACAAAAATTAGGCGTTGTACAAAAATGGATACTGAGAATAATATTTAGAAAGAAAATCACTTATTCTAGTAACTTACTCTTCAGTGAAACAAAAATATTGGACATTCGGCAGCTTTTTTGTCAAAGAATAATATTGAATATTCATAAAAATAAAATAAAATTAACCTCTCCCACACACAAATATGAAACAAGAACAAAAAAAACACAATACAGCACTACATTTAGTAATAAAACAATTGGACAACGCTCGGTAGAATACTTAGCCGCCAGGCTTTGGAATACACTACCAAATGAATTAAAGAGTGTTAGGAGTTATAATGGACTCAAACACAAATTGAAAAAGTGGATTAATGCAACTGGAAGAAAAATGTTCAGTGATCTAGTAGACTTAAAGTACATGAGGTGAATATTCATTACAAAATATCGGATATTCCGACCTGAATATTAAATTTACTTGTCTCGATTATAGTGATGAATTTTGTTATATTTATATTATATATTATATTGATAAATTGAACAATGTATCCATAACTCACGAACTGTCCTTACCTATGTTTGATTTTGTCCATACCCACCTGATTTTGTCAATAACAACCAGATTTTGTCTATACTATTCAAACTTTGTCCATACTTTCCAAATTTTGTATATACCTTCCTGATTTTGTCAATACTTACTCAAATTTATAATTATCTCTACCATTTAACAAACTGTTACGGTAAGTCATATATATATATATATATTTATATTTTTTTTAATCTTATTTGTTTATCCTTTATTGAACTCACATTCCACTTTCTTATATATGTTTCTGCTATTTACACATCACGTCAAATCACGAACAAGCATATTTTTGCTTCTGTGATATTTTGTTTATTTACGAATTTTATTTATACCACTACTGCTTTGTACCTACACTTTTGTATGTGAATAAACATTTTTATTATTATATTATTATTATTATTATTTTATTATTATATTTATTATATTATATATTATTATGTTGTTATTATTTTGAAATATTGTAATATGGTAAAATTCAAAAGAGTTTTTTCACAACACCTTGAAATCCCAACCAAATATCAACAGCTAAATGAGTCGAATAGTGTCAAAGATACCCGATAAAAAACCGTCTGTTTAATGCTGACTCCATTTCACGTTACTCATCTAGCCTATTCATTCATCTGAGAGCTAGAGTTTGATCCCTGGTTTACCGGAACCCTAACCCTGTATAAGTTGGGCAAGTCAATGATAGGTCAATTCATCATGAAGTTCATGCAAAGTCAGTTGAACAGCGCTGACGCACTCTTTGAACCTTCAAAGGGACCGACGGCTTGCGGTGATGTTTTTCCTACTGACTTTGCATAAACTATACCACTATTTCACTCGAAGAAGCTGATTTTTTCAGAGTAGTTGCATAGCTCCAGAGCCGGACCGTGGGCGTGGCGAAGGAGGCATTTGCCACGGGCGCAAACGACCTAGGGGCGCAAAATGTGGAATATAGTATATTCCATTTTAAGTGAAGATTGACTACAAGCTCTATATTCCAGAGTGGCGTATTCACCAGTTCACAAAGTTGAGTGACACGTAGTTAACGAACTCTACCAAAACGGAACAAAATCCTAGAAAATCATACATGGCGCGAAATACGACAAAATCAATCTGGCACTACAGAACCAAAGATTGAATGTTGAGGATGGTGCAAAAATGATAAAAGGACTATCTGATTAAATTCATAATTATAGATCTGATTTCTTCGAGTCTCTATTAGAATCCTCCAAATCATTCGCTGAAACAATCAATATTGGAGCGAATTTTGGAGAGGAGAGGAGAGGAAAGGTAGAATTGAAAAAATGCCAGGAGAAGAAACTAATGATGAGGCTTCCATTACGGATAGGAAAAGTCTTTTGAAAAAGGAACTCCTTAAGTTTTGGACTCCATATCGATGCAACTTGGAGAAAGATTTACTGCGCTGTCAGAAGTTTCTGAAGACTTCAATTTTTTGAAAGGAGTCTCTATAGAAGAGTCTTCTTGAAGAAGAAAGCTGCAGATTTGGCATTGAAAGATAGTTCCGATTTGGATCCGTATGAATTCGTCAACGAGTTAGAGAACTTCAAATTTCAAGCATGTGCAATGTTTACGGACTTGGACAAAATGAATGCTCTTGATATTCTTCGGAAAATGCGTGAATTGTCGCTTCAAACAATATATCCTAATCTGGACACAGCTCTCAGAATATTCTTAACGTAACCAGTGACATGTGAACGGTCGTTTAGTAAATTGAAATTAGTGAAAACTTACTTAAGGTCCTCGATTGAGTTTTTGTTCATTACCTTTTAAGAAATATGGGAGATTATTGTGAATAAAAAAGTTCATCAAAATATGTTCAATAAATGTCAATTATAAATAACATGTATTTATTGAAAACTGAATTTCTTCAAGGGCGCATTTTGAAAGTTTGTCACAGGCGCTAGAATCCTAGTTCCGGCTCTGCATAGATCTGTCTATCGTCTGTTTTATTTCCTCAGAACGGTTTGGCGCCGCTGCATATGGCCGCCCAGGGCGAGCACGTGGATGCCGCCCGCGTCCTGCTCTACCACGGCGCGCCCGTCGACGAGGTCACCGTCGACTACCTGACCGCCCTGCACGTAGCCGCCCACTGTGGGCATATCAGGGTGGCCGAGCTGCTGCTCGGCCGGGCGGCGGATGCCAATGCACGGGCGCTCAACGGTTTCACGCCCATGCATATCGCCTGCAAGAAGAACAGGCTCAGGGTGGTCGAGTTGCTGCTGAAACATGGGGCCAGTGAGTGTCATTTTTTTCTCTAATTTGCGACTTTGATGGTAAAAGTACTCATGAAACAGTAAAATTGTCGAAAAAGAAGAAAAAGTGTCGCCAAACATTCCTCTAGTGGGCGGCCTTAGAATCTTTCCGTGGGTTTTCGATAAACCAGCATAGAATCTATAAATGTTTCGAGCAGGTTTTGATCCTTTTTCAATAGATTTTGGACCTATTTTGTGCTTGAGTGATTGGTTTTTCAAAACATGTTTCAAATGGATGACATAGTCAGAGTTGAACATTAGAAATGGAAAGGTAAGGTGAGTCAAGAATCAAACCGCTGCATTAGATTTCTGGAATCTTGGTTGTGTGAGAAAATCAAAGTGAAAAATTGATCGAATCTCAGAAAATATGTCCAAAATACTAATATTGTAATTATTCTGGAGGTGCTTGAAATCCTTCATGGACACAACAAACGATAAATCTATCCCAAAACCTCTGCTATAACCACTAAACGCTTCACCCCCTTTTAGTAGGTACTGTGTTAGTTAAGTTATTTAACATCCATTGCTATTTTTTCAATGCAATATGATTCGTTGTTGATTGTTCTCCACGTAATAGTTACGGATTTTATTGAGGCCATCTTCATTAAGAACATCAAAATGCAATCTCATATCCCATCATCCTAACAAAATTTCGAGATTAACGTTTGTTCTTCTCATTGTTTTCATACTCTTCCTCTTTTCATGGGAAAGTCAGGTAGTCGGTGAGGTCTTTCATTAGTCTTTATATGGTCTTCATTAATCCGTTAAGACGAGCTCAGAGTTAATACTATCTGTAGGTTAATCGAGGGGGTGGTACATTCAATATTCCAGATTTTTTGGGATTTTGTATCGCAAATTCGTATTTGTCCAGTCAATAATTGTCACTGAGAACTGAAAAGTGTCAGGACAAATACGAATTTGCGATACAAAAGATCAATTTTTTATGTTGAAGGCGAGAGCATAATCGTTCCTGAAACGTCCAAAGCTAAAGACGAGGAGAGAAAATCCCAAAAATCTGGAATAATAGCTTAGAGTTGTCATCGTTGACTACCTGACCGCCCTGCACGTGGCTGCCTACTGTGAATACGTTTCGGTTATAGTTCTTCAAAATAATGAAATAAGATGTTTTACTGAAACAGGTTCATTTTGGTTTGAAGCTTTCAAAACATCACAGACAATTTCTCGTGTTACAGGTATCAGTGCGACAACGGAAAGTGGCCTGACACCTCTGCATGTCGCCAGTTTCATGGGTTGCATGAACATCGTCATCTATTTGCTCCAACACGATGCGAGTCCTGATATTCCTACCGTTAGGGGTGAAACTCCCTTACATTTGGCAGCGCGAGCTAACCAGGTACCTAATCCATCCATTAAATATTCATAATTAGTGTGTTTCATCAATTCCTTCAACTTGTATAATATTTCTACATTCTACATTTACTAAACTTTCAGCTTATGTACGTTGTCTGTCTCTCAAGTTATTGCTTGCTTATCTATAATGAACGCTGTTTGGTTGAGTTTGATAACTCATCGAATATCGTAATATGAACTCAACGATACGAATACCTCAGAGTAGTCAGAGTTACTAGTTAAAAAGATTAATTTATTTTGCATGTTTCTTCTGCGGAAGACATCAAATTCTAAGCACCTCTGTGCAACCGCTGACCGCTGCCAAATCGATAATTCGATAGGATTTTTCGTATGAAACATCTTATTCAACTCGGCATAAATACCTTATGAAACAAATTCACAACAATCACAACTAATGATTATAAATTTATTAGTTATTGTAAGGTACACAGCAAATTATAAAATATGAATTATTCAAAAACGAACGTGGCGGCACTTCGAAGCATCATAGTACATAGAAGAGCAGTAATCGTTGTAAGAAATATCATTTATCGTTTTTGTTGTTATCAATGAATTTCCGGATGTTGTGTGATTAGTTTTCGGTGCTTTAGTGACTCATTTAAAATTATGGATCTAGAGCAGACTATTTTTACTTCAGTCAGTGAACGCCCAAAAAAGGAATGTAGAGAACATGGAAGAGGACGTTTTTTTGAGCAAGGGATATGTTCCAAGTAAATAGAAAGTGAAAATTCCAAAAGTATCCAAAACTGCGAGGGGAGCCAAGTACAGGGAGCGACATAAAAGGTCCCTGTTTTTGAATTATCGTCCATATCTTGACGGTTCTAGCGATGATTCCCTAGTTATCCCCACCATTCACGATTTCAAGCATTCATCCGTGTTTAGCGTTTAGGTTTGTCGGCGTATACCTTTCAATAATTTTCATGGAGAAATCGCGGTGTATATATTGTTATTTAGTCTGAGGAGACGATAACAATAGTTATTTGAAGTTTTTTTTATCTACTGCTCAGTTTGCTGTATTTTGACCTAGGATAGTCAGTGACACAATCAGAGAGAGAATAGGTGCTCTAAGAATAGTATTTTATTTTTTGAGTGACCAAAGTAACATTTTTTGAAGCGAGAGAACAGTCGCATTCTTGAAATCTTGACCTTTTTGCTAAAAAACCAAAATGTTTCTAGAGTCTCTGCTTTCTGAATTAGTGATTTCCAGAATTTTGAAATTAATTTTTAAACAGCTGTAATTTTCCATAGACAGACATAATAAGGATACTATTGAGAAATGGCGCTGCCGTGGACGCCAAAGCCAGGGAGGAACAGACCCCCTTGCATGTAGCCTCCAGATTGGGCAACGTCGACATCGTGATGCTGCTGTTGCAACATGGCGCCCAGCCCCACGCCACCACCAAGGACCTTTACACCCCTTTGCATATCGCGGCCAAGGAGGGGCAAGAGGAGGTGAGAACTGATGAGGGAATGACAGGTTTTGGTGTGGCACTGAAATAATGGAAAGGACGGGAAACGCAGTCGCTCTGTTATCGTTTGATCTACTTTGAAAATAGGTTTAGATTCTGAATCTTTGTGTCAGTCTACGTTGGAATAGATAGTTTTCAATGAAAATTTGAACAATTTTTGAATTTATGGGGGAAAAATATACAACTTTGTTATCCTTTGGATCCAGAACAAAAATATGGTATAGATTCGGAATCCTCTTGATATTTTACGTTAGTCTAGAATCAACTTTGTTTTCCTTCATGTTAGGGTCACAAATGTATACAGGGTGATCCACGGTGGATGGCCATTCTGAAAATTGAGATGCTTTGATAATTGAACATTCTCTATCCGTCTAAAATATTTTCATCGATACAGTGTTGCCACTTCTATCAGAAACAACTAGCAACTTCGTTATTTCAAACGGAACACCCTGCATTTTATTGCATCACACTTGGGGTCTATCAGGAATGATTACTGAGATATAGGGTGTTCAAAATCGAGATTTTTTAATTCTAGGATTTTTTGTGTTGAAACTATTCATTATGGATCAAAACGGCTGACATTTCCCTATCTTAACTTTTGATTCACTATCTAGTAGAATTTATTTGGAAAACATACAGGGTGCTTCAAGATTCAGAATTCTGATCACTCTGTATCTGTTCCAATTAAATGTCAGTAGATAGTGAATCGAAAGTTAAGATAGGGACATGTTAGCCGTTTTGATCGATAATAAATAGTTTCGACACGAAAAAATCCTAAAATTGAAAAATCTCGATTTTAACACCCTATATCTCTGTAATCATTCTTGCTAGACCCCAAGTGGGATGGATTGTTGAAATCAGCTCTTCAGGAAGAATCTCAAAATGCAATGAAATACAGGGTGTTCCATCTGAAATAACAAAGTTGCTAGTTGTATAGATACCGAATCCTCGTGAGTTTTTACGTGCGCCTAGATGGTTTTCAATGCTAAACTCGCAATTTTCGAATTCTGACGGGGAAAATTCCTTCGCATTAGAGACACAAATGTGTATACCGGGTGTGTCCCAAAAGTGGCTCACCCCTATAACTTTTGTTTTCATTAATAAACAAATTAAATTCGGCGTGTGAGTATAGTATTTGAAGTTGCATTCTTTTTTTTTTTTTTTAATAATAATAATTTATTTATTCCCAATATAAACAAACAGTTTTTTTACAAATAGTTGAAACGATATGGAAATAAATAGAGCGAGTAGATACACTGAAATCCGTAGATTAGTACGTGTTCGGTTTCTCTCTAATAAATTTCTAAATCGAATCGTGAATATTTGTTAAGAATTAATAATTAAATACATAAGTTTTATAAAGAGTTGAATCATTCAGTAGGTCTGATTGAATACAATAAATAATTCATAATTTGATTGGCTGATATTATGTTATATATAATAAACTGCTATTATTGAAAATGAAAAGCAGATTAAACAATTACTAATTAAATACATAATTATTACATCATGTTAAACAATCCAGTAGGTATCATTCAATAACAATAAAAACTTTGATTTTATTCAATATAATTTGATATAGAAACACTGTAGATATTGAAAATGAACATATATACTATAATTTGATTATGTTTTGTATCCACATTTTCTTGGATACCTTCTGGTCATGAGATGAAATACTCATATAAATTATACTATACCTGATAAGAAATCCAAAAATGTCTCAATGTACCTAACAATGCGTCAGTACAGAATCAATGAATATATTTTTTTTTTTTAAATTAGATTATCAGATCGATCCAGTTGTGTAATTCCCTTCGAGGAATAGTATAAAGCCACGATCTCAAATATTTCTTAAACTGGTTTTTGTTTGCGGTTACTTTAATTATGTTGGGAATCTTGCGATAAATATGTGGTGCCAAAAATCCATACGATCTTTGGCTCAAACCTTTTTGGAACTTGAAAGTTGTTGTTCTCATATTTTTTTTGTGCCTGGTATTGTATTCATGATTTATTTCAACTAGTTCCGCTCTTTTTTTATGTTGTAAGTTCATGATTTTGTAAACATAGATTTGTCTTACATCAAATAGTTCACTGGATACATATACGAGATCACTCCTATACGTTCTTTTTTCCCCCAGCATGATTTTTATATAATATTTCTGGATGATCTCGAGATTTTTTAGATGATTTTTATACGTACCCCCCCAACCTACAATTCCGTATTGAATGTGCGATTCTACCAATGAGAAGTATATTTGTTTCAGCTGTGTGAAATTCAAGATCTTTTTCAACTGTCTGAATTTGAAGAGAATGCATCTCAGTTTTTTGACCAAATATTTCACGTGAACATCCCATTTCAAATTTCTGTCAATTTCCACCCCCAAATACTTTATATGATCTGACTCTTCGATATCAATGGGTGGATTTAAATTTATGGTAAGTTTTTTGTATTGGGGAATCTTGGTTTTGTTGCAGCTGAATGGGATGTATCGTGTTTTCTCAAAGTTTATAGTGAGAGACATCTCATCGAACCATAATTTTAGTTTCCTCAAGTCTTTCTCAGCTATCTGTTTCACACTACCCCATGAATCATCATCGTACACAATTACTGTATCATCGGCAAAGGATGATATAATTCCACTACTCTCTAGTTTGAGAAGACCATTGATATAGATTGTGAACAATAATGGTCCCAGAACAGTACCCTGGGGAACCCCAAATTCAATTATACTTTCGTCGCTCAGGTTTTCGTCAATTTTAACAATCTGTATACGGTTGTTCAAGTAAGATTTCATTAGGTTAAGACTGTTACCTCGAAAGCCAGTGTCCTCCAGACAGTTAATCATTATTGTATGATCGACCGTGTCGAAGGCTTTTGTCAGGTCGAGAAACACACCAAGCACAGCACGGTTCTGGTCCAACTTTCTATGTAAATTGTTTGTAAGATGAATAATTGCATCTTCTGTTGATACACTTTGTCTAAAACCAAATTGCTTATTAGAAATTACCTTATTTTTTTCAAAAAAAGAAATTATTCGTTTTTTGATTATTTTTTCAATGACTTTTGATAGATTTGAAATAAGGGATATTGGCCGATAGTTTGACATGAGTGAGTGGTTGCCCTTTTTGAAAATTGGTTTAATAATTCCTTTTTTTAAACTAACAGGATAGTATCCAGATACAAACATTTTATTAATGATATACGACAGTGGTCCTTTAATATAACTCTTTGCTATTTTCAGAATATTCGCAGTAATGCTGTCTATGCCAGGAGATTTTTTCGGTTTCAGCTCGTTGATAACACCTTCCACTTCCGATTCATCGGTCGGGTACAAAAAAATTGAGTTTTCTATAATATTTCTACTAATGACCGATGGCACGGGCTTGGTGATATTTTCAGCAAGCTTTCTTCCAATTTCTGCGAAATATTTGTTGAAACAATTGGCTATATCTTTTTGTTTATTAATGATGTTTCCGTTCAGGTTGATTTCCTTAATTGAGTTATTTTCAGATTTTTTATTTGTGTATTGGTTTACAGTATCCCAAAGAAGTTTCGAGTCATTACGATTTTCATCAAGCTTCTCTCGAAAATAGTGTACTTTTGCTGAGTTAATTACTTTATTGAATTTATTTTTATAGGATTTATATTCACGTTCTAATAATACATCAGTTGGGTCATGCTGATATCTTCTATAAAGCTTATGTTTTGTTTGTGCTGATTTGATGAGCGCTGTAGTTATCCACGGTTGTCTTTTCTGTTTGTTATTTATTACAATAGTATCGGTGGCAAGTTTAGTGGCATTTTGTATTCTTTTTATTAAATGATCTGTGATTGTATCTAAATCTGTTGAATTATATACAGCATCCCAAGTTTCGTGCTCAAGGATATTTTTTAGTTTCATTTGATTGAGTTTTGAAATGGTGTTGATTTTGGTATTTTTTGTTGTTAGTTTATCGATTGTGAGGAGCGCCATCACTGGATAGTGATCCGTTATATCCGTATTATACACGAATGATTTGTATTTTCCGTCATTCTTGTTCTTAACAAAAATGTGATCAATACAAGATCTAGATCCATTTCTGATTCTTGTATATGAATCAATTAACGCCTTAAAGCCATATTCACTGAGAATATCTAGATATTCTTGACAGTAATCTTTGTTAGATTTAATATCTATATTCACATCACCTACAATAAAATGCGAATCATACTCAGTTTGATGAGATAAATTGTCTAGATAGGTGTTCAACTCATTGTTAAATGTATTGGGACACGTACCATGCGGTCTATAGAGTGCGCTCACAAGAATTCTTTGGTTGTTTCTTTTCAAAGAAGTATTGAGTACTTTGACGTCGCCTAGGTTCCTGATATCAGAAGTTAAAGAAATATTGTATACATCCCTAACATAAACCATTACACCATCGTTCTGGTTGTATTTTCCTTCGTTATATAGAGTAGTATAGCCATTTATTTTGAAGAATTGCAAATCATGCACTATCCATGTTTCAGAAAATATAATGAGATCAAAATGAAAGCTTTGTTGGATGAAATCATTCAAAAGAAGCATTATTTCATTGAAATTTTTGTTTACGCTACGGATGTTGCAGTGAAATATGGAAAAATAATGTTCGTCTTTATCTATACGATCAAAAAATTCATTTTCAGTATCTATATTAATTGTTTGAATATCATTTATATCAAAATCTCTGATATATTGGTCCATTGCTTATGTGATATATATATATATAAGGGTACTTTTACTATAATATAATTTCAAAATAATTTTGACATTGAAAAGTGATTTCATAGATAGGCGATAGAATCATCAGGTAACAAAATTAGCTATTCATGAATAGAGTAATACGCATCAATTTTTATCAGTTTGCTTTTTCTGGCTCCGAGTGCGTTGTACGCTTCCACCAGCGGTTTGGGAATTCGGACTGAATGTTATTTTTCTTCGCTTCCGTTTCATAGAAATATCTCCTGCGATTTCCTTATCGTGTCTTCTTGGAAGTAGCTGAACCAATGGTGTTTCTTCGTTTTCTGAATCTCCTTCAGACTGTAGATTTGTCTCTAATTTCAGAAGGTCTTCTGGAGTATACACTGTGTTATCAACAATTAAAGTGTTTCCTTTAATTTTGGCTTCGAGTTTTTGTGCCAGTGCTTTTTGTTGATGAAATCTGAGGACTTTTCTGTCTTCTCTATCTTCGTAGCAAAGGTCGTTAGTAATTGCAATTCCACTACCTTTTAGTTCCTTTACTTTAGAGAAGATCAGTTTTTTCTTCAGAAATGTGAGAAGTTCAATGATAATTGCTGGTTTCTCCTTCCCTGTGATGTAAATATTATTAACATCACTTTCTTGAAGCCCCAGGTGAAGTATTTCGTTCAATTTGTTGAGTGTTCCGCGCAGTAGGTCTTCTGTTGGTTGAAAACCAAATATTACAATGTTGTTTCTTCTCAGTCGTCTTTCTGTCTCGATGTGTTTTTTCTTCAGGTCTTCAATTTTTTGTAGAGCGACATCTACTTTTCCTTCGATTTCTTTTACGTTTTTCCTAATTTCATCCCTGAGTAATTCAGTTTGAGTTTCTGCAACTTTGGCTAATCTATCTGTTTGTTCTTCGTTTGCTTTCTGTATCAACATAAATAGTCTCTGATCATCTGGCATATTTATTCCGAGTGAAATGACTATTGGTGGAATTGGCCTCCTCCTCCTTATTTGGCATATTTATATATCACTTTATTTATACTGACAAATCAACAGGCCATGGCCCAATTACAAACAGACAGTTCCTATCTCGGTTCCTATCCTACAGTAATATTCAATTGTTTTTTGCGAGGTTTTCTGTCACTTCCGGTTTTACCGGGAATGACCCGTCTTTTCTTATTTTAAATGGGACACCCGGTATATTTTTACTTATTTCGATAGAGAATAACATTGTTAGTCAAATATCGAAGTCCATTGGCAAGAACTGGTAGAGTGTTTCCTTCTTACTTGCATGTGTTTAGCTCCAGGTTGTGTTGTGTGTGTGGGAGACAAAAAACCGTGAGCTGAAATCTAATATTTTTCCCGTGTATAATACACTATTTTTTTCTGTGACAGAAGAAATGACGAATCAATATCGGGAAGATATCACATTATTTTGAAATCTGAAAATTATCGACGTGAAATTTCAAGTTTTTAACAGTAGGGACACCTGCGTTGTAGGCATCTTTATCATTCCTTTGAAGTAATCAAATATCTAATGTCACTTCTCTCAGTCTAATTGTGTTATTTGATTTCAAAAAATTGCGTATTTAGTGGTTGTTTAGTAATTTACATAACCGCGAAGTCGAATGGAAGATAAAAGGACTTGCAATTCTTTCTCGGAGACGGTATTATTGACTCATTTTTCGGAACTATAGCACAACAAAAGCCATCAACAGTGTATATATCTGTGATATATATCCGGGAAAAAAGTACTCACTTTTTTTCCCACGGGAAAAAAGTAATTTATGAAAAGTGACATTTTATAACCTGTCAACAGAGATGAAATGCCAAACTTTTTACCCGTCACAGAAAAAAGGTAAATACACACTCAGTGGAGAAACACTCCACCAGTCCCTGAAAATCGAAATCCATATAACTGGTTTTCAATGTTTAAATATTGCATCCCATAATTGCAGGTGTCCGCCGCCCTCCTGGACAATGACGCCGACCCCACCGCCACCACCAAGAAGGGTCTCACCCCCCTCCATCTGGCCGCCAAGCACGGCCACCTGTGCGTGGCGCGCCTCTTGCTGCGCAGATCGGCGCCGTGCGACGCGCAGGGCAAGAACGGCGTCACGCCGCTCCACGTCGCCGCCCATTACGATCGGCAGCCGGTGGCGCTGCTGCTGCTCGACAAGGGGGCGTCGCCGCATGCGGCGGCCAAAAATGGACACACGCCGCTGCATATCGCTGCAAGGAAAAACCAGGTACAAATCTCAAATGGACAGCTAATCGCCCATATTAACTAGAGTGACGACAATTTTTTATTGGTCAGACCTTTATTATGGAGTATTCTCCATTCAATTCTATGCATTCTATTTCACCTTGTCGATGCTTTGTCTTTGGTTTTTGCTCTTTGGACACAAAACATCCAACAAACAGACATGAAACTATTCGTCAGTACCTTGGATTTCAACTATTATAACGGTTTCCATTGGTAAATCTAGTGCGCACTCAGTGTACATTTCTCTTTCTGCTACACTTCAAAAAGAAAGATAGATACGCGGAGTGCATAAATACTGCACCAGTTCATGCCCAATGGAAACCGTCTGTTGGACTCATATTATTTAGATGATGGAATAAAATATCAAATATCTGAACCAAACCATCAGGTGGGCACTTCGAAGGCGTAAATTCATTAGTGAATGAGAAACACCCTTCAGATTTTCAGCTATTCATTGACTTGACATTCCGGAAATAGCCGCCATTTAGATGTCTATTGTCACTCTATTTATAAAGTCACTCTAATATTAACTATGTGTGAAAAATACGGTATCATCAAACGAAGAGGGCATTAGATGCGTTCGGTTTAACAAAATCGGAGCCGAGCGAGCAGATGACGCTGGGATAGTTGCTGCATGTCAGCATTTCACAGTTGAATGTGGCGGGAAATTTGAAATCATATAGCTGCAATCACCAAACTTCACTAAAGAAACAACGAGTATGTGGATTTTGTGTGCCAATCACTGAAGACTGAGGTAGTTGATGATCTAATTTTCAAATAACTATTGCAAGTAGGTAATTCATTGAAAATATGTCAAAGAATAATTTGATTCGAATGCATTGAAACAAGAGAGACCAGTGTGAATTAAAATACTATTTATTAAGCAAATCTACTGAATACATTTGAAATAACCGTCACCTATATACACAAAATTGAAAACACTTAAAGATCTTTTTTAGCTCTGTTGTCGATAAAATTATCCAGAATGAGGTTTTCTATCTGAGACAAACAACTCTCATTCTTCTAGCATACAGAAGTCTTAGCAGTTTGGTCGTTAAAAAAACTAAAAAATCTTCCTACTCATGAAAAGACATGCAATTTCCAGATCTTGAAGAATATTTTTTTCGAATTTGCAGCAATACTCCATATTGCAGCTTGTTTGAAAATACCATACCGTTAACCGTTTTTACCCATGGTTCTAGCAGTGAAAGTTGAAATTTGAGGTGAAAAACAGCATGAAACATCCTACAGTACTCAATTTCAGAACAAATACCTCTTTGAAAGTTGTCATTAGGTATATTATGTATTGCTACAACTTCCGCAAGGCCTTAGTAAAGGATGCGAATTTTTTATTCTTTATTATGTTGGCGTGTTTCTGCGTTTACTACTAGCAGTCTATATGAGAGAAGTGAAATCCCGAATGGTCTAAGGTAGAAAAACAAATATGGGAATTTTTAGAGTTTTTTTTTCTTTCGAGCAACGGTATTTTCAATGGGCTCGTCAGATTCTAGTTTTAGGCTTCACGAATTTCATTTGATATGATGCTATCAGTTAACTACCACTTTTTTTTTTGTTTTCCAAAATGACGAAGACTTTATCAACTAGCGGACATCTAGTGGCAAAAGATTGAACATGATTCGATTATGCTTTGATGCCATAAAATACCAGGAGAGACTTGAAGAATCATTTTTTTTTAGTCATAAAACGCTAAGGGTTGACGAAATTGGTCTCTTCTAACTTTCAAAAGTCATTATCACTGGGCTGATGACTGTTATACCCAACATATCTATCTACTGTAAAGAGTGTATATCTCATTCCTTTTGTGTTATTGATTTTTATATTGATGTAAAACAGTCATAACCCATAAACAGTCAATTAATTTTGTATGCTAATTATTCATATAATATTATTCAATGTTTACAGATGGACATAGCGACAACTCTCCTTGAATATGGTGCTCAAGCTGACGCAGAATCCAAAGCCGGTTTCACGCCTTTACATCTCAGTTCCCAAGAAGGCCATTCTGACATGTCTTCCTTGTTATTGGAACACAAAGCCAACCCAAATCAAGCTGCCAAGGTAAACCAATAATATATTATTTCGTCAGGATAAAATGTGACACTTTGTTTGACAAGCGATATTTGCGTTTGCTAGTCAAACAGTGTCAAAGCAGCTATCATATCAGTTGTCACCCGACACACTTTTAGTTCCTAAAAGTTGAACTTCAACTTAAGCTCCAAGACATGAAGAGTGTTGCCTAGCAACATACATACTAATCATTTTATTGTGTCAGTTAGAGAAACGTCAACTTCAAGAGCTAATTATGGAACAAAAATGGACGACTTTCGAGTTGATTGCAGAAAAAAAAAATTGTACATCACAACTGAACAATAATGTATTCTTATAATTGATTTATATGATTTTTTAGTGGCCAGTATTGTGAGTCGTCAAATTTTGTGATTGAATAGCAAACCATCTTTTCTTTTTTTTATCTACACACTTATGTGTTCAATCAACATGGTGCGGTTGCTGGTCGAGCGATTTATAAAATATATCTCTAAAGAACATAAATTCTCTGGCAATAATTCCGCAGAGCTATCTCCACCATTCACGATTTCATTCATTTATCCGTGTTTGGCGTTTAGGATCGTTAGCATATACTGTTTAATGATTGTTATTTAGTCTGAGCTCGTAACACCATTTATTATCCCCGATTTTTGTCCAAAAAAAGCACTTCGGCTCGCTCGTAACACCATTTATCCCTTTGCTCTCTGGTGGTTGGTCTTCAATTGATAAAACATGATAGAATATTCGATGAATCGTTTTAATCTATGGTATATGTATACAAACTAGTATTTATATTTATCCGGCTCTCTTGTTTTTACATTTCCAATTTCTATAGTTATATTATCAAGATGTTTCAATTCACTCTCAAGTTTACCATTTTATAGACCAATATTTCTTTCTTTCCACTGTACTTTTTATTTCGATGATTAAATAGTATCTGTAATATTGCTGTTAACACTCTTTATATTACAATAATCACTCACTATCGGATAAACTAGGATAAATGAAACACAGGATTAACAGTATCGACTACCCTGTCTTGGTATCGTACAACGACTGACTCCGTGACCGGTATCGTATCACAATCTAGTGTTACACAATACTAATAACCAGGTATCGCCGTAACTTTTTTTCCGCATTCCAGTGAGTACACTGCAGTATCAACACAAAAAATGTTTATCTTTATGAATGCGATGAACACATTGCGAAAGATCCAGGAGAACGAAAATATTGATGAAATGATGGAATGGAATGTGCGTTTAGTATAGCATGGAACTTCGCTCCGAGAGTGACGCGCCGGTCAGGGTGACCAACTTTATGATAATAAACATCGCATCAGCGAAATCGCCGAATAGCGAGCGGACCTAAAAGTTCGTCGCAGACGAAAATTTTTGAAAATCGGCGATTGTGATAAGAAACAATCTCTCATTATGTTCAGACACTTTTTCCAATCTTCAAGTTATGAATCCACACCTTTCTCCTATCGATCACTTCCTTGTTTCCCAAATTATCAGTTTCAAATACAAATTTGGACTGTCCTGACTTTAGGAAAGTATGCAAGCTATACTGGAGATTTTTTCGCTCAAAATGAACAATGAGGTACACAACAATAATGATTCATGTTTTTAAACGTTTATAGAAGTTCTCAAACAAAATTATAGACAATCAAAACACAACTACTTCTGATACAAAACACACGCAAACTAATGTAAACAGAGCAATCAATGGCCCATACGTTAGTTATATTAGACAACAGTAGAGGGCGTATTCCTTAGCACGATTCGCCTATGGTTCTGAGTTTTGAAACTGATATTACTGATTGACAATGATGTAATTTTCTCAGGGGCAAAATAAATCGCCCCAAATAGCCGTTCAGGCTAACGAATATCGCCTAAAAAATAGCCCATAGCTCAATCAAGAATATAATCGCCGTTCGAGAGAATAAATAGCCCACCACGCGAATGGCTCTTCTCTGGATGGAATCTAAGAGCATCAGCGTATGTTTAGGTGCTGAACCCCATATGTGGGAACAGTATTCTATAACAGGCCGTATCTGCTCCTTGTAGATCATGAGAAGCTGTTGAGGTGTGAAGTATCTTTTCGCACGGAACAAGATTCCGTGTTTTTGTGAAGCAGCTTTTGCGATGGATCTGACATGATTATTCCATGAAAGAGTGTTGCTGATGGAAATACCGAGCATAGATATGGTGGACTTGGTGGGGATGGTGGTGCCAGACATTACAATATCGGGCATACTGAGTTCCGCCTTTCTAGAGAAAATACAGGCTTGAATTTTGGTGGCGTTGAATTCAACTAGGGTGTTGGTTCCCCAGGCTGTGATTTCAGCAAGGTCGTCATTGACAGAATTGACCTGCCTGCGTCGTGAGTTCTTAGTTTCCTGGGAAGAAATGGGAATTCTGGAAGAGAACGCAGTATGGAGGGTACTATCATCTGCAAAGCTGTGGATGGGGCAAGTTGTTACTCCCAACAGATCATTGATATGAAGAAGGAATAATGTTGGTGCCAAAATTGATCCTTGTGGAACGCCGGAATTGATGCCAATGGTATCAGACGATACACCGTCCACCACCACGTGAAGCGATCTGCCTGAAAGAAAACTCGATAAGAGATGGCATAGCTGAGGTGGTAAGCCGTATGGCGGTAGTTTGTGGAGGAGTCCTTCGTGCCAAACACGGTCGAATGCTTTCGATATGTCCAACGCGACAGCTAGAGATTCCCCGTGTTTTTCTAATGAAGCTTGCCATAAATGGGTGACGTAGGCAAGTAGATCTCCAGTAGATCTTTGGTGGCATGCCGGGAATCTTGAAAAAACCAAAAAACTGCAAGTCCCTCTTCTTCCTCTGTTCCAGAACGGTCTCACCCCGCTGCACCTGTGCGCGCAAGAAGACCGCGTCCCCGTCGCGCAACTACTACTCCGCGCAGGCGCAGACAAGGACGCCCCAACCAAGCAGGGCTACACCCCTCTACACGTCGCCTGCCACCACGGCCACATCGGCATGGTGAGGCTGTTGATCGAGCAGGGCGCCAGCGTCGACAAGCCGACTGCTGCTGGGTACACCGCGCTGCACCAGGCCGCCCAACAGGGCCACGTGCTGGTCATCAGTTTGCTGTTGAAGAACAAGGCCGACCCCAATGCGTTGACTAACGTGAGTATACTCATCTTATAAAAGACCATCTTCAGCCTTATTGGAAGGTCTACAATACGAAAACAATTGATATTTGAGTGAAAGAATTACGTGTTTTGTTCTAGACTTACTTGGAGTTGAAAAAAAAAATTCGATGCTATTTGTTGAATTGTCAATGCCCTTAGTCAAGAATTCCGAAGGTACAAAGAAACAGGTGATCAATAAATGAAGGGCCCCGTGCCCTGTGAGCACATACTATTGGTTTTTGATGAACATTTCATATACCAGAATGGCCATTACCTCTCGATATTGCTTATCGCACGGTAAACGGTTTTTGCAACTTCTACAGGAACTGACGTCTATGAACTCCGCTGACCTGATCGAAACTACACTGAACTGGATGTTTTAATTTGGAAAAGTCAATTTATAATCAAAGATCTTGAAATGAACGCGAGAACTAATTTCGTATATTCCTGAATCAACCTGACCTAACCTGACGCTTGTCCCAATTATCAATGCTCTAAATTCAATAGTGAGTACGTGCAGGTATCATTGAACTCTATAGTGGATATTCACGGACCACATGGACAAACAAAACGCAGTCGATTTGATTCTGGTATTCAAAAAGGAAACTTCAGAATGGCCATTCGAAATTTTGAAAAAGTCAACTTCAGCATCCTGTATAATCCAAACTATTGAATTTAGAGCGTTGATAATTGGGACATTTGATCAGCATCACGATTTCTACGATATATCCAAAATTCGAGAAAATTCACCGAAAGCCAATTTCCCCCCTATTGCGGTGCGGGGTCCTTTATGTCGACATATTAATTTATCTACTATTCGCGGGGATCAATGTTACCAGGTGGCGCTCGGTTTTCGTCGTTCCATGTCAAAACCACGTCAAAACTGGGGGAAAACAAACTAAATCCTCACTCAATTCCATTAGTGCCATTAGCTTGTGTACTGATAAGAGTGATAAGTTTTTGAATTTCTTGAGATTAATTGTCAACATTCGATCGAAAACGCTGATAATGCCTGTTGTAGATGTTCATTTGGCAGATATTTTGCTCTATTTAGACGGAGAAAGTCGACCAGTAGTGGAAGGAGAAGCAGTTCTCCGTGCTAATCATGTGATTTTGTATGAGGCAGAAGACTTCAACAAAAGGCACATTTTTGCACTTTATCTACAAACTTCGGCGATGAAATCTTCCCCACATGAAGTAAAATTGAAGTTGGGGTCCAGAGGAACTCCTGTAGAACAATGGATTTGTATTTGTTCATGCAAAGTAGGACAATCTGGGTATTGTGAACATGTTGTAGCTGTTCTTTTATATGTCAATTGATTTGCTCGTCATAATTAGTTTGAATCGTTTGAACTATCTCCAATTCTTCACCTGGTCACTTTCACTAAACTGATAAAAATTTAATAATGTAATTAACCAACTCAACCATTATCATACCAACAGTGCCAACACTTTATGTCATTGACAAGTTTGACTACAGCTACAGCAAGCTGAATGCAATGTAGACTATGCACTTTATCCATAGACAACAGTTTGTTTTTCTCCAGTTTGAAGTTCGTTTTATGTAACCTAGATGTCGCCCACTTCGTGAATCTCGCGAATTTTGATATCATTACCATTGACGCCGGCCACTTCATAAACAACACTCCTAGTACATAGACTAGTTTAATTTCCTCTGAGCAAGGCAAGATTCGATGTTGGAAGGCTTCGTGTTACTAATAATTTTCAATATCTGTGCAGAACGGCCAAACGGCCTTGGGCATAGCCAACAAGCTGGGTTACATCAGCGTGGTGGAGGAACTGAAAGTGGTGACAGAAACCAACATCACCACCACCACGACGATGAGCATCGAGGAGAAATACAAAGTTGTTGCCCCCGAGGCCATGCAGGAGACTTTCATGTCGGACTCGGAGGACGAAGGAGGTGAGTGATTACTGATTTTTGGTTAGTTTTGTAAAGGAGGGTAACATATTTTGTGTGTCGCTTCTAGATACGACTAATTTTTGACGAGTACGGGGTCGTGTTGTTCTTGTGTAGTAGAAGTTTTTTCCATATGAAGAAAAATGCAAATTGATAAAAGAAATTCGTGATACTATTTTCTTGCATCAGATGATTAATAGATAGGTAGTCGATTTCATTTCTGTCTGTAAAATAATCTATTTTGTCTACGACTATAGGTAACACAAAATTGCTCTTGATTCACTGGTTTCAATGAATCAATGAGGTACATTGTACCTGGTCTTCAAAAATTATTAAACACCATGTGACCATATTCGCATGCAACCAACAATACATTTTTGTTATTATGTTTACTCAGGTAACATCATCATATATGTGATATTTGCACCTTGGATCATTCATGGCTGTAGTTTCCAGTGTTTACTTTTCGTTGGTTGACTTGTCAACTGTCATAGCAGCCATAGCTTGCCATGATTACAAAAATTAAAAACAGGAAAGTTGGATTGAGAATTTGTCTCTCCAATTTTGTGTTTTCGAAATTTATACTGCACAGCTGTAGCTAATTAGCACCCAGTAGCGCTTTGTTGTCGTTTCTCCTGGGTTTGTTGATAGTTTATTTGATTCTGGATTTTATTTTTATTGTTCTTGCACTTGATTTTTTCACTCACAATTATTACTTTGCGAAAAAAAATGTTTTATCAAAATTGCATCTCCAATTCATTGTTGTGAAAAGGTAAGACCAATAATTGAAATAATTAACCTTATGTTTTTATTGTTCATATCCTTATTTTCCTTTCAGGATTAAACATGTTTTTTTATCTGGTGAAATGAATGCCTTCTTACTGATGGCACATTCCAGAAGTGGTACTCAAAGCTGAACAATTTCATGATACATTTCCAAATGCAAATACGCCTATATGTTTAATTTTGATAGCAGCTGTTAATTTACAGTTATTTATTTAACAACTGTGTGTGTGGTTTCAAACACATTTTGGTCAAGTGGTGTTCAATCATTGTTGAAGACCCGATTTGTCTTCAATTCCGTTTCCTTATCAAATTTCAACCAATGACAGCTCTGTCTCATAGAGCTTTACTCAAGAGAAAATCAGATGCCTACGGCTCAAACTTCATTCTCGTGGGAAATGCATATCATACCATACTCTTTAAATATACTATTATTAAACTCAAAAAGCTGAATGTTCCTTGAACCTAGTATCAATAATTCTCTAGTTTGGCCTACATTTATTTTGCCGCAGTTGTTCTTTGGACTGCCAAATAAAATTTAAGGCTCGTGCCTTTGATTATTTACACTAAGAAGATGAACCATCCTTATGAGAACAATGAAGCCAGAAATTCTGTTCAGTAAGTGGCGGTATCTATGGGTGACAAGATGAACTACTTATTTTCAGTAGCTAAGGGTAGAGATTGGTAATGCAGAATATATTCTAATTTTATTTTTAGATGTTTTTATGCAAGAAGGAATGTCGTATCAGGACCGGATTTAAATATTTTTATCATTTAAAAGTCAATTCAAGCAGATTCCGAGAGTATAGATAAATCTGCCTTCTCTAGCGCCGCCTACTAACCAGCCAAGTACAAAGGCCAAATTTTTCTTTTTACATAGAGGTGGATCATCTTGTTAGTGTAAATCAAATAATCAAGACTTGTGCTGTATACGTTTTCAAATTCTAAATTTCTGAAAACCTCACGCAAAATAAAACATTCTGTACAATATGTTTTATCGGATGCTTAATAGTTTTTTTTTGTTCAATTGTTTTTGTAAAATAATTGAATCTACTGAACACCTGTCCATATTTTAGCGCACATTATCTATAGGATTTTTTTTTGCATTTTTCGAGTCATAGTTGCTCAAATCTTTTTTAATATTTTGCTGTTAGAACTTATTAATATTCAATAACATTCCCTAACAATTGTTTTTGTTGCCTGGCAATTTAACGAAACCTTTTTTTTAGCAGTTTTTGTTTTATTAAATTACCTCAAAGCAACAAAACTGGAATTATAAGTTTCGTGTTCACAAAAAAGCTTAAGTTTAATTTGGTAAGAGAATTTAATAAATAGGTATATAACATTTTTGTTGATGGCTTCTTCAATTTCTTCATTTGAAGACTCCAAATCCCGACATTTCCACAGATCAAATACTTTTCTGGCAAGGCAAGTTTGAGAAAAATTCGCACAAACGACTATATGGGATTTTTTATACATGAATCAAATTGTCAGTAAAATCATTGAGTGGGTCTGAAATGTCGGAAGCAATATCCCGAAATTCTAATATTTTGACGTTTACAGAAAACCTCTCTTTTCAAATCATTATACAGGGTGTTCTAGGAATAGATGTGTTGACAAAAAAGTTAGCTATAAATGTTCTGAATAATAATTATCAATTTTGTATGTTTTTTTATTGCTTGCTGATGTTAAAGACTATATCGGTATTCCACTATTAAAAATAGGAAAAAATCAATCATCATTGAGACAAAAAAGTATCTATACTATCTATCGTGTAGCGAGTATCATTAAAAACGTTTCCACCCCAAGAATGTTTTCATTGTTTTAATTTCAAAGCTATAAATTCTAAATTTGTTGGCATAGAAAGTTATTTTGCCCCAAAAAAATCACAACCTTGTAGAACGGTTCTTATTCTGTCCTTCCACGATGCTACTTGGCATCTATTTCAGTGATACTAGGTTCCCTTGATGTTAATTGACCTATTTGTCATCTTAACAGAGTACGGACAGATCCTCGTCTCCTCTCACTCTAAAGTGTTTGTGAAACAGTTATATAGTTCCATCTTTATTCATTTCTGGGGCTGAACACTAGATTTCTGACATTTGTTGTTTTTTAGGTTATATTGAGGACATTGGCGTATCATACGTAATTTCCACGTGTAATTTTTCATTCAAATCCACATATTATTTCCAAATGATGATGATAATGTTCGAGTTTTTGATTTTTCAACTCCTGCATAATCTTTGTGAGGCAGTGAGGAAATTTTTCCGGAAGTTTAATACGTTTTACCGAATGGGACTGTTCTTAGGCAGTACCTATCAATAAATGAATTTTGATTTCAGACTAAGCCTTATGGTTGGGAAATGGTGAAAAATTGTATGTAGGTATTTAAACTACTAAACTGTGCTCATATGTCATGTGTGCTGTATATATTCATGTTGGGAATCATTTTTGCAGTTTTTCACGAACACTTGATATTTCCTGAATCCTGAATGTATAGGCATAATTTTTTAAATGATATGCCTCTTCTTTCAATCCTCCGTTTTAATCAAAACTGTTTCTACTAAAATGCATTCAAAAACTTGTGGAGTGGATAATTATAGACACAATGAGAAAGTATAATATGTGATTTCGTATTGGTTTTACCTTGAATATATTGCTGATGTGTTTACCAATTTTCCCCATTCGGTCACTTCACTTTCCATGTTCTAAGTTCATTTACATTTGATGGAAATCTGTCTTTCAAATTTGCCATCCAACTGATTGATACAGCCTAACGCAGCACATTTTACCATCCTTCCAAATTAGAATTGAATAATGTCGTATTAAGATCAAGTATGAAATTAAAATCTCTTAACGCCTATGAATGTGACGTGACAGCAATTCCATGTCAAGGACGCCAATACACGAAACCAAAGTCACTAGATGATTAAAAGAAAAAGGAGCTATGATCTGTCCGTACCCTATTAGATAACAAATACGTCAGTTTGCATCAAAGGACCCTAAGTGATACGACCTTGTATTGAGCAATAACATATCCTTTCATCACATGATGATCTTTCGTTGAATACAGGATGTTGAAGTCATAGGGAAAATAAAAACGGTGAATCTGGGATAATTAATGCGTATAAACTCGAGGGGGGGGCATTTGGGGGGTTGAACCCAACACGATGGAACATTGTCGCGCTATAAGGGTGGTGGTTGGTTGCATGCAGGCGGAGCGGACGAATCCATCGTCGCTTACGGCCGACCGACGCATGCGCAGCACGTCTATCTACCGTTCTACCAAGGAAACATGACCTATACACGTAAGTCCCTACCTCCATCTCACTCTCTATCTCTGTCTCTCTTTGTCTTAGTTCTTTGTCTCTTTTACCTCGAGAAAATTTCAGATTAGCTTCTTCTAGCTTTTCTGTCTTGATTTTTGTATTGTGTCCTGATGTAGATAGAATAGTAGAAGTTGCAGTAGTTAAGTATTAGTAGTAGTAATAGTTGTAGTAGGAGTAGTAGTAGTACTAAAATTGTTGAAAGTTATATAGTCTGTTTCACAAGAAACTGCGCAAGCTGTATCTCCATTTTTTTCATCAGATTTCCAAAAATAAGAAAAAAAAACATTATCTTGAAAACACTACAATGTGGTGTAAATTATGTTTCTATTTCAACTTCAACAAAGGTTTATAGTTTTTTCAATAGAAATAGCCTGTTTTGCTTTGTTGAATTCAGCATTGTTTTTCAATTCAAGGATATACAGGGTGTTTCAAAATTCAGTGTCAAGATTTCAGAGTGTTAGAATTTCGAGTTTTTTTTTCTTTATAGCTCTTTCAGTTTCCGAGATTTTAAGATAAAATTTGAAACATATGTTACGTTTTAGGTGTCACATCATACAGTATGCCGAGCGATTGTGAGAATCTACAGGGAGATATTTTTTTTAGGGGTCCAACCTTTTTTTGCTCAATAAACTATTTTGGTACTGGTAGACTTTGAAATACGAAATGAGTTATTTGTCTTGTTTATCATAATTTTTCTTTTCTTGTAATTTTTACGCATCTGCGACCTATAACGAGATTTATTTGCTACTTTGAATTAAAATTTCCAATACAATGAAAACATAAAACGCTACATATGTAGTTTGTGATGTCAATTATAGATTTCCAAACATCATTTAAAGAATGAAAAACCTTCTCATGAGAGGTGCTGGAAAATGAAAAAATCTTTAACGCTCTGTAGATCGGTAACGAAGCGGTTGCGGGCACATATTTATCGGAAAAAAAGTCTTATTTTGACCTAGAAAATAATCCTGAAATTTTGATACTAAATTTTGAAACACACAGTATAAGAAATCTAAGTAAATCCGCATTAGTTTATCGATTTAAAAAAAATCATAAAAAACTTTACTTTGATGCATATTTGCATCCGATTCTTGTGAAATGTCAACACCACTATCGGTGTCGGAAGCCCTTATTGATTAGTAAAATCAGTAATTGAAATTGATAAATATATTCATACCTCATGGTACTTATCTTTGAATTAAAATATTATATTGTTTTGCCTTAATAAATTCAGCTTGTCATTCTGTATTCAACAATATATCACAAAAGCCTTTATCAAATCCACATTATTTTTAACGATTTAACGAAGTTCCATACTTTGATGCATATTTGCATGCGATTTTTATGAAATGTCAACAGCACCACTGGATTCTTAAGCCCATTATTAGGATAATCCTGATAATTTTCTTCTTAGGATTTTAAACCAATCAGAATTTCAGTATCATTCCCAATTACATAGTAACCAAATCATATTCTTACATACAAACAAAGCGCACCATCAAATTTTGTCATTCGTTCAGGACTACTAAAAAAATAAGCGCCTCGAATACTATTCGAACTCGTAATATTACTACTGAATATAAATTGATAAATATCACTAAAACAGTTATAAAAACATTCATTTTGCAAACTGACTCCTGTCTAATAGAGATTTCAAACAATGAATTAATAATTTTGTATTGAAAAAACACGTCAGGGTCATCTTCCAAAAATAAAAAATCAAAACTCACCAGGACGACCTGAAATTTTCGAAACTCTTCACACTTTCAAATATCATTGAATTATAAACATAACTTTCAAAATGGAACAGTTCAATTTTCAGACATTAGCAAATAATAGGTTACTGAATGTTTCTATTATACCGGGTGGCTACGGAAGTATTGCCTACGGAATATCTTCTTGCCTGTACTATTCAGCATAACCATTCCTTTCTAATGATATAATTGAAAGTCATTTTTTGCATTTTGCTTCCACGACCTACTCGGTGAATTTCAATAATATTTTTTTCTGATCTAGTTTCTGGTTAGATACCAACTTGTGATATGTCATTAGAAAGGGAATTGAATGCTGAATAAAGCGAGAAGAAAAAAAAAATAGGGTTTCCATTTAAAATAGGAAAGTTGATGTTACTTCCGGTCAGACCGGAAGTTAACTTCGACATGTCAATATGCTCAAATTCTAGCTCTTATGTCATTATATCGACGCTCCAAATTTCACAAACCTACTTCATACAATAACTGAGATATTCCGTAGGCAATACTTCCGTAGCCACCCGGTATATGGTTTGTCATGATAAATTTCCTAAAACCTCCGAACCTTGTCGCCTGGACTATAATTTATCACATTTTATATAGAACTAATATTATGATATTGAAGCTTGTTTGTTATCGGAACCACGGTGTTCATTAGCACGGCTTATCAACATCCAGTATCACGAAGTATCTCGATACCTACTTGATCGCATTATCTATCGTCCTTACATAAGTGTGTTAGTTGGAATGTATTGAGACAGAAAAAAACACGGACATTTTTCGGTGCAGGCGAGGACCCTCTGTTGAGCGACCAGCAGCAATACAAATACATGACTGTCGACGATATGAAGTCTCTGGGCGATGACTCGATGCGGCTAGACGTCACTAGTGACGAAAAGAGCGAACACAACAGGAATTCGATGGGTGAGTTCATGAGGAGTTGATCAAACTCTGGGATGTGCTTTGGGTCACCAAAAATTGGAAAATAATGATATAATAGTATATTACACACCGAGGTGGGAAGTGATTCATTCCTGTAGTGAGATTAGTTAGTTAACCGAGACGCAAAGGGTCGAGGTTAGCTATAATTTCGAGAGAGGAATGAAACTTCCTACCGAGTTTTGTATACTATTTTATTTACAACCATCATATTTCGATCAAAATTAATGAATCTATGTTTCGTTCTGAACATAACTGAATAATGTCACACTTCCCAATCTTCAATGACTTTAGTAATGACATAGATCTATGGTAATGACAACATTACATATATGGTTGTAAATAAATATTATTGATCGATTGATTGTCTTCATTGCCCCAAGAAATATTTCTGTTTATAATAGGGATAGTTTAGTTTATTATTTATTGGCAAAGTATTACACTAGTGCATTCACAGGTCAGATATAAAAAAAGAGAGAAAAAGTGTTACAATTGATATAAAACAGTAAAAAAAAATATTTACAAATAGTAGGACAAATCTTATTAGGTAATATAATAATGGTAGCAAAACATAGTAAGACAAACATAAAAATATCAAAATATAGAGTCGAATACATTTACATATCGAAATCACTTTTCAGATACTCCTCGATGGAATAGAACGCATTTTTTAAAAGATACGTTTTGACTTTGGATTTGAAGTTTTATCTCTATTCGCTAGATTCACGAAGTGGGCGACATCTAGGTTACATGATACGAACTTCAAACTGGGGGAAAACAAACTGTTGTCTATGGATAAAGTGCATAGACTACATTGCATTCAACTTGCTGTAGCTGTTGTCAAACTTGTCAATGACATAAAGTGTTGGCACTGTTGGTAGTGATGATGGTTGGTTAATTTTTTTACATTACATTTTTATTAGTTTAGTGAACAGTGAACGGGTGAAGATAGTTCAAAGAATTCAAACTAATCATGACGATTAAATCAATTGACATATAAAAGAACAGCTACAACATGTTTAAAATACCCAGATTGTCCTGCTTGCATGAACAAATACAAATCCATTGTTCTACAGGAGTTCCTCTGGACCCCAACTTCAATTTTACTTCATGTGGGGAAGATTTCATCGCCGAAGTTTGTAGACAAAGTGCAAAAATGTGTCTTTTGTTGAAGTCTTCTGCCTCACACAAAATCACATGATTAGCACGGAGAACTGCGCTTCTCCTAAACTAAATAATCTCTATTTTTAGTTGAATATGAGTGGATATCCCTATGTGATCTGAAGTTTACTAGGTTCAGTTATATGTGGGTTAGACAGTAGGATACATGAATACATATAAAACAAGGAATCGTAATGAACTCCACTGACTGGGAACAAATTTTAAAATTTTTCTTATGATGAAAGTTATATTGCCCTGAGCAGTTATGTTTTAAGATTGATTTTAAATCTTTTCGCATCATGTATATTTTTCAACTCATTCGGTAAAGAATTGTATAAAATTATACCATTGTGAAATACAGATTGTTCGACTCGAATGTTTTTGCTATCAAGTAATTTAATTGTCTAGTCCCTTAACTATGGACTGTTTGGATTTCCTTAAAAGTTGATCTTGACATTTTCAATTTATTCATGGCAAATTTGATACGATAGAAAATTTGAAATCATTGTGGATTTTAATCTAGAAATGTACTATTTTAATAATATATCCCAAATGACAATAATGGAAAATATTGCAAAAATGGCAAGATTAGATTACCTGAAGATAATAATCGGCACTTTTCCGCATAAAATCTATTTATCGGAATAATTGAGATTAGAGAGAATGATGTTATGTTCTCAAAACATTTACTTTCTGTCATGTTGGATATGATTTAAATCACCAAATCATAGACGCTAAGAGTGTCCTGATAGGTACCCTGTATGTCAAGTCATACATTGGAAAACTCATTATATATTTTCGTAACACTACTCAGAGATTATGGGGATTTTACTACTTAATCCCATAACGTTATTTTGATTCAACGGTATTCAAATGACAATTGAAAAGTTTGTGTTGACATCCTTGGTCCGTTAAGATTGTTTAACGGCCGGCGGTCGTGTCCATAACAACACGATGTTGTGATTTTTCTGTAGAATGACTAGGTACATGGTTTGTTCTTTTCTCGGAATCAAAATGGAATATTTCAGGATGAGGTTGAATATTGAAATCCGAGGCGCAACCGAGGATTATAACAACCGAATACGACCTTCTAACGTTGATAACTATTTCAATCTTTCCCTGAGGATACTAACATAATCAGCGAAACACGTTCGACGCGTTAAAAAATCGGTTTGGTTAGTGGTAGAACAGTGTAGTATGATTTTATACCGGGTGATTTTCGAAGGTTTTTCACCCCACACCATTCACACCCATTAGTCATATGGAAACTTCGAATGCGAATATCTCCGTAACTGTTTTTGAAATAACCCTATCTCACTCAGTATCGTTGAATTCCTTATGATAATCCATAACCGATTATGGAATAAAATACAGGGTATCCCATACGCCAAAGCAAGTAGATATGTCAAAAAATATCAATTGAACCATAATTCACTACCCCCAAATTTCGTTTTACTACCTTCAATAATGAAAAAGTTATATGGTTGAGTCACCTTGGGAAATCACCCGATATACTAATTATTTCGCATTGTATTGTTTCAGCTCCCTCTCATATTAGCAGTGAACTCATCATAACTCCTCACCATAACAAGGAATATTATGCAACAAACCCATATTCCGGTGCAGACAATGTGGATATCAACCGTCAGCCTATCACAGCAGGGTAAGTCAATTTTTTCGGCTGTTTCGTTGCAAATACTCAAGATTTGGGAGTGTCAGCTTTTAATAATTATTCCTAGTAAACAACTATTGGGCGGGGCAATTTTTTGTTTATTGAAGCGCTGTTTAAATAGATTTTGTATTTACCTATAATAAGTAAAAGTATACAATATAAAACTCAATAGACGCAAACATGTCAAGGAATTGGTATTGTAAATAAGATAAGTGATATCGGTAAAATGTTTTTCATCTTGTTTTCATTATGGTGTTGGGACCCATGTTTTTTTGGTGAAATGTGAACCAACTTAATTTTGATGAAAAAATAATCTGATTTTTTATCATTTTGAGTTATTATGAAGACACATTTGAAGAAATCCGAGATGGTTTGGCAAATTGTTGAGGCATAAAAATCGTCTATATTTCGACTATTTTCCACTTATTCAATCCTACTAAAACTTTCGTCTCTATAAATAAAAATGTTAGTATCATTTCAATATGTCATAACATTGTGAATTTTATTGAATTTCTTTTAAATTAGTATACTATTTTGAATAATCTTCTAAGGAAACAGATTTTCAATAATGATTATTTATGTTTTTATACCAATACTAAGTAGGCATGGTGCAGATCTTGATTTGATGACGAAAAAAAATTGATCAACCGTATTCGACACATTATCTCTAAATGCCTAATATGAAAACGGTTTTTTTAGAATATGTGAGCAGATGCAATAAAATCAGGATAGTTTTATTATATAAAAGTAATTATTGATGTTACATCATCATTTCATTACCGAATTACTGATAGTGTTGAAACTGTTGTAGTTTATAGAATAGATTCCAGAAATTGACCTTGTACAAAAGACGGCATCTTCATAGTTTCTGCTTCTGGCCTGTACCATCAGTAGAACGGGATTGAAAAAAAAATACTGCAAAGAACCTCTTAGCTATGACCTATCGACATACCGATTTCATTAGTTGAAGTCTTCTGCGTCTGCCCCTTACTTAGCATTTAACCCCTTAGAGCTGGGCAAATATTCTTAAAAAAAGTATTTAATTAATAATTATTGATATGTGAGTACCTTCAGGGCATTTGGAAATTTCCAAAGTATATAGGGTGGCATTGAAATAAGTGCAAATATTTCAAACACTGAGGAAGCTGGACGTGTACTATCGAATGGCATCAATAAAAAAAAATAGGGATCAAAATCAAATTTGAGGTCAGACGCTTTTTTTCACCCAAAGTTCTACCCTGTAGCAAATCTGACGTCATCTCTGTTCAAATTTCTATGCGGTAGGCACAATCACGATGAGTTCAATCATTTAAATTGTTTGTAAAGTGGCTTACTTGATTTTTTCTCGTATTTTGTTCAATTTTTGGAATGAAATTTCTCGTCAACTAGAAGAATTAGAAAAAATCTGATATCATGGAATATCCATGAGAAAATCCGCGCACGCAGTGTCCTTATAGAAGGACGGTAGGCATATCTGGATTAATGCGCTGAATATGTGCACTTATTTCAAAATCACCTTGTATAAATATTGGGAAACTGAGGGAAATAGATCGCCAGCTGTTGCAATACCGACTGTTTCGGCTTGCTAAGCCTCATCAGTCGCACTAGGCCAGCTGACAATCTATTCACGAAGGGTTAACTACATCGAAAGTATTCAAATATTTTCAAAATAAGTATTTAAATACTGGAAAATATTTTTAAATGCAAAAAAATGTCCAGCTCTACCTCCTATGCTGAAAGTAGTTAGTGTATGTGTATTTAAGCTTGCGCAGAGAGGATTGGCCGAGGCTAGAATGCGCGTTGAGCAAGCTGGGGCCCCAAAGCCGAGGGAGCGGCCTGTGCAGAGAAAGGTACTTGTTCACAGCGGTACCGATTTTTGAGTACCGAAGATATATGCACCGAATGCTGCACCAAAAAAATTAACACGTGTGATAGATATATTTTTATATATATTTAGTCTCACTACCTTCTTAATCGTTTAGATATTTGGTATATGTTGTATAATGGAGAGCATTAATATGGCATTGAACTGCTGTTTGAGTGGAAAAAAATTGTGTCCAATTCTAGTCAAGAATTTGTGCTACGTGATCTTCAAATCGTGTTCATATATTCCATAGTGTTTGTCCAATATTCTGGGCATCTTCTCTTTTTTATTTGTGAACACTGAAGAATCATATTCTTTTCCCATGATGAATTGGATAATATTCTGTCTGTTTTTTTTTCTCTTGAACATCAAGTCAGTAACCAGCACTATTTTGGTAAAAGTTTGAAATAATCTGTGCTGAAATTTTACTACTCACTATTCTCATCTGTTTCACTAACTAATTTTGTTCAGGAAAATGAACATTTGACTATTTGTAAATAGTATGTGGAATAATTGATGGGTGTTATCATGTAAATACCGCAAATAAAAATCACCATTATTCAATAGGGTGATTAAAAAAAAATACGACCATAAATGAATACAGCTAGTCGCTTGAGCAATTGGAATCGTTGCTATTTCATTACCTTTCGAGTTGATAACACGATAATTTGTAAGGTGCAGTAAAAATTAATGTTTTTTTTTGTTTGTTGCTCATGTTCCCAACAGTGTGCCAAGTTGGAAAAAGTAAGTTTAATGTACAGTGTAAATATCATAGCTACGTAGTGTGCTTCTAAAACCACGTTAGTGTTTGGCAGTTTGTGATTAACAATTTGCTTTAGTTGTACCCTATTCATATTATCCAAAAATGTTCTTTCTCATTTGTTAAATGTCCAACTAAATATTGTATTTTAAGAACATATTCTCAGGAAACGTTATTTCAAATTTCACTAAATAAAAACTTGAGAGTGAATAAAACAATGATATACAGGGTATAACAATCAACTTTTCCTGTACCACCTCTTCGTAAATTGAATGTAACTCTTATTCTATCATTATTCAAGATCCTCTTTCAGCGATCACATTTTCATTTAAAAATTCATGATCATTTTATTGTCAATCTAACCGATTTTGGTGTTTTTATCAAAAATGCTTACTCAGAAATTCAACAAGTTTCCGTAAGTAGAATGTTCAACCTCAAGTGTGGATTTTGGCTTGAAGGAATGAATATCTCTTGCTTTACTTTGGGTTCAGATGTTAAACCCTGTATTCATCCTTTAGATACCTATTAACCCAAACAAATTTACCCATATACTCATAAGCATTTCAGAATATTGGAAAACATAAAACGTACAATTTGAGTTGAGGTGGAAGAATCTTCGGTCAAAATTGATGAAAATCTAAATACTATGTCTAACATACGCGCGGGCAGAAAAATGTTGCCAAATTGATCGGCCATTTGTTATTCTTGCCCGATCCTGGTGAAATTTCGATCAAATCTTATGGATTTATGTTTCGGAATGATAGCCTCAATTTTAGCTCCCTAGAAAAGATGATCATTATACAAGTAAAAACAAAAGTTACTCTTTCTCCCTTAATTTCTTAACGCCTTGTGGCAAAAGTGAATGATTAAACCTGACTTCATTATGTTTTGTATCATTATCACCAGTTAACCCTTGTACTGTCACTGGTTTTTGTGAATGGCATTGTTTGCCCCGACATAGTTAACTTGTATTGTTTCTTGACGTTTATAGAAATGTCACTTGGCTCCAAGCCTACTCTATGAAAGTTGTGCCAGAACACATAATCGTTATTGTTTATAGAGAGTTTAGCGCATAGCCTACTGGACGTAAAAACAATAAGTTGAAATCAGTACTCCTAATAAGATAACACTGTGATTGTGATACATCAAAGGAAATTTTATGCTGATTTCAAATCTGTTATGGATTTTAACATGGCGTCCATTAGAAAAATTGAAGTTGTAGATGATATCTCACAAATTTGACATGTTGACAGAAAAATGACAAAACCAAAAAGTGCCATGAGAATGTTGAAATAATGTTTTCATGAAATCAATAGTTTCCGAGATATTCGAACAAAACAAAATTACAAGATTTCAGTTTTTCCCAAATATCTCAAGAATGACTAAAGCTAGCCCGGATTTCTCAATAGATTCTGATTCAACATTAAATTTGCTACAACTTTGACAATTTAACCGTTTCTCATAGTTACTGAGATCCCAATGGTGAGGATCGAATTTGGGACACACTGTATATCTCAAAAAACAAAAAAAAAACATAAAAAATCATCTTTTTCTATGGTTCCCAGCTTCCTGGTGTCGTTCATCGTGGACGCTAGAGGCGGCGCGATGCGCGGCTGCCGCCATTCGGGCGTACGCGTGATCGTGCCGCCCCGCTGCGCTGCCAGTCCCACCCGGATCACGTGCCGCTACGTCAGGCCGCAACGGACGCCCCACCCGCCGCCCCTCATGGAGGGGGAGGGATTGGCCAGTAGGCTGCTCGAGCTGGGGCCGGTCGGCGCCAAATTTTTGGGGTGAGGAAATTGGATTTGCTTGCAATAGGTTATTATTCGAGCGTTAAATTTAGTATTTCAGGAATAATTGATTGAAAACTTCAAAACAATAAATTATATCAAGTGATATCTCAAATATGCTCGCTTCTATGGAAACACTAAATGGGTTGTGACAGTCCCCCCCTCGTGTTCTGCTCTTGATCCGAGGAAGAACTACGTAGACTGCTACTACCATAGCATTTGCGTGGTCTGCCCCTTTTTCGAATCTCCACAACTGGTTTTTGGTATGGTGAACACCTAATGGTTCATCCAGGGAATCTGGAGCTGCCACCAAATAACTAACGGGTGACACCACTTTGACTACTACATATGGGCCATCACGCTTTGGGTCGAACTTTTTCGTAGTTTTTTTATCTGTAGAGCTGTGGGTATGAGTAGTAACCCATACTTGATCTCCCTCTGCATATTGTGTGACCTTCCTGAGCTTTTTATCAGCATACTTCTTGTGTCGATCTTGCTGCTCATCGTGAATAGTTCTGGCTTCCTGCCAAGTGAGTGCCATACGTTGGAAATAGGAAGTTATCTGCGGCATAAAATTATCCGAATTTACAATGATTCGTAAGTCATTCTGGATTTCGTCTAACGTTCTCAGTTCTCGTCCGAAAGTAAGGTAGGATGGAGTAGCACCCGTACTTCCGCTTTTGGCATGGCGAATCTAATAGTAGGCCATGTATCATGTTCATTCTTCACCAGCATTGCAAGTTGTGATTTCAGGTCCCTATTTTTTCGCGCAAGCCATGTTTTGCCCTACGTTGGGCGCCAATATAACATTGGATGTTATGTTAAACAGTTCGTAGGTACTTAGATTGGTATTATTGAACGACGAGGTGCGAATACTTTTTTAATAATAATAACTTCAATATGCTCGCTTCTATGGAAACACTAAATTCTTCAATACCTAGTGTGAAAGGCATTTAATGGTAAGGCAGACATGAAAGGGTTGTCCTTAGGCCGGTTCTAGGTCATGGATTGTGACACTAGCCATTTTTTCTAGCTATGTTTTATTCTGAATTTACATAAAAATATTTCCATTTTTATAATATTCCCATTATATCCACGATCTAATCTAAGTCTAATTTTGTCTAGTCTGTATTTCTATAAATTTTATACTCCATACTTTGTTCCATTTTGACAAATTAGGTGCGTTTTTCATTCCAAAATTATGTCATGCGCATGAACCCAAGAAAAATTTACGTTAATGACGACAACATATCACGTCATACCTCAACATCAATACTACTCGAGTCAGTAGAGTCTAGCTCTAGATCTAAGCTCTAGACCTAAGTTTTTATCGTCAGAATCGTAGTCCATGGTCAGATCGAGTCAGATTTCTTGTTTTTGCTAGAAAGATTGCAAAAAATGGCTAGATTAGCCAAAAAATGGCTAAAAAATTTTTCGCCTGTGGCGTCCTTCCATTTCATACTTTAGCCTTTTTCCAACAGCCTTCTAGCCATTTTCGAAATTGGCTATTGTCAACACTGGTTGAATTATGTTCGTGGTACATTCAGTTATGGTGGATTTATAAACTCAACTCATAAATTAACGTTTGAATAAGGAATCTAAGAAGCTGTCTGGTTGAATAATTGAAATCGATCAATCAGCTCTCACAGCTTTCTGATTTAATTGTTAATTCCTAGTTTATCGGATCTTGATCATTTACATCAACAAGATGAACCACCCTTATGAGAGCAATGAAGCCAGAAATTCTATTCAGTAAGTGTCTGTATCTGTGAGCGACAAGGTGAATTACTTTTTGTTGTTTAGCGAAGGTTATTTTACTACTACAGAAAGAAGAATACTTCTAGATAGTAGCAGATTCCGGAAGTATAGACATATCGGCCATTTTTCTGGCGCCACCTACCAACCAGTCAAGGACTTTGGCCAAATTTTGATTCAACTTTTTACTTGGAGATGGATCATCTTATTAGTGCACATAATCTAGGATTAAGATGAGCCAATAAACTCCATTTATTCATTGAGTATCTACTTATTCACTGCTTCTACAAATGTTCACTTTTCCACTAACCAAATTTAACCCTACACGTATTTTGTTTCTGACTTTTCAAATAAAAATAATCAACTCTTGGATAATTTCAATTCTGTTAGACTCCAAATATGTAAGATAACTTGATCAATTTAGACAACCCAAGAGACGAAGTGGACGCTAGGTAAATCAGGAATTCGCGAAATTATTTTTAATGGTGGCGACAAAACACATATGTAGGTCTAACTAGGAGACTAAGTAAAGCTAGGTTCGAGGAACATCTTGCGCTTATAATATTCGATATATTAGAAAAATCAAGTGTATGAACTGAAAATATTAGTAGTAGTATGAGTATTCACTTAAACTTGATAATTTCAAAAAATCAGGCACCCATGGAAGCCTCTACAATTGATTGGTAACAGTGATACTAATAGAATCGAAAAAAAGGAAATAGGACCTGTAGTATTTTCAAAAAAACAATTTTTATTCAATAAATCAATGATGCCATGAGACTATAACTACTATATAGTGCACTACACAGTACACATAGTACACTATAAAGTGTTATAAACCTTCTGAATTTGATGTTAACCTAGAATATCTTGACTCTACATTTGAGGAAAATTTTTGGGTTATAGTATGTAACGAGAAGAAACGGTAGAGATGGTAGTAATACATATTTTCAAACAGCATGGTCTTCTCACTTTTTCTCATTGTGAAAATTTCAAAACAAAAGAAGGCTTAAGTTGTTGATTTAAGAGTAAGTTACCGTCATGATTTTTCAAAAATTGGAGACAAAGATTCTCAAAAATGCATAGATAGATTATTACCGAATTTCCAAAAATAATTTCTACGGGTGTTCAAACCAGATTTTTTACACATTTTCCAATTTCACCATTGATTTTGGACACGATTTTTCCAGGCCAGTCATCATTGAAGTACCGCATTTCGCTTCTTTGAGAGGCAAACAAAGAGAAATCATCGTACTCAGATCCGACAACGGGGAAACCTGGAAAGAACACACTCTGGACGCGAACGAGGAAGCGATACAGGATGTCCTGAACCACAGTTTCGACGGTGAAGGTATAAAAAATTAACTAGCCAACCGCACATCAATTTAGATAAATCCTCTTTCATGTTCGTCCCGTGAAGGATTATTGAAAGCGAACCTTTAAAATTCTGGAATTTTCGCATAAATTCTACGAATAATTCAAAACTCTTAGGTTAAACTATTGGCCAGTCTCTATCTTGGTCATCTCATATTCAAATGATTAGGAAAAAAATTGCTCCCATTGTTTGTATATTATACAAATTGAGGTCACTTATACCACTTGATTACTTGAATTTGATTTATGTCAGTTTGCTTTACTCTGAATTGCCGTATTTGATATTGATCTGTTATGAAACCTCTGAACTATTTGCAAAATAAGGCTGTCAAATGTATTTATAAACTATCATTTTTGGAATCAACATCTACACTACAAACCAAGGGATCTTCTAGATATGAACTCTCTCTTCAGAATGATAGTATGCATTTTCATCCATTTCACTGATAATAAGAAAAAACACTCCAATCCTACTTTCAATGTCGTGTAAAGTGATCATTTGAAAATTGTCAAAATAAAACCCAATATGGGAAAAAATCATTATTTTTTTGTGGTATACATATTTAAAGTTTTTGATTTCCTTGTCAAGAAGCGATTGTTCCTCCTTATAGTAAAGTTCCAACAACACTAACAAATAACATTAAATGGACATTTAGCTGAAATACCATTGTCAAGTGATCATGAAATTATCAGTATCAAAAAAATGTATACTCGTCTTCAGTGAACATGTATGAGCGCTTTTATTGCAGCGGTGATTAAGACAGCTGACACCGTCCATGTGCGACATGTTCTCTGAAGACGACTATACTCAAATAGCTTTTCAACTAAGATAATCAATCAATAAAACGAACATTTATTAGTATCAAATTAATAAATCTGACCTAACTATTGTTAATTCATCTGTATGATTTATTCTGCAGAACTGAGTCAGTTGGAAGACTTGCACACCAACAGGATCACGCGCATCCTGACCAACGATTTCCCACACTACTTCGCTGTGGTTTCCCGGGTGAGACAGGAAGTGCACGCTATCGGTCCTGACGGCGGTACCGTGTCCAGCATAGCGGTACCGCTGGTACAGGCTGTGTTCCCGCCCAACGCGCTCACGAAGAAGATAAGGGTCGGACTGCAGGTAAGGGAACTGCATTGAAAAGCTATGGAATTGAGAATACTCAATTTATTCAACTATATATCGAAGAGTGGAACCTTTGGCACGATAATCCGCTATAGTCTGGCTCCTAAAAAATGACCGCAGGAAAGAATGTGAGCACAGACAGACAGACAATTTAAAAACGGAATCTCAAGTGCTCGCTAGAAACGGTGATATTAATACAGATGTGCCGTATCCTTAGATATTAGAATCACCCAGTATCCTAGACTATTCAATATGATGTGTCAATAGTTCATGGAATAAATTTCGACGAGTGTGCTCAAAATCTTGAAGAATGTCTCTGTAGACTCTCGGACTACGATCTTCACGTTAACAAGAAATACTGTTTATTTTTCATGAAAAAAATCGATTATCTTGGTCATATTGTTGAATACAGCAGAATAAGCAAGTCTCCAGCCAAAATGCGCGCCGTTCAGGATTTACCACGACCTTCGAATGCTGATGATATCAAACGATTTATCGGACTTGCCACTTATTACTCTCGGTTTATACCACATTCTTCGACGATGTCATACCCACTTCGATGTTGCTTAGGTAAAACCAACCCTGGATATGGTCATCAAACTGTGAAGCTGCTTTCCTGAATATCAGATCAGAACTTTGTAGTGACCGAGTACTAATGCCTCTCGACCCATCTCTTCCACTGGTTCTAACAACGGATGCTAACCCATATGGGGTTGCTGCGGTGTTGAGTCATCAATTTAATGGATTCGAGAGAACTATCGCTTATGCTTCTCGTGCACTCACAGACTCCGAGAAGAACTATAGTCAGTTGGATGGAGAGGCTCTTGCCATAATTTTTGGTGTCACTCACTTCTACATGTACTTGTTCGGTACTCATTTCCTTCTGGTCACTGATAATGAACCCTTATCGAGAATATCCCATTACTTTTGTAATAGATCTATTACTATTCGTTTCGTGGGTGATGCCTCACTCACAAACTCACTCACTTTCTGGAACACCGTAGAAAAGTTGTCGATCTGGCTCTATTTTATAGAAATTTTCATGGACGATGCTCTTCTGAAATATCAACAATTGTTCCTCCCTTGGCAGTCCCCGCAAGATTAACCCGTCGAGTTGAGGCTTCGCACCCCTTTGTGGTCACTTTGGAGACCTGCAGAACATATCTTACCAAAGACTCGTCCATCCAACGAACAGCGAGGCTCTGGAACACATTGCCCAAGGAAGGTGTTTCCCGAGGCATATAACCTCCAGAAATTTAGGAAGAACACCAATTCCTATCTTTTTTCCCTTGGTTCTCGCGATGTTCTCTGAATATTACAGGATATTCCTTTTCGTGGGAACCAGAACATAAAAAATTGTCGTTTTACTATTTGCTGTTATATCCAGGATTTGATGTTTTATGTCATTTATCATTAAGCGAATCAACGTTAAATCTAGCTCTGTGTTCAATGAATGACTGTATATTTTATGTCATTAGTTCTGTGATTTCTGCCTTTGTCACTTTGTTATTTTTAGTCGTCGATGATAGCCTGACTGACTCATTTTTCTTCCTCATTTTCTCAACACTTACCGGAAAAAAATTACAAAAAACTAACAAGAAGCAGACCTATTAGCGATAGTAGGTCCTCCAGTTTGAATTACAGCATTCAATCGCCGTGGCATCGAATAAATCAAATTTCTTAAGTAGCCTTGCAGAATTTCCTGAAATTCTCCTTGAACGGCGAATCGTAGCTCTTGAAGATTCTCTGACATGGCCGAACTAAGGCGAATGAGCGTCTGGAATTCATCCCTTTGGATGATCTATAGATTATGAATTATTGTTTCTTTCCATACATTCCTAAAACACTTGTATCTTCTCTCAAAAAAAAAATATTGACGTAAATCAAGAACCATTTTTTTAAGAAGGGACGAAAGAAATATCACTTTAATTCAAAATATGATGATGAATCCATGCTATCTTTAAACACTCGTATCTTCTCTTGAAAAAGTGGTTATCGATGTGAATCAGAAACCATTATATTAAGAAGGTATCACACTTCAATCCAAAACATAATGACCTCAAGTTCAACCACTCAACCTTTCCACAGGGCGTTATGAAGTTGAGGGTGAAAGAGTAACTTTTGTTTTTTCCTGTATAATGACCAAGTCATCAGCTTTTCATAGAACCTAACATTCCGAATCATGAATATACGGTTTTGTCAAGATTTCACAAAAATCGGACAAGAATTGAAAAAGTTACTGGGCGAATGATTTGGCAAAATTTTTTGATGGCCGGTTTTTTTGCCGATGAGTGTATATTTCTTCAGTTCACACTTGAATTTATAAGCAAACTAGGAAAAGATTATTGGACATAGCCCTCAGGAAGAGTTAACCGTAGGCACGTGTTTCGGGCTTTTGGCTCTCATCAGTACGGTGAAAAAAGTGCAAAAGATAGGCAACACTTGGTGGAAGATGAAACAACAAATCGACGGAGTCAACAAACAAGAATCTATGTCCAATAATCTTTTCCTAGTTTTCTTTGAACAGTTCCCTCAATATTCCTTCCATCCTACCTAAATTTATATTTATTATTTCCACCAGGCGCAAGCCATCGAGCCCGAGCTGGTGTCAAAGCTACTGGGGCACGGCGTTGCCGTCTCGCCCATAGTGACGGTAGAGCCGCGCAGGCGCAAATTCCACAAGGCGATCACGCTGAGCATGCCGGCGCCGCAAGCGCACTCGCAGGGCATGATCAACCAGTACCAGGCGGCCGCCAACGCCACCTTGCGGCTGCTCTGCTCGATCACCGGTGAGGATTCTCTCTTCTTTTCTTTTCCTCGTTTTCGTATAGTCGCTATACTCACTGTGTCTCCCTATCGTGTTTTAGAATAGAGGTTGGGATAGCTTGAATCGGAGGCCTTGGTGTTTTTTTTTTTCGTTTGCGAGATGGTTTGTACCTCAGATGTCCGAATATACTAGATAGAGGAAGAATATTCAAAATGAACTTGACAATATGATACATGGATGGTGTACTCAAAAAAATACTGATCATTGAAAGCACAGATCCACAACATCCACAGTACAATTGATTTTTCCACAGATTATTTGTGTTACACATATACCAAGTTTTCATAGGTAGGAGGGACAGGAAGATGACTATAATGTTTGTAAACATACAATTGGGGAAGACCACTGAGGGATGAAATCCGTCAAAAACTTTTTCAATTTATGAATGATGATACACATTCAACGACAATCAATATTAGAAGTGAGGTATTAGTCTCGAATGATAGCTATCTCTCTCTGATAACTCACCATTCTGCAGTGGTGCAGTGTGATTGGTTAGCTCAAGGACAATAAGCGTGTTAAGACTAACACAATGAACATATATATTTTTTTTATCGTATCATTGAAGATTAAGACATGTTTATATGAAATCTTCATTAATAATTATTAACATCATAAACGTAACAAAACCTACATAAAACTTAGTTACTCATAATACATTAGTTACCATAATTTAAAATACGTAAGTTACGTAAGCATATAATACGTTAGATACCATTAGAACCAGTTTTCATGAACATGTAATAGTATATTATGTAACAAGTGTTATAAACGTCCTTTTAGTAACGAGCATTTTAAGCACGAGCGGAGCAGAGCGGAGCGAGTGTTTAATAAACGAGTGTCTAGAAGAGTTTATAAACGCGTTACATACTATCCTTTTTCTACGAACTCCGAAAATTACATTAACATTCCCGCTATTCCTGCTAACCTATAAAATAATTCGAAAGGAATGGAAATTGAGAACATAATACATGCAACTGCATGCAACCAGCGAGACACGTATAAGTGATATTGGCTGTAGATGTGTCCAGTCCATTGCTTACTAACCTTTGTTTCACGTTTATTGTCATGCTTAGCGCAAAATAAATAAATTGTTCCCAAAGATGGATGCTTCATTTTTACACTTCTTGGAGATATGCAAGTATAATACCAGAACATTCTCTTCGATTTCACTTTCGTCTACTTTTCGCATATATTTTTAACGAAGAATTCTGATACAAACGAATATTGTTTGAATAATTCTGATACAAAATTTGAAAATAACAGTTGACAGTTAATACAATTGACAGGCCAGACATGTCTCAAATTACTGAAGCTGTGTTTAATGAACTGTGTTGCCATGGTAATGTGTTTAAGAAATTGTGTTGCCATGGTAACGTGTTTAATATTATGAATAAATCACAGATCGTCCATCCGTGATTAATCGATCATTTAGCGTGGTACATATCCGTACGCTAAATGCAATTTTAGTTATGTGAGTAGAAAAAACAATATTTTGGCAGTTTTCAAATTTAATAGATACACCTTCGCCTTTAGCGTCCACGATCATAAGTATGTATGTCCTCTGAATCCTGATTAATGACCGAGCAAGCAACTTTTTCAATTTCGTCCGATTCCTCAGTGAGTAAGTAATCCACTGCCAGAAACATCGCCAATTTGAATTTTACGAGCAATGGAAACTTTTTTTGTTTTGGTCACACTTCCTTCTAAATACCCTGTAGTAACTTTCGCCGATTCCCATCCAATAAGTTCTTGTAGGTATAATATATCCTCCAGCATGGAATATTTCGACCATAAAGATGAATATGGTATATGAATGTTCCTCAGAGCGTTTTGCGAAATACGCGAGCAACACCGTATCTTTCAACATCTTGTAGGTACTTTGTTTGGCCACTCACACAACTGCCGATATTCTTTTTCATAATGGATTTCAGATTTGTCCGGAAGAAAGTTCAACCTTACAGTGTTGGCTGTAGCTAATATATCGTCAGTAATTTCAAAATCTTGCGTGATTTTAATGATGACTTTTTGAAATACTGAAATGAATTGACATAAAGACTTGTTGATTTTATTTTCGCATCGTCGTTGTCCATAATAAGAAAAAACTTTTGAAAGTCGCCTCGTCATCTAGCAATGCCCCCGACTATTATAAATCTCATAATAATCTCGTTATATTAATAGCTATTCAGCTATTCCTAGTGACAAAATTCAAATTTATATTTATATTTATTAGTAGTTTTTTTGGTATAGACTTCACGATGATTTCATTTTTAAAAATCAGTGGTCTCCCCCATTATAACATTCACATGGTGCAAATGACACTTCATTGGTATTATAGGCAACTGATAGTCCAGAATACACCAAATTCCAACAGAATCAATCGCAACATCTTGAAATCCTAACCAAATATGACAGCCGAATGAGCCGAACGGTGTGGAAGATACCCAAGAAGAATTCCACCCTGTATAATGTTGACTCCATTTCACTGACGGCACTACTAATCTAGTCTATTCATTCATCTGACGTAGATTCTTCTTATTGATCTCACCACATAGATTTTAATAGATTTTACTATCCAGGTTAGAGAACCTCAGCTCATTTCTGGTGAAAGTAGCTTAATTTTTTCAGTGAACAGGATTAAAAAAAAAACAATATGTTGGTCATTCAGGTAGAACATTCAGCCACTGAATTCACGAACATCAAATGAACAAGAATACATATTCAATATGCACGTGTCATATTCGAAAAGGAAATCGCAGCGTTGCTAAACGTAATATAATCTGTTTATCACCATCATGATCATTATTTACAGACACTTCAGAACACTATTCTCCTAGGTACCTGATAATTTTCTCATATAATTTGTTAACATATGATGTAGAACTCTTCAAATTGAACACAATCACCAAACATTGCCCATTTTGAAGTTTCAAAATAACGAAGTTCAAAAACCCCGATATATTTGGCCCAATTGCAGTCCTGGTATACAGTGTGTTGAAGATAAGGATGTCTATCATTTGGTAAGGTTGATGATGGTTGCTCCGAAATGAAACTTCGTACGGAAAATCTCTCAAAGCTGTTTTGTAGGGCTCAAAAAGTGACAATGAGAAAGTGTCTTTTATTTTCCTATATCTCTTTGAATAATTCCTGAAAAATATTAAAGCAATCCCCATGATAGACATCCTTTACTTGGACACAGTGTGTTTGCCATTTCCGCTGGTACAGGTATAGATCCCCTTTGTTTCATCAAACGCCCTGGATGAATTCTCAACGGAAATCTCTCCGTGTACAAACGAGATATTGCTGCTGCACTTTGGCGACATTCATAATAAATCAATAGCATGTTAACACGTTCTTGCTTTGTTTTTTCGAAAATGCATAGAAAAATAATAAGAGGAACCGATGACTAGTGCTAGAAACACAAAGTTCTGCTGTGGGGGGTAGTAGGGGGACAGGAAATCAGTCGGGTAATATCACCGAACTGGGACTCGTGCGGCCAGGACCCTGTTTGAATTCGTTTGAAATCTATAAAATGCCCAATTGATAATATCTCCGATACTATGAAACTTGTATTGATTCGATATTTGGTGATTCTGTATATTTCAATGATTTCTACTTCCTTTTTAAAAAATGCCTTATCTTGGAGAACGCCCTGTATAGTTATTATTCATGATTTTGATACTGTTTTTGTTGAAAATGTCATTGTACTTTATGAAAGAAAACTTTCAACAAGTACATTCTGCAAAAACAATTGAAGCTGCATAAAAAATGCAGGCGAAAATTCGGAGTAAATCATGAAACCAAGAGCCAACGTTTTTGGAAATTGTTTTATCATGCATGTCTGTTCTCAATAAAATATCAGGGCACTCTAGCTTGCTCGCAATTCACAGACAACCATCTGATGAAAAATTACAAATTCAAGCTTGTGTTCGGTAATCACTACCTACGTATTCCAAGTAGAAGAATCGATCCAAGCCCAACCTTTCAACTAGTTTGATCTTTTGTTTCATGGTTAATAAAATAAAATTCGATTTCATGATGGAACTACAGGGTGGGGCACAGAAACAACGTTTTTTTGGCTTGGGTAGTACTCCGCCATTAGAAAAGGACGGGGCGCGCGGTTTATTACAATCCATTCCTCGACTCGAAGCATTTCACTTTCTCAGTTACCACCCGCCATCATGGACCGGTGGACCCTAGAGCAACGCGTGTTCGTTATTGTTAATTCACAAACACTTGATTCCTATGCTCCACTAATTTAAAAAATTGTTGTAAAATTGTTCTATCCGTCATTCGGTTGCCCCCTTACGAGCAACCCTCAGAAGTCTTCGAGAGTCTTGTGCGAGCAAGGAATGACGGGGGCCTTACCTTTTAACGTGTGATCCCAAACACTTTCTTGGGCCATCAGAAAAATTTCTGCAGTCGACGGGACTCGAACCCACGACCGGCAAGCGAATGCGAATTAGAATATAGACACTCTGTCCGCACGGCTACCTGGCCCCTGTACAATAACTTACGTACAGTCTTCTATTGCACCTCTCAGGAGCTTTAGTTAGAAAAACAGCAAGTATTTCTTCACTTCGCTTGTTTCTCAGTGAACTTTTGTCAGTGTGTTTTATTGCCTAGTTCTAAGAGAAAAGGGGCATAGGAATCAAGTGTTTGTGAAATAACAATAAGGAATGGATTCTGATAGCCGAGTACTACCTAAACCAAAAACACTTGGTTCCTATGCCCCACCCTGTATGAATTATACCTCAAATGGTTGCCAATAATGTTCACGAACTCCCGTTCATTTGTATTCACTTCAAATAGTTTGATTGCATTAATTCTAGTTTATAACTACATTAGAAAACATTTAGACTAGGTATGTTTACTGTCATAGATTAGATGAGTTGTTCAACCATCGTGAAAAATTAATTCTGAGAAATGTTTCTAGTATTGGACATTGTAAACTCAACACGATAGACCATTGTACTCAACTATTCCGGAATATTTTTGGTAGCGATTTTTCAAAGTATCAAGAACAAAATCAGGGTTTTTTTATATGGATACAATGCTCAATTCTAGAAAAACTTGTGATCCCATCCTCTATGTGCTTCAAAACTTTCTCTACTATTAAACTTGTAATGAAATATTTGGGATAATTCACTGTTGATTAAATTAAGCAGCATCTTCAGATAATTCTGAAATACAAGTAATGAACATAGATACTAAATCAAATCAGAATAGTTCCAAATATTTTGTTCAGTTTCTGAATTTTATCTTTGATCTTCGAGCTTCGGAAGTAGCATTTCACCAAAATAGAATATTGGCACGTTAGATAACCATACTCAATGTCGTCTTTACTGTTGCAACTCTTATTTTCATATCCATGCTTCAACAGGAACTAAATCAGGTAAAATTTAGTTCCCGTATCTAAATTGTGTTGTGTCTCTGAGATATGTGCTTGCCTTTTTTTTGTTATTTTCCAATCAACTACTACCAAATTGATGGTAGATTAATTTATTTTCATTGCACCCTGTCATGCTTTCAGAAAATTTATACTTGTTGAAAATTAAAAGTTTTCGAGTACCCTTCACTCCATTATGATATAATTATTCAATTGCTTTTTCATGAACAGAAATTTTAAAGTTTATATTTTCTGCTCGGAAAGTTGTATTTTACATTTGATTTTTAGTTTTAAACAAAATACAACTACATTTTTTCGATTGTGTCATAATCATCTTTAAATAATGCCATTGTTCAGGAGGGCAGAACAAGGCAGTATGGGAGGACGTTACTGGATCCACTCCATTGAGTTTCGTGAAAGATTGCGTCTCTTTCACCACTACAGTGTCCGCAAGATTTTGGCTGATGGACTGCCGAAACGTATCTGACGCTGCAAGAATGGCAACTGAACTATACAACCAGGTATTAAAACGGAATCAATAATGAATTTTTTCTGCAACCGACACAAAAGTCGTCCATTTTGATACCAAAATTAGCTCTTAAATTGACGTTTCTATTACTGACACAAAAATAGGTATGTTGCTAAGCAACATATTCAGTTCCTAGGAGCTAAAGTTGGATTTGAGTTCCTAGGAGCTAAAGTTGAACTTTAGCTCCTAGGAACTAAAAAGGATCTACTGGACATCATCAAGAATAAACAACATTGTGACGGTTGGTTATTTGGGTTGAGACGCATACCTGATTTGTTTCCGATTTCAGCAGATTTGGCATTTCATACCCATGCTGGAGATATAAATACACCTTATTATAGTTTAGTATTGGAATTATAAACACCTCAGTTGAGTATTTTTGTTTTGATCAGGGAAGCCTTCAAGATTCAAATACTTGCTTGATCTGTATTTCATTCGTTATTCTCGGGATGGATAACTTGTTTTTGAATAATCACGGCAAGCAATAGTTTTTTTGTCTCAATCAACGATATTGTTTAGCTTCATTTGATTATCAAGTCAAACACAGTGTAGTATGCCAGTATGGAGAGGAATAAATAATCACTATTATTATTGTTGATATGCTCACTAACCTAACATTTTCCACGTCTTGTTCCTATAGCTGGCACTGGCGCGGTATTTGCCATTTGAGCACCTGGTCCATACACAAATATGTCACTCTGTGGTTGTATTTATATTGAAACTACAATTCGAACATCGTAGAAAACCTAACCTGCTGTTAATGCAAATATTCTCACCACATGGATTATTTGTCAATATTTGTTGCATTGCATACATATGGCACGGCATTGGTGGTTACTTCACATGTTCATTTGAGTTAATTGTTTCGGTTGCAGAAAAAATAGCATGTTTCATTCGGATCAAAAGTGACTTTGTTCGACTCGCAAATTTTGCTTTCGCTCGGCTTCGCTAAACGCTCCGCCTCGCAAATGCAAAATTCGCTTGTCAAACAAAGTGTCACTTTTGATCCTAATAAAACAATCTACTATTAAGGGATATAGGAATTGGTGTGTTTTGAAAATTATGTAACTAGGTGGATTTTATATTTTTTTTTTTCAGGTGACTCATGTTCCCTTCATGGCCAAATTTGTGGTGTTTGCGAAAAAAGTGTCAACTTTGGAATCTAGGATCAGGGTTTTTTGCATGACTGATGACAAGGAAGACAAGACCTTAGAGCATCAAGAGCATTTCACAGAAATAGCTAAGAGCCGAGACATCGAGGTAAATAATAAATAATATTTTTAAGCAAAAAATAAAATCGAGAGCAGAATATTTCGAAAGTCTTACTTACAAAAATAATGGCATCAACGTCGCAGCAGCGGCAAAGATTTATAAATCCATATGCAGACCTTTGCTGGACTACGGACATAATATATCTCAACTGCAAAAATCTAACCATGCCGAATTTAAAAACTGCAGAAACGTCATCCCTCCGCACGATTACTAGAATAAGACATCCTGACATCCATCTACACAACCCCTTCAATCAATATTTGTACAATAAAACTAGAATAGCACCAATACAAGAACGACTGAGGAAGTTATCCCAAAAATTCGCCTTCAAGGCCAGCAACATGGAGCTTATAATTCCCCACATAATTCCAAGAGACATTTCAAATGCCCGGAAAAAACAATACAAGAAATACTTACATCATTGAGTGAAGATCAGTTGGCCATTCAATTTAATTAGTTTTACAAACTCATATTTGCCATTCACATTGAAATTATTAAAATACTACCCATGTCAAAATTTACTGGTTGCAGGACCTCGGTAGATGGTTGTAATTTATAACCAATAGAGAGCATATATTATTAATAATAAATAATATCAGGAACTATTGAACATTCACCTTGAAGATTCTGTCGAATTTTGGTGAGGTAGATCAGTGATAACATGAATAATGTCAAATTTAAGCTCTAGAGCATTCGTGCTTCCGGGGTACCTCCGCAAAATTCATTCAATATTCATATCTTCAGACAGTATTCAGTGTATTAGTGTTGCTTATTTGTAGGTTCTTGAAGGAAAAGAGGTATTCATGGAGTTTGCTGGTAATCTTGTACCCATTTTGCAATCTACAGACCAACCAAGGTTGGGTTTCAAGGCATTCAGAGAAAACCGGATGGCTTTCAATATGAGATTACGAGATCAGGTAAATTTGAAATAATTATAACCTATACAGATACATACAGTGTATATCAATCAAATGGAATAAATTAGATAATGAATAAAGTGCATCTTCCCCAACAAAAATTGTCTATACAGGGCGGTCATATGTAACAGCGGTCAATACTAACTTTCTTATTTCGAATGCAACACCCTGTATTCATTGCATTCTTAGATTATTCCGGAAGAGCTGATTTCATCAAAGATTCACACTTGGGGGTATAGCGGAAATGATTACAGAGATATAAGGTGTTCAAATTAGGAGATTTTTCAACTTTAGGGTTTTTTGTGTTGAAACTATTCTTTATCGGTCAAAACGGCTTACATGTCCCTATCTTAACTTTTGATTTACTATCTACTAACATTTAATTGGAACCGATACACGGTGGTTCAAGATTCAGAGCACCCCTGTATCTGTTCCAATTTAATGCCAGTAGATAGTAAATCATATATAAGGACATGTAAGCTAGCTGTCTTGACCAATAATGAATAGTTTCGACACAAAAAAATCCTAAAAGTTGAAAAATCTAGATTTTGAACACCCTATATCTTTATGAGCATTTCGGCTAGACCCCAAGTGTGACCCCATTGACCCCATTGATGAAATCAGCTCTTCACGGAGAATCTAGAAAGGCAATGAAACACAGGGTGTTGCATTTGAAACAAAAAAGTTAGTATTGGCTGCTGTTACAGGACACGCCCTGTATAGACATTTTTTGTTTTAAATGATGCGCTTCTAAAAATATCGTTCGACGTGTCCGAGCGTTTTTTCGATAACGCCCTCTTTTATTCATTATCGAATTTATTCCATTTGACTGATACACAGTGTATGAAATTGGAATGGTTTCTTTAGTGTATTTTTTTTTTGAGGATGATGAAGCTACTGGTCGTATAGTGTTTATGGGCGAGGCCAAAGTAGCAAGAGGAGAACCCAACCAAACTCCACTGTGCACATTGAACCTAGTACTGCCAAAAGACATTCTTCCAGGTCGCGACTCCCAATCAGACCTTCTCTCCATCGACAAAGATCATAGTTTTCTACAGCACGGAGGAATCAGTAAGTGAATTTTCAACATATCAACTGCTCAAATTCTTGATGTGATATTTTTTTTTAGGTAAACCAGATGCTATTCACCGAGCAGATTTCAAACTGTCCGACATTTGCAATTTGCTGGACGAAGACTGGGAGAAGCTGGCCATGGAAATGGACATTCCACCGTCTGACATTGAACTGATCAAGGAAGAATACCCCGAGAATCATCCCCAACAGGCGATGATCATGTTCAGGTTGTGGCTGAGACAGAAGGCAAACCAGGCGACTGGTAAGAAATATCTCCAGAAAATCTTGGGACATGATCATTCCACCTCCTTGATTCATCTACTAACAACAGTATTGATGATATTATCAAAAAAATTTCCTATTGGAAAAAATGCTCTTTGCATTGCCATTCTATCCCTTCATGGAAATTCTAATTCTTACCCCCAAGTCGACACATCTTCGTCAAAAATCCCAAAATATCCTACATATTTCGGCAACTGAGTGAGCATCTTCAGTAGTCCTGGAATCCTTAGAAGAGATCAACTGATTCTCCAAATATCTCCCAAGATATCCCTAAAATCACCATGATTGAACAAAATCTAGAAAGATACAAAGGGAGTCAGTTAATTACTTTTTAACAGGCTTATATCAGCTTCATATGTATGATTTTGACTCACTTCAAAACGTCGAATTAAATTAAAAAATCGCACACTTATCAAGGACTGACAACAATAGCATAATTCAATAGTTTTGTTCCATTATCCTGGTCGGAATCTTGAGGATGAGCCATTTTTCTCGAATAATATGGTGAATGATATTCCGCCACCATAATTTAAAAGTTCCTCCACCAAACTTTCAATTGTTCGGATATATTCCTTGGAATTACTTTTTACATCCAGAGAGACAAGTGATTTTGAACCACTTCAAAACGTCGAATTATATTGACACTTCGCACACTCATGAAGGACCGATGGTAATAGCATAACTTAATAGTTTTGTTCCATTATACTAAACAGGATCCTCAGGATGACCGATTTTTTTACATCCAGAGACACGAGAGTGTCATGCACCAAGTACTCTTATAAAATAGTTACCTACATCCAGAGATATGATAGTGTCTTGCACCAAGTACTTGTACGAAGTTAAGTTTCTGGAGAGGCAGCCTGATAAACGGTTACAAGTTCAAAAGAGAAACCAATACCTACTTACTTTTCCTCTCACTGGCACTCCATACGAAATACAAAGACAGCCGTCTTGATTTGTTCGCTTGCTGCCTTGCTGAATCCCGTAAAGGAGCCCATAGGCTGCATTGTTGGTAAGCTATTCTGTTCGAACGAAAATGACGCAAAACAGAAGTGTGTGGCTAGCGAAAACGGCCATTATGCAGCCACATACTTCGGTTTTGCGTTACTTTTGTTCTAACAGACTTGTTTGTCGAACAAAACAGCCTACCAACAACGCAGTGTGTCGACCCCTTTCACCAAGGAATCATTCGATCGCCTAGCAACAAAAAAATTGAACTTTTTTTCACACTTCTCCGTAAAATAATGATACAGTATATTGATATTGAAAAATTGTACACTTTAGGCACACATAAAATGTGCAGTTTTTTTGACAGTTGTAGAAAAATATTTTTTGTTGTTTGTTTTTGTCGACCAAATCCTCCGTTATGGTTTTACATTAATATTCAGAATATCATAATTTCGAACCAAGAGCTCGCCCATTCATCTACATATTATTTTGTTCGTATTCGACAACAATATATCGATCATTTTGCAGGAAATAAATTGGAGCAAGCTCTCAACAAGATAGGGAGGCAGGATATCGTCAACAAATGCATCTGCAACGTCGAGTTGGTGACTGACGATATGGAGAAGGCTTTGGCTAAAGTGGAGCTGGATCAGTCGGGCTTCGATTATTTGAAAGACGAATTGGGTCCTTCCAGAGATACTTCTCTTAGGAGAGACACCCATATCGACAAGTCTTTCGGCGACGAAATTGAAAAAAGTGAGACGAGCGGTAAGTTATAGGAAGCACTAATTCACACTGGATCGAGCACTGACCTATGAGAATACCACGTGACCGGCTTGGAACTGTTGGTTGGCGAGTATGCGCAGGCGTATATCGACGCTTAAGAAATAATTGATTGTACCTCCATTTTCACTGAAGATGTATTAATTACACAAACTTGATGTACATTCGTTCACTCCGTATCTCCAATAGTTATTCAATAGCTCGTATGTTGAAGAATAATATATACTCTTCAAATTGACTTCAACGAATACCTCGTATATCAGTGAATAACGAAATAGTTCGCGATTTTATCTAGTTTTCTTCATGATTGCTTTTTTGTAGATGAGAGGTATTGTTTCTTAAACGTCGGTATCGTACTGGGCCCGCCTTACTATACAAAATGCCTTATGACATGAAGATTATGTATTACTCATTTTTCTCCTACAAAGTTTCGATGAAACATTCGTGTAAGCCGCTTTTTTCTTCATCATCTTGTCCACTTTGCCCGACATGGATTCAATGGTGGGAGAACCTTCGTTCGAACTTTCCGTGGAAGACAACCTGATACTGTTTCGAGACTTGACAGTCTGATAGTTTGTTGGCGAATCGAACGATGACATTCATTTCTTCAGAAAGTTTGCTACCATTTCTTGTATTTCTTTCAACTCTAGTGGGCCTTTCGATCTTTTCTTGTTTGTTCAGAGCAGTACTCTTATCTTCAACTCCATCACTGTCCTGAGATTTTACATTGTTGATTCTTTCATTCGCATTCGAGGTTCTCTTCGAAGAAATCAACTCAGTATTTCCATTATTTTTATTCGACAGAATGAGAATTGTTGCTATCACTGAAAATATTTCCATGAGAAATTTTGTAATACAAACTTGACAGAAAAGTGGATCTTGACAGGGAATTGAAAATTTTCTAGGGTTAGGATAACAAATGAATACGAAAGCTCACTGAAAATATCTCAAATGTGGACGATTCTTTCAAATCATGGGTCAATGAACCAACTAGATTTTCATTCAGAACGACAATGATCCAGTGCAGAATCTTTTGAGAGACAACCCCGAAATAATCTCCATCAACCAATAACCGTTCCAGAAAACTTGAACAAGACCTCCTCGGGCAAAGACGCCACAGACACTACCAGCGATAACCTGAACAACGGCACGCGAGAAAACGGCCTAGACGACTCCTCACCGACGCCCACGCCCAAAAACGACTCCCCTCCCACGTCTCCACCCACACACGACTCCCCTCCCACGCCCACGCCCAAAAATGATTCCCCTCCCACACCCACAAATACCACGCCCAAAAACGAATCCCCTCTCACGCCCACCGACGCCCACCAAGCTGAGGTCATCGAGGAGATCACGCAGCAGTTGCACCACCTGCAGTCCTCGCTGCGGCTGAAGGACGACCCGAACGCCAACACGCCGCCGCCGAGTCCGGCCGAGTTCGGCCGAGACGCGGATCCGATGGAGGCGGAGCTAGAAGTGGGCGGGGAGCGAGCAGCCGAAGGTAGGCGTTGGTGGTAGAAAGGGGGGGTGGTCTCATTCGTCGCAATCGTTCACGTGATCGCGGAACTTATTTAGTAATTCAATAAGAGTAATATATATAAATTAACAGGTTGATCTCACAATTGAGATTAAACAGTTCAATCTTGCAGTGGATCCGATTGCAATTGAAAGATTGATCATTCAATTAGTCTAATCCTCACAAGATTATTTTGTCAATCAAGCTAGTGATTTTTTCTACAATTCAATCCTAATTGACAGATCAAATTTGCAATTACTTCTGTTGCGAGATTCAAGTTCCATTATGATTTTAATTTTTATTCTGTTTATCAGAATTAGGGCTAAATAATTGACTATATAATTTGCAATTACTATAATCGCAAAATGTATTATGCAATATTGTGAGATCATTTGTCTGGCTTTTTACATTATATTTCTTGCAACTGGGACTCAATTTAGATTAAACTTGCAATGAATTAAGGCTTAATGATTGATTGATTTTGCAGTAACTTCCACTGCAAGTTTTATCTATCGAGTCCTAATAGAGAAGTTCTGCTAGCGTTGGGAGAGCAATCTAACTTTTATAATGAGGTTAATATGATCTTCTCCATTTTTTCATGTTGCCAACATGAAATTTTCATTATTTTTCGTTGGAACACTGAAGACAAGGGCAGATGGGGAAGACATATTTCCTCTTCTCTATTGAAATTGAGAAATTGAACAATTTGATTCATCACATATCACAAGTCTGTCCATCTCATCAAGTTCTGGTAGCAAGTTGATTCTTGTAATTAGGGCTGATTGCAATAATGAATTCTTGCAACTATCATAGTTTAATGACAAATGAAATATATTTTCTTGTAATATTTTTTCAACGCCGTTTCACGTAATAATAGCATTGAAGTTATTAGCGAATTTGTACCTCAAAGACGAAGTAAGGTTAGGGAATGCTGTCTTAGACCATTCGTTAGTTTCATCAGTTTAACCTGTCAGAAATATGTATCACGTGACCTTTTGTGAAGATTACGACTTGTTTGATGTTGATGTTGCTGATATCATGTATTTGCCTTATGTTAATTTGCTTCATGTTTTTATTTGAGCTCAATGGGTTGCAGAGGTATACAAGAGTCGTGATGTTTACAGCTATCTTAAGCTATTAAAAATGTTGTGGAAAAAATCCCGTGATATTCAATGAAAGTTCAATAATACGTCTCACATTTTGAGATCTTCACCAAACTCTGCAGACATCCTTGTTGAAGTGAGAAAGAAACTTCCATCACAACACTTCTATCCTTCTGCCCTGAACAAAAATACTAAAATGTATAACAATCATTTCCCCGTTTATTTTTCATTTACCCCAATTTACCTCTAGGTCATGCCCATTTTAATATCACGCTTCTTATTAACACACTCTAGTTGGCGAAGGGTTTCTTTATTTTCTTTCAGTAGCACACGGTGTGGCGCTTTCGCACCTCCTAGTTCCCTTCCTCTTATTATTTTCATCGCACCTTTCGGTAAGCACGCATGCCCTCTTTGTCAGTAGATTGTATCGTTGATCTATTTCCAAAAGGGCCGCCCCACCTATTCGCTTCCACGCCCTACAAACGGCAGCCGGAAGAACACCACTTGGACCCCGTAAAGCCCCACTTGGACCCCATAGAGCCCCACTTGGACCCCATAGCGCTCCTCAAGCGCCACGTCAACGACACCATGACCTTCTTGCACCAAGAGAGGAACGACTTTCTGCCCGAGGACGATATAATCATCCCCAGCAGGAAAGACGACCACATCGCCAAAGCCATCGATTTGGACAGCATCAACTTGAAGACCCCCAAAAGGTCCACTAGCGATTACGAGGACAGTTTGCGCGAAGCGGCGGAAAATGAGGTGGATGAGGTCATCAAAGAGGCCGAGGAAGTAGTGAACGAAAGGCTGAAGACCAATAAAGTGTTGAGATTCAGCGAGGAACTGACAAACAACGTTGACAGTTTGTACGAGGATGTCAAAACCATCACTGAGGACTCTTTGGACAACTTAGACAGTTTGAAGGACGACTCGATTTCGGTGGCGCAGGAAAAAAGCGAGGAAGCATTCAAGTTTTTGGAAAACGAGGCTTCCAGCCCGCTAGTGAGCAAACCCGTCGACAGCCATTCCTTTTTGGAAAGAGAAATAGAAGCTACAATGGTAGACGAACAAAAATCGCCTAAGAAAAGTGCGATACCTGTGGCCAAACCCAGACAAAGTAGAGATGGGGATGGGGAAGACAGAGCCGCGTCGCCCACGGACAGCGAGCTCTTGACCAAAATCCCGGTATCTTTGAAAGGTGGCAAAGTGAAAACGATCAAGAAACATTCGAAGGACCCTCTCAAGGAGTTTGTGACGCTTTCCAAGGACGTCAATTGGGACGACGACGACGAAACGAATAAAATCATCAGCACCATGGACCCCACGAAAAGCATGATACCGGTGCCACGCCCAGAATCTCTCGTCGTTTCTCCGCCGAAATCGAGCAAAATCCCAGTTTTGAAGACGGAGACCATTAGGATAGGGTCTCCGCCTTGCGAAGCTAACGCCTTAGTGTCTCCCGGCTCTAAGGTTTCTACTAAGAGCAGCACTGTTGATTCGGAGTCTGATGATGATAGCGGAAGGAGCCCGGTGCTGAAGGGCATCCTGAAAAAGGGGGTTAGGACCGTGGGGAGCTCGAGCGGGTCGGATATAGCGCTGCACGAAGAAGGGGCCGAACTCAGCGAGGACGAATCAGGTAAATGGTTCTCTTTCTGATCACTCGACTCGTTTTTTTTTTCTTCTTCTTTTCTGATGATCAGTGAAGCTTTGCGCAGGCTTAGTTGAGCAACTTGCGCTGCGCTGCGCTGCGACTGGCGGCTGCGGCTTTCCCATTCTGGGATCTATTGCGTGCTTCAATGAAAATTTGGCAGAAATGAGTACGAAAATTATTGAAATTAAAATATTGTTATGTTAAAAATGTATTGGGAATCAAAAATACAGTATGACTACTTGAAAGCGAGACACTCTCCTCGAACAAACTTGAAAAACCAAGATCTACTGCCTAAGTATTTAAGAGTGAAAATTTATAATAATGCATCTAGATGTATCCATGCACCTACTCTCAAAGGTTCTTGTACCAAATCGTATGTGTGACTTCAACACTATATACAAACGTAAGAAATCAGATGTATCTTTATGAAAATTCAAACATTGTTTCTTTCCTTTCCGCTCTGCATTTATGTGAGTAAACGATGTATTCAAAGTAAACATTTCCACAAAAATTTCAATTTCAAATATTTTTCATGAAATTGGGTAGGTACTTGTCCATTTGAGGGAACGCATAATTCAATTGGTGTATTCAAATCGCTTGGCCTCGTTTTCATTTTTTTTTCATCGATAAAGAAGTCACTTTGTCTTGAGTACAATTTCACATGGTTTTCATTCAATTCAAACCGGAAATGAACATTATTGTCCCGTTTTCAAGTGGGTTATAAGTATATGTATAGAATTCTCAATACGTTTGTGAATTGGAGAGTTTTGGAATTAACTTAATTTAATTTATATATGATATATAGGTTGTACAATTTTCTTGACTAACATTTCTTTCATTCTGTTTCAAGACTAAAAAACTATCAATATTTATAAAATATTTTATTGAAAATTACTCTGAACACTCCAATTGAAGCAATATAATTTGAAATACATAAGTAGGTACTTGAATTGATAATTGATACGTTTAAATGTTTATCACTTTTGTTCGTTCAATAGTTATTGTTTCCGTACATATTTTCATTATCTTTTATCTCCAAATTGATTTGTTTTATATTGCTCAAATATCTCTAATTTAAACTGGTATTTCTCATGGTAACCTATAAAAAATCAATTTTTTTAGAAATCTTTCAGGTTCTTTTATCACTGTTCCTTTTACAAATATCAATTTGAAAAACTTGTCAATCCAAACTCAGTCAATTCTAATAATAGTTATTCAGCTTTGCTCAAATTCATTAGAAATTGCATGATGATTTATTAATATTCCTTCTTTAATTATACATATATCTTCTAGACCATAACCATTCAAGTTAACATTAACTTACATTCAAATAATAATAACTAACCAAAACTAAACATGTTTGTTGTGTTCGTCATCCACATCAATGCAATATAACTATCAGTTATAAGCGATCCCTTCATTGCAAAAAGTAGGTAGTCGATTTCACCGTAAATTAATGTTAATTTCGATGGTTACCGGATGACATGACATGCATTTTGACTGTGTCTTATTGCGTAGCATCGAAAAGTCCCAAACCCTTAGAGACCTGGCATGTTCTTTACCCTCTAGTGTGGTCGTTTGTCGCATTGGCAACAAGCATGGTCGTGTTGGCACTGCTCGCACAATTTTGACTGATGGTATGCAGATTTTTTTTTGTGTTATTATCACCCGACAGAGTATACATTATTCGTTTTGGATGGGGAAGGAATTGGTTGAAAATTTTCTCTGATGACTTTGGTATGCCACATATATCTGCCAAATGATTTTTAGAAGCTTGTTACCCGATTTTTTCTCTCTTCTATTATCGATGTTCTTTCACACTATCTACATACCACTCATATTTGAAGATAAAGCAATTTAAATGAATCAGATTTGTTTCACTACCGTTGTTGTAATACAATGTCATGATAAGATTCATACTCATTATCGATTAAATATTGAAAACATGAAATCGTATGAGGAAAAAATAATTTCATGATCGGTTTTTAGTTCAGTCAATGAACGGGTTGTAAAGGACATGGAACAGGGCATTTCTTTTTTTAAGACTTGGGATATATTCGGAGTAGATAGGAGTAAAAATTCCAAGTCCCCGAACCTACGAGGGGACATAGAAGGTCCCTTTTTTTAATTATCGTTCATATCTTGGAAACTGTACGTCACAGCAAAAAAGTCAGTCTATTCAAAATTATAATTGTCTGCAAAATAGTATCAGTAGGTTTTTTCCGTATCTCTAATTGTTCTGTGGATATTCGCTAGCGAATCAAGTAATTGAAAATCGCTTTTTTTATCTAGCGTATTTTGCCTGCTCAACCTCCAGTTTTTCACTAAAGTCTTCGACGAAGAAGTAACAAAGGATTCAATTACCTTCAATATGTTATGTCACATATGTATTTTATAAGTATCACGGTAATGGAAGCAGCCCTGTATCTTCCGTAATTGTTGAGTTGGGTTTCTGAAATTTGTAAGAGTGAGAAATATACCGAAAATACACACTATGACTAGAGTCACTAGATGGTATTAGTTATGACCAAGTGGAGTAACCTTCAATGATATACACTGCTCGCCAACAGCCATGGAACCACCCACAATTCCAGAAAATGATATTAGGGATGAGATAGGTTGAAAATCACTTTGCATTCGAAATGAGGACGTCCAATTCACTAACTATTTATATTTTTGCAGAAAAATTTTTAGTTCTGAAAAATTCAATTCAGACGATTCTCTAGCGAATATCTAGAAAACAAGTAAATTTTGTAGGTAATTTTAAGATTGCCTTTTTTGCTGTGACGTACCGTTTCAAGGTATTGTCAAGAAGTACAAATGCCTATGAACATAAATCAACTTTTCCAAATTGAAACATCCAGTACATTGTAGTTTCGATCAGGTCAGTGGAGTTCATAGACGTCATTTTCTTTAGAATTTTGCAAAAAAAAACGCTTACCGCGCGATGATACCTAGGTAAGCAATATCGAAGGGTAACGGCCATTCCCATTGCGGAAAATTGCAAACCTCGCATCGATTCCGAATATAAATAGTACCCGAGTCGATAAGGCATCATTATATATTATCAATACAAGTCATTAATAATTAGTATCAATTGAAAATGTTCGTCGTCTTCCCGACTTCAATGCTGCTGTTCAACCCCATGCTAGACGTTGTTATGTTAGTAGTGTTTTTTTCAATTGTTGTTTTGCGTTGTGTTTCATTTGGCAAGCCATTATAATATTTTTTCTTTGCTAACCTGCCATTATCCACGATTTTTCCATTTAATCAATAAATGTCAAATTTTTTTATGAAAACTGTCTTGACTTTTGATTTGGGGATGAATGTGGTTGGGTGGTGAAATGATCAAAACCTCTCGTCAATAAGCAAAGCGAGTAGCTATTTTACGACCTATCGGAGGGTCAACATCTGAGTTGCGACACGTGGGGGGGGCGCCGTTTGTTCTCAATAATGCCATATAACCTACTAGAAACATCTGAGTTGCGACTATATGAACGATAATTCAAAAAAGGAACCTTTTATGTCGCCCCCTGTACTTGGTTCCCCTCGAAGGTTCGGGGACTTTTAGAATTTTCACTCCGAATATATCCCTAGTCTCAAAAATCTGTCCTCTTCCATGCCCTCTACACCCCTTTTTGGGGAGGTTATCTCACAAATAGAGGATATTCTGTTATTGGCAATAAATTTAGTTTGCTCTATCTTTCAACCATTTAGTAAAGGGTGTTCTCAAAGATTGGGCATTTTTTTCAACAGGATGTAGAACTCATCAAAAAAGACAAAATCATCAAAAATTTGCTCATATCAAAGTTGCCAAATAAGGAATTTTGGGTGGAACAGGCCTCCCCACATGTCGTCCTCTCTGTTCCTTCAAACACCCTGTGTCACGACACCTTCGCACCAAACTAACGGAAATCTTTCCGCGTTGAAATGAAATGCTGCTGCTGCACTTTGGCGACACTCCATTAAAGCATGTAAACAAGTTCATTGCTCTCGTAAACGTGCTTCATTGTGACAATGCACGAAAAAAAAATGAGAAAGAGAATTGGATGACAAGCCCTAAACAGTGTATGAAATGTTCAATTGATAATATCTCCAGGTCAATATGCAATGTTTACGGAGGCGATATTTGGTGGATCTGCATTATTCTATGAGTTCTACATCCTTCTGAATGAAAAATGCCTCACCTTACGTTGAGAATACCCGAATATAGGAATCCATATTTTCAATCTGAACGTTCTTAAATTAAATTCTTTGAATATACTGAACGGTATATGAATCATTAGGTACATTTTTGCATGTCGTAGTTTTATCTTTGTCAATGAGACATTGGGTTCTACATCCTCTTGAATGAAAAATTCCTCACCTTACGTTGAGAATACCCGAATATAGGAATCCATATTTTCAATCTGAACGTTCTTAAATTAAATTCTTTGAATATACTGAACGGTATATGAATCATTAGGTAAATGTTTGCATGTCGTAGTTTTATCCTTGTCTATGAGACATGAATGATATTAAAATGAGGCATGAAACCTTCCACATACAGAAAACACTGCTTGCACAAGACGCCATCTGTATGCAAAGAAAGGCTTTATGAATAACTCGCTTTTTAAAAATTTCTCTGCTTGCTGCCTCTCTATAGAAGCTTCATTCCTGCCTGTTAGTTCTTTTCGTACAGATTTTTGCAAACTGACAGTTTGCGTGATTCAATGGTATGGTGAAATAATATTTAAATTTTTACTATTATTCAATACAAAGTTTTTTCTGCATGAATGTTTCCCATAATAGGACACTAATTATTCTAATCAGTGTCCTTTGGACACGTAACAAATATTATTTCATTTCATGATCCATTAACCAAGACAAATCGGTATTCTTTTTCATACATTCATTGATGTTCCAGAAGATTTTTACCAGCAAGAACCCCAGTTTACTATCACGACAACAGAAGAGATTGATCCAGTCACTGGTGCAAAGTAAGTGTGATCAATCCAATACTATCTTTCAACTCGATCGTATATTCATGTTTCGAAATTATAGCCTGAATATTAGGTCCCAAGATAAGCTGATGGCTTGATCATTATACAGGGAAAAACAAAAGTATGGATTTTTTTTTCATTTTCATTAACAATAATTCAGAACCATTCTCAAACCTGCTTCATCATGTTTTGAATTAAAGTGTGATCAATTCAATTATTTTTATCAACAATAATTCAGAATCTATTCGCCTTCGCCCGGCCTTGTCAGATACTCCTTAAGAGCTACGATTCTCCATTTTCAAGGAGAATTTTAGGCAATTCTTCAAGACCACTTGAGACATTTGATCAACTCGATGCCACGGCTGTTGAATGCTGTAATTCAAACTCGAGGAGGGCGTACTCTTTATTATCTTTTTACTCTACTTCTACTTTATTTTGTACTATTTTGGTATATATCGACTACAGGTCTCCTTTTTGTTTGTTTCGTGTAATTAAGGTTTTTTCCTGTAAGTGCTAAGAAAATGAGGTGGAAATTATAGTGATATTGATTCTTTAAGTTGTTGATCAATAAGTTTATGTAGGTTCTGATTATTGTTAATGAAAATAGTGGAATGCTATTCTGTCTGTAGGTTAATCAAAGAGGTGGTACATCCATTATTCCAGATTTCTTTGGATTTTCTCTCGTTTCTATAAAATAAAAATATGAATATTATTTCAATTTACGTGTAGTAAGGACAAATTAGAGATGATTTGCCCCAAAATGTCAGTGCGTTGAAAGAATGTTTTATGTTCAAAACGGGAAAGCTAAGTGAAAATCTGATATTTTTTCTATATACCTTTATTTCTCTTCTCCAAACCTTTTTCAATACAAATTGTCACTGACATGCTGGTGAATTTTTCTTTCAGGATCTCTGATAGGAAAATTGTTTAAACTCGCTAACATTTTGGGACAAATCATCTTATTTGTCCTTACTACACGTATATTGAAATAATATTCATATTTTTATCTTATAGAAACAAGGAAAACAATCCCAAAAAATCTGGAATAATGATCGAATGCCATACTTTCTTAAAACTTGAAAATAAGATATTGACGTGAATTTCCGGCACAGGGCGTTAAGAAGTAAAGGGTAAAAAAGTAACTATAAGTATCACTGTTTATAATAAAATATTATTCTCAGTTTTTCTGACTTGTTATTGACATTTTTCTTCTTTCCTTAATAACATTTCTTCTTCAAGTTTTTCTAATTTCTTAGCTGCTTCTAGTTTCAATTCTAAAATTTTCCTCGCTTTGGATGAAGTAGTCTGCTTTCCAACTGAAGTACCTGCTTTGTTAGCTGTGTTTCCTTTCTCTGATTTTCCATCTTGAACATCTTCAGCTGCATTTGGAGGATCGATTCTATCCCGTGGAAATCCAAGAAAATCAGATTCACTTCTTGACTTCGGTTGGCCACTATACTTCGTTCCATCTATTTTCTTGTTAGTTAACTGTATATTCACAGACTGGATATTCTTTTTCCTCGAAGGACCATATATTATGAGTATCTCTGTTTTTAATAAAATATTATTCTCAGTTTTTCTGACTTTATTGACTTTTTTTTCATATTATCTTTTGTCACATCATCATAACAACTACAATAATAGACAAGGAGTTATTTCTAAATTGAACAATCAATAACAAATATATCTTCAACAGCAACTTTGGTTTTCTCCTGTATAATGATCAAGTCATCAGCTCTTCACGGAAACTAATATTTAGCTATCATTCTGGAACATGAATCTACGATTTGATCGAAATTTCACAAAAATCGGTCTAGGATTGATAAATAATAATAATAAATATGGGCAAATTTTTTGGTAGCCGGTTTTATCTGCATGTGAGTGTATAAATTTAGGATCAAGTTTTATTGAGAATATTTTTTGCAGAACAACAAGGACAGTAAGGACAGCTTCCCAAATGATCACGTCACCCAATCAGAACGAAGAAGATTTTCGGCATTCAATGCAAACAGTTCTGGACCAGTTCATGTCCGAAGAGAGAAATCCGCACTAACAATTTTGATGGCTTCTGAGGGCAATACGATTGCTACTTAAATTGGAAGAAGTCGCCCTATTTCTACTTGTTCTGAAACAGTATTGTCCCAGTGATTTCTTTTTACAAGTTTCAGCTTAATTTATTTTTTTATCATATTCCGCTTGTACGATTGTTGACAGATTTTTACCGAGATATCGTTGGTAATTTTTCAAAAGCATTGTTTTTATATATTTCTGATCTATATTGCCGTCTGAGATGTTCTATTTTAAATGACCAATTTATGACAATTGTGAGATTTTAAATATTTATTATTGTATAGCAAGTTATAAACTGAGGTATTCTAAAGTTTATGTACATTTTCAAGTTTTCAATGAAAAATATTATATTGATTAAATTTAATATATTATGCATTTCAGCTTAGCTAGAAAAAAAAAAGTTGTTCAATACTTGATTAAATAAGTCTTTAGCGGTTGTTCGTTATAGGGCCTAGAGTCTGGTTTTAAAAGTACAGGATATTTTTAGGTGAATTTTATTTATACATTTAATTCCAATGAAACTAGAAGTTTTCTTCGACAGTTTTGATGACATTGAATTTATGCTTTACATTCTACTTCAATAGCTCTATAGAACATCTATTATGTATATATTTTTTTGAAAATAAATATGTTACATACAAACACATTCGTTTTTCATTTTTCCACCTGGCAACAAACATTCCACTAATCAGTACAATCGCAAAATGCGAGAGCATCTCAAGAATTAATTTTATCACACAATATTCCTAATCATTCATTCAAAATATTTATCTCCTAAGATAAAAATGGTTTGTATTGACAGTGTTTGTGTTCACAGTAGAAATGAACAATATACAAAAAATCGAAGCAGTTCAGGCAGTTATTGCAATTTTATTGCCTAACTATGGAACATTTCTATTTTATTTTCAATTCCATATGAACAATGATGAGATCTACAATGACCTCACTGTACCTTCGTGGACCCCATCTTATAGGACTTTCAAACTCATATGGACTTGTTTCTACTGCATTATAGGCTTAGCATCGTTTCTTGTGTTCAAGGAGATAAGCTTGGTTGGCAATCAAGGTAAGTGATATACATTCCTCATTAGCAACATGAAACATAGAATCTTTATTTTAAAAAATTTGACCATCCGAAATCTGATCGATTTCAAGACCTGAATTGAATGCGTAAAGTCAAAATTTCCAGCGATATCAGGGATATAAAGAATTTGTTGGGATATTGAAGCCCTACAGAAAAATCGATTGCAATTTCCTATACATGAGATCAAGCTCTTTGGGAAATTGCGGTACGTTTGGTGAATTCGCGATAGAGTTAACTACTAGATCGTATTTTTTTATCGAAGGTACCGCAACACTAAATCGAGTATACAATAAAGGTATCGCAATTTTTTTTGAATTTCGTAATCGTATAGAGTTTGACCTCGCGCATTCGAAAAAATGATCAGTTTTCCTCTAGCGCCTTTATTTCTCATAAGATTCTCTGTATCTCGGAAACCGCTGGATATTTTGACTTTCTGACTCATAGATGATTAAACGGATCGAATTTAGGTCTTGTAATTGCTTCCCATTGCGATTGGTATGGTCAAAATCCATTTTTGAGAAAATTTTCAAAAATCCAAAAAAATCCTCACCAGAAATTTTCGAAAATTTTTTGTGAGGTATTCTTCGAGAACGACAAGAGAATCGATTTTTCATTGTTCTGGATCGTGTTTTTTTTTCATATCGAAGGTACCACAATACTAGATCGAGTATTTGATAAAGGTACCGCATTTTTTTTAAATAACGTTATCGTATAGAGTTTGACCTCGCGCATTCGAAAAGGTGATCGGTTTTCCCCTAGCGCCTTTATTTCTCAAAAAATACTCTGTATCTCGGAAACCGCTGGATATTTTGACTTTCTGACCCATAGATGATTGAACGGATTGAATTTAGGTCTTGTAATTGCTTCCCATTGCGATTGGTATGGTCAAAATCCATTTTTGAGAAATTTTTCAAAAACCCAAAAAAATCCTCACCAAAAATTTTCGTAAATTTTTTGGTGAGAAATTATTCTTCGAGAACGACAAGAGAATCGTTTTTTCATTGTACTGGATCGTGTTTTTTTTATATCGAAGGTACCACAATACTAAATCGAGTATTTGATAAAGGTACCGCAATTTTTTTTAAATAACGTTATCGTATAGAGTTTGACCTCGCGCATTCGAAAAAGTGATCGGTTTTCCCCTAGCGCCTTTATTTCTCAAAAAATCCTCTGTATCTCGGAAACCGCTGGATATTTTGACTTTCTGACCCATAGATGATTGAACGGATTGAATTTAGGTCTTGTAATTGCTTCCCATTGCGATTGGTATGGTCAAAATCCATTTTTGAGAAATTTTTCAAAAATCCAAAAAAATCCTCACCAAAAATTTTCGAAAATTTTTTGTGAGGTATTCTTCGAGAACGACAAGAGAATCGATTTTTCATTGTTCTGGATCGTGTTTTTTTTTTCATATCGAAGGTACCACAATACTAGATCGAGTATTTGATAAAGGTACCGCATTTTTTTTAAATAACGTTATCGTATAGAGTTCGACCTCGCGCATTCGAAAAGGTGATCGGTTTTCCCCTAGCGCCATTATTTCTCAAAAAATTCTCTGTATCTCGGAAACCGCTGGATATTTTTGACTTTCTGACCCTTGGATGATTAAACGGATCGAATTTAGGTCTTTTAATTGCTTCCAATTGCGATTGGTATGGTCAAAATCCATTTTTGAGAAATTTTTCAAAAACCAAAAAAAATCCTCACCAAAAATTTTCGTAAATTTTTTGGTGAGAAATTATTCTTCGAGAACGACCAGAGAATCGTTTTTTCATTGTACTGGATCGTGTTTTTTTTAGATCGAAGGTACCGCAATACTAGATCGAGTATTTGATAAAGGTACCGCAATTTTTTTAAATAACGTAATCATATAGAGTTTGATCTCGCGCATTCGAAAATGTGATCGGTTGTACTCTACGGCCCTCATTTCTCAAAAAATTCTCTGTATCTCGAAAACCGCTGGATATTTTGACTTTCTGACCCATAGATGATTAAACGGATTGAATTTAGGTATTGTAATTGCTTCCCATTGCGATTGGTATGGTCAAAATCCATTTTTGAGAAATTTTTCAAAAACCCAAAAAAATCCTCACCAAAAATTTTCGAAAATTTTTTGTGAGGAATTATTCTTCGAGAACGACAAGAGAATCGATTTTTCATTGTTCTGGATCGTGTTTTTTTTATATCGAAGGTACCACAATACTAGATCGAGTATTTGATAAAGGTACCGCAATTTTTTTAAATAACGTTATCGTATAGAGTTTGACCTCGCGCATTCGAAAAAGTGATCAGTTTTCCTCTAGCACCTTTATTTCTCAAAAAATTCTCTGTATCTCGGAAACCGCTGGATATTTTGACTTTCTGACCCATAGATGATTGAACGGATTGAATTTGGGTCTTGTAATTGCTTCCCATTGCGATTGGTATGGTCAAATTCCATTTTTGAGAAATTTTTCAAAAACCCAAAAAAATCCTCACCAAAAATTTTCGAAAATTTTTTGGTGAGAAATTATTCTTCGAGAACGACAAGTGAATCGTTTTTTCATTGTACTGGATCGTGTTTTTTTTTTTCGAAGGTACCACAATACTAGATCGAGTATTTGATAAAGGTACCGCAATTTTTTTTAAATAACGTTATCGTATAGAGTTTGACCTCGCGTATTTGAAAAAGTGATCAGTTTTCCTCTAGCACCTTTATTTCTCAAAAAATTCTCTGTATCTCGGAAACCGCTGGATATTTTGACTTTCTGACCCATAGATGATTGAACGGATTGAATTTAGGTCTTGTAATTGCTTCCCATTGCGATTGGTATGGTCAAAATCCATTTTTGAGAAATTTTTCAAAAACCCAAAAAAATCCTCACCAAAAATTTTCGAAAATTTTTTGGTGAGAAATTATTCTTCGAGAACGACAAGAGAATCGTTTTTTCATTGTACTGGATCGTGTTTTTTTATATCGAAGGTACCACAATACTAGATCGAGTATTTGATAAAGGTACCGCAATTTTTTTTAAATAACGTTATCGTATAGAGTTTGACCTCGCGTATTCAGAAAAGTGATCGGTTTTTCCCTAGCGCCTTTATTTCTCAAAAAATTCTCTGTATCTCGGAATCCGCTGGATATTTTGACTCTCTGACCCATTGATGATTGAACGGATTGAATTTAGGTCTTGTAATTGCTTCCCATTGCGATTGGTATGGTCAAAATCCATTTTTGAGAAATTTTTCAAAAACCCAAAAAAATCCTCACCAAAAATTTTCGTAAATGTTTTGGTGAGAAATTCTTCGAGAACGACAAGAGAATTGTTTTTTCATTGTACTGGATCGTGTTTTTTTTATATCGAAGGTACCACAATACTACTAGATCGAGTATTTGATAAAGGTACCGCAATTTTTTTAAATAACGTTATCGTATAGAGATTGACCTCGCGTATTCGAAAAAGTTATCAGTTTTCCTCTAGCGCCTTTATTTCTCAAAAAATCCTCTGTATCTCGGAAACCGCTGGATATTTTGACTTTCTGACCCATAGATGATTAAACGGATCGAATTTAGGTCTTGTAATTGCTTCCCATTGCGATTGGTATGGTCAAAATCCATTTTTGAGAAATTTTTCAAAAACCCAAAAAAATACTCACCAAAAATTTTCGAAAATTTTTTGTGAGGAATTATTCTCCGAGAAAGACAAGAGAATCGTTTTTTCATTGTACTGGATCGAGTTTTTTTATATCGAAGGTACCACAATACTAGATCGAGTATTTGATAAAGGTACCGCAATTTTTTTTAAAATAACGTTATCGTATAGAGTTTGACCTCGCGTATTCGAAAAAGTGATCAGTTTTCCTCTAGCACCTTTATTTCTCAAAAAATTCTCTGTATCTCGGAAACCGCTGGATATTTTGACTTTCTGACCCATAGATGATTGAACGGATTGAATTTGGGTCTTGTAATTGCTTCCCATTGCGATTGGTATGGTCAAATTCCATTTTTGAGAAATTTTTCAAAAACCCAAAAAAATCCTCACCAAAAATTTTCGAAAATTTTTCGGTGAGAAATTATTCTCCGAGAACGACAGGAGAATCGTTTTTTCATTGTACTGGATCGTGTTTTTTTTATATCGAAGGTACCACAATACTAGATCGAGTATTTGATAAAGGTACCGCAATTTTTTTTAAAATAACGTTATTGTATAGAGTTTGACCTCGCGTATTCGAAAAAGTGATCGGTTTTTCCCTAGCGCCTTTATTTCTCAAAAAATTCTCTGTATCTCGGAAACCGCTGGATATTTTGAGTTTCTGACCTATAGATGATTGAACGGATTGAAATTTGGTCTTGTAATTGCTTCCCATTGCGATTGGTATGGTCAAAATCCATTTTTGAGAAAATTTTCAAAAACCCAAAAAAATCCTCACCAAAAATTTTCGTAAATGTTTTGGTGAGAAATTCTCCGAGAACGACAAGAGAATTGTTTTTTCATTGTACTGGATCGTGTTTTTTTTATATCGAAGGTACCACAATACTACTAGATCGAGTATTTGATAAAGGTACCGCAATTTTTTTTAAATAACGTTATCGTATAGAGTTTGACCTCGCGTATTCGAAAAAGTGATCAGTTTTCCTCTAGCGCCTTTATTTCTCAAAAAATCCTCTGTATCTCGGAAACCGCTGGATATTTTGACTTTCTGACCTATAGATGATTAAACGGATCGAATTTAGGTCTTATAATTGCTTCCTATTGCGATTGGTATGGTCAAAATCCATTTTTGAGAAATTTTTCAAAAACCCAAAAAAATCCTCACCAAAAATTTTCGTAAATTTTTTGGTGAGAAATTATTCTTCGAGAACGACAAGAGAATCGTTTTTTCATTGTACTGGATTGTGTTTTTTTTATATCGAAGGTACCGCAAAACTACTAGATCGAGTATTTGATAAAGGTACCGCAATTTTTTTTAAATAACGTAATCGTATAGAGTTTGACCTCGCGCATTCGAAAAAGTGATCGGTTTTCCCCTAGCGCCTTTATTTCTCAAAAAATCCTCTGTATCTCGGAAACCGCTGGATATTTTGACTTTCTGACCCATAGATGATTAAACGGATCGAATTTAGGTCTTGTAATTGCTTCTTATTGCGATTGATATGGTCAAAATCCATTTTAGAGAAATTTGTGAAAAATCCGAAAAATGTTTGCTAAAAAGTTTGAAACATTTTCATGTGAAAATTTATCTTCCTATAACAAACGTTTTTTCGTTTTAGCTGTATCCAAAGCTTCAAAGGTTATTTTAATAATATTTTACTCCATACACGTACCTGCATGCTGGGCATGGTTACCACTTCTTGGAGGTCTGAAGAATATAGGAGGGGTAAAATATTTTATACCACGTCGATGTATTAAAGACGAAATAATTTTTTTTTATAGGCAGTAACTGTCCTCCTACTAGCAGGCTCTACCGCCACTACGATTACACCCCTAGTGTGGTATGTCAACAAAATAGCAGCAGTTCTATTCCTTCCTCATATAGCATGGATAATATTTTTAATAACATGGACTTTGCAAGTGTCCTGAATAAATCTGTAGTACTGGTGGATAACTATATTAAATGAAAAAATAAAAAAATGGGAGAAAAGGTAAACAATTTATTCACATTAAATATAAAAATCTCCATTTGATGAAAACAATTTCCTAGAATATTACAAATAAAAATCGTAGCTGTCTCAGCGGTAATTGTGCTCTTATCAGGAGAAGTTTTTTTTGGAAATTATTTTTGCTACTTAAGTATTTTAGTCTGAAAAACACGAATTTCATGATGAAAATGTGAACAAACCACTATTTATCCAGATATTTCACGAAGAATTTTGGAAATTTCACCGCCCGTCTTGGATACGCATTTACAAATTTGCCATTTTTTTTCATCATTGGAAAAAATTATTATCACAAGTTTCCACCAAGTGAAAAAAAAATATGAAGGAATAATATTATGAATTCTACGCGCTGAACGGACATTTTTTTTTTTTATAATCGCAAGATTTATCTTTCAATTGAACTAATTGTGAGATTGATCTAGCAATTTGGGCTCAATTACAAAATCGATCTTGCAATTAAGCTAAATTGCAATATCGATCTGGCAATTAGTGCTTAATTGTCAGATGGATGTTGCAATTAAGCTCAATTGCCAGTCGATCTTGCAATCAAGATGAGTGCAACATTGATCTGACATTTAAGCACTAATTGACAGATCGACGTTGCAATTGAGTCGTATTGCAAGATAGATCTGTCAATTAAGCACTAATTGCCAGATCGATGTTGCAATTATCTTAATCGTTAGATCGCATGTTGCGATTATCTTGATTGCTAGATCGCATATTGCAATTATTTCAATTGCTAGATGGCATGTTGCAATTAAGCTAAATTGCATTATCGACCTGGCAATTAGTGCTTAATTGTCAGATGGATGTTGCAATTGAGCTCAATTGCCAGTCGACCTTGCAATCAAGATGAGTGCAACATTGATCTGACATTTAAGCACTAATTGACAGATCGACGTTGCAATTGAGTCGTATTGCAAGATAGATCTGTCAATTAAGCACTAATTGCCAGATCGATGTTGCAATTATCTTAATCGTTAGATCGCATGTTGCGATTATCTTGATTGCTAGATCGCATATTGCAATTATTTCAATTGCTAGATGGCATGTTGCAATTAAGCTAAATTGCATTATCGACCTGGCAATTAGTGCTTAATTGTCAGATGGATGTTGCAATTGAGCTCAATTGCCAGTCGACCTTGCAATCAAGATGAGTGCAACATTGATCTGACATTTAAGCACTAATTGACAGATCGACGTTGCAATTGAGTCGTATTGCAAGATAGATATGTCAATTGAGCACTCATTGCCAGATCGATGTTGCAATTATCTCAATTGTTAGATCTCATGTTGCAATTATCTTAATTGCTAGATCGCATGTTGCAATTATCTTAATTGCTAGATCGCATGTTGCAATTATCTTAATTGCTAGATCGCATGTTGCAATTATCTTAATTTCTAGATCGCATGTTGCAATTATCTTGATTGCTAGATCGCATGTTGCAACTATCTTAATTGCAATATCGATCTAGCAATTAATAAGCTTAATTACAACGTTGATCTGACAAATAAGTACTGATTGCCAGAACGATATTGCAATTATCTTGATTGCTAGATCGCATGTTGCAATTATCTTAATTGCTAGATCGCATGTTGCAATTATCTTGATTGCTAGATCGCATGTTGCAACTATCCTAATTGCAAAATCGAACTAGCAAATAATAAGCTTAATTACAACATTGATCTGACAATTAAGCACTAATTGCCAGATCGATATTGCAATTATCTTAATTGCTAGATCGCATTTTGCAATCATCTTAATTGCAATATCTATCAATTAATAAGCTTAATTACAACATCGATCTGAGAATCAAGCACTAATTGCCAGATCGTTTTTGCAATCAATCCCATCGATCTATCAAATAAGCACTATTTGTTAAATCGACTTTACAATTATCGTGATTGCCAGATCGCATTTCGCAATTATCTCAATTGCAAGATCAATCTGGCAATTATTAATGAGCTCAATTGGAACGTAGATTTGACAATTAAGCACTAATTGCTAGATATATGTTGCAATCAAGCCCAAATGGTAGATCGATCTTACAATTAGCTTAATTGGCAGATATATCTTGCAAATATAAATTGATCTTCATTTGATATAATTATGAGATGTTTGAGTGCAGTTCATAGTGAAGTACGGGGTGGCTGGAATTTGATGCTGATCAAAATGCCGCCCTGTATCTCTCACGGTTTAAGAGATCCCAATGATGAGCCTCGAATTCTAGCCACCCTGTACACAGTGTCCAATTATGAAAAAAAGAAGGCAAGTGGCTGAGAATGTGTATCTAAGACAGGCGGAAAAGAAAGGTGAAATTTGGAAATTTTTCGTTAAATATCTCGATAAATTCGCGTTCTTCAGACAAAAATAATTCCCGAAATATAAACCACGCGCAAAACCACCGGTCCCAGCAACTGGCGAACCGAATCACTTGTTGCCGAAGCCGCCCATCAGGTTGCCCAGCCCGCCCAACCCACCCGCCGCCCCCGCCTGCAGCTGCCGCATCATGTTCTGCAGGCCCGACATGCCGCCCATCTGGTGCAGCACGCGCGGGTCCATCATCTTCGCCATCTGTTGGTTGAGCTTGGCCATCTGGTTGTGGTTGACGTTTTTGACCATGTCGCCGCCCTTGAACAGGCCCTTGATGCCGCCCATCTTCTTCACGACGGCGGCGAATTTCGTGTACTGCGTGATGAGTTCTTTCACTTCCCTTTCTGGAAGAGGAAATAGAGTCAGTTTTTGGTACAGCTGACATTGAAACCACTGAAACGGGCGATAAAGTGCCACTTCACACCCGGTTGTGCAAAATAGATATTTATGCACGACCGGGCGTAAAGAAGCACTCTACTGGTGGGCGTATAAATATCTTGTATACATATAACAGTGTGACAGTGGATCCTGAAATTTGCTGGAGCTAGAGATATCCCAAAAATGCACTCAATGACCAAGTGAGATCAACTTCAGTGATATAGACTGCTCGCCAACAGCCATGAACCACCCAATTTCACCCAAAATAGGTCGAAAATCACTTCAGATTCGGAATCAGGATGCCCAATTCATTGACTATTCATATTTTTCCTGGAAAATTAACAGTTTTGAAAAATTAAATTTTGTCGCACTTTTTACGGAAGCACCCCCGTATCTTACGTAATTGACTTTATCTTTGGACTTTCCCTTCTAGTCCAATAAATAAAGGGAAAAAGTTAACATTAATTACGCACTATTTTCATCTTCCGGTTGGAAGTAGCTTTTGGTACCTCATTAAACATGAGACAAAGTTTGACTGGAAAACGCGTGCGATGGCGGAGAAAATGGCCCCAAAAGACCAGAAAAATAGGTTTTCCGCAAATCGCTAGGAAATTTTGACATTCCTGTCAAAATTTCTTGAAGAAAAAGTCAGGACTTCCTTACTGTAAGGAAATGATATTTCCGTACAGTTGTTAGTGTTCTACATAAATGATTGAAAACACATTGCTTATTATTATTATTTTCGTACTTTTCTCTTGATTTCTTTGGCAATAATTCTAATGAAGCAGTATTCACTGCCTCAACCAGCTCTGGAGGAGTCCCAAGAATGGAAATTTCATCATCACTTATCATTTTACTTTCGAGAACACCAGCAATTAAATTTATAAGCGTCAAGTTTGACAATTCAACCTCAATACGTTTCCATAGTAACCCAAGTAATTTTATCAGGAATTTCAAAGCACCATATATTTGGGAATAAAATTATCGCGTTTTTTTTTAAAAAATCAATCAATACCTGTCGAATTTTAAACGATTTGCGGAAAAATAGTATGTTTACCTCGTAGGAAAAGCCACATTCCTGGACTCTGTGTTGCTAAGTCTCGGCTTGCGCCTCGACTAGCAATCTTCACAGTCGCCCAGGAATGTTAAGCTTTTCCTACCCGGTAAACAATGTACTATTTCAGCCAATATCTCCTAAAATATGGCAGTTAGAGATTTTCGGTTCAGATAAAAATTGAAGTTCAGTTAATTTTCTACAAAAATGGTCCTTATCATTTTTCTCGAAAATTTGCCCGGTTTCGAGAAAAACGGCACGGAGCGCACCTCGAAGAATGAGCTTTTGTTGTATGCCGGAGAGCACAGTCTGTGTATTTACACATCGGCGGGGGGACAAATTATTCAATAACTTTGTTGAAAATGCATATTTTCTCATGATTCAAAGATTCTGCTGCTATCATACCCTGTGAATTGAGTCACGCTTGACTCTTTTGGCCATATCGGAACATAGGTCAAACTTTCTGCTCCCGGTCAATTTTGACCTCGCCAGGAATTTGTTCCTATTTTTTTTGTATTGCACTAATTTACTCAAAATTTTCTTGATTATGGGTCCTCATAAGGTCCTTTGTCATCCCTGAAATTTGTATACCCTAATTTGTTTTAATTTTCAATTAATCTTTGTTTATTGAATCCCAATTTTTTGCTGTTTTTGGAGCGCGGGGAAATTTTGTGAACAACCATCAATTAAAAATGTATACATGATCCGATTGGTTTCTATGATACATCATTTGAAAGCTAAAAAGGTTTACTTTTCGATTGTGCTATTACTTTTTTAGACGAAGTCGTCCATTTTTCAATAAAATTAGAAAAAGCGGGGTCAAGGAAAAAACGCACTTTTTTTTTCGGTGTTTTTTTTCTCCGTGCTCTAAATTTCTAACATTTAAACACCTTAACTAGTGTAACGGGGGAATTCCCATCTTTCCATCGATGTATATAAGTCATACCTTTGATATCCCGGGAAAAAACCAGTATATTATCTAAATGTACACGCTATAATTTATAACTTTCGTTCCTCCGTCGTTCGCCGCGTGTGTGCTCTACGTGGCGCTCGGGTCGTCTGCTACAAACCATGCGGCCACGCAGAGTATGATAGCAGCAGAATTCCTCTTTCACATAAACTTTGAATCATGAGGAAATATGCATTTTTACTGTATATCTATATATTTTTCATATTGCTTGCAAAATGCAGGTTAAAACATTAAAACGTTGACGAATTTTTAGAAAAGTCATTCACTTTCCCTAGCGAATTTATTCCAGTTAAAGTCTCCACTCTGTAGGATTTCATGGCCAGAGCAAAAGCGATAAATTACGCTCAAAATACCTACAACATTTCATGCACAATAGTTTTAGACATTTATTTACTGTTAAGCCCGCAAATCCGGGCTATAAAGTACAATACTCCACGCCCAGTTGTGCAAAATAGTTATTTATGTATCAAGGGCGTAAAGTAGGTTTTTATGGACAGCAGCGCGTAAATGAGAGCCCGAGCGATAGCGAGGGTTATTAACATGCCTAGGTCCATAAAAGCAAGTTACGCCCGAAATAATACATTTTATTTTTCACTTGTCCATTACTGCTTTATAATACCATGGCAACGGTAGTTATTAACAGATCAATAACACCCGAGGCGTTATGGAGGGAATTATGAATCATAACGCCTGCAAATTGTTATTTTCTTTAGTTCATAAAATAACATTGAAAGTACAATAATCCTTGTCGTATATACAGGAGTCTGGATTTCTCCGAGAATAAATTAATGGCAGCCTTAAACTTGTATTCATTTCCATTATTTCTATAAGACTACACAAAGAAAGCAGCAAAGACATTCACTAAATTAAATGATGATAGAAATATTCAACAAACGTCAAAATATCAATAAATGCCATGCATACCATTAGAATAAAAATGGAAATATGCTAGGAGCAATAAACCGCTAACTAAAATCGATTTTCATTTTGATAAGATAATTTTTTCGTGTGCACCACGAGCGTTACTATATCCTACGCCCATCGGGCAGCAAATAATGTACTTGGTACAGAAAAATAACTATGATGCAAGACCGTTCTAGACATTTATTTACTGTCAATATGGAATTTATTGATGCACACTGGGAAAGAAAGATCGAATGGTAGCCTACTGAGAATTACTGGAAAATCAGTGAAATTACTTTACCGCCGGATCACCTATTTTACCGCACAACTGACTTTACCGCCCGCTGTATTATACTGTTTAAGATAATTGAAATTTTTATTAGATGGGATATTCAAATTTCAATTCAATAATAGGCCAACAAATATCCTCCCATTATGCTCTATTTGGAGAATATAAAAAATAACCTTATGATCAAATACATCTTGTATAATGAGGTGATATTCAAGAAAAGGAGATGGCTGTGGATAGACAGTCTACAATACCTATGAAAAGTGCTCACAATCTCCTTGATACATTGAAATCATCATTAAAATATCAATTCATTATTTCTTCAAAGAAAGATATAGTTTGAAAATGCATACACACACAAACCATTTTACCAAACACCCTGTTAAATATATAACTTTTCATCAAAGAAATAAACGAAATATTTATTTGAATATTATAATAAAAAATGAAAGATTGAAACAAACTGCCTATACCAAATACCTTGGTATTTGGATTGATGAAAAGTTAACATGGGACAAGCATATTGGTTTGCTCAATAAAAAATTCTCCCATAGTTGGTGCCCTAAGAAGATGTCCAAAACTTATCCCAAATATAGCAAATACCATTCTATACTCTCACATCCTGAGTAATATGAACTATCTCATGGATATTTGGAGTTCATGTTCCAAGAATAATTCTAACAAAATAGAAAGCATTAAAAGTACTGTATTGTCTTCCATATGACACCCCATCAAATCAACTTTATGAAGAAACAAATACATTTCCTTTGGAAGAGCACTATCTGGTTAATACTCTCAAAATTTCTTTTGATATTATCAACAAACACCTCAAATCTAACTTCAAATTGGTAAGGAATTCCCAAATCCATGAACATCATAATAGACAATATGAATTGTTTCATCTTGATGCTGCTAATTCTACACTTGGCCAAAAAAAGTTCACTCAGGGAGCATCTCAAAGTTCAATAAATTACCTGATGGTATCAAAAGTTGAACAAATATCACCCAATTCAAAATTGAAGTCAACATATCCTCTTGCAAAGAGAAAATCAAACCTTTGTGAATGATTTCTCATTCACTAATTTATTTCATCATGTCATGATGTACTTTTCATAAGATTTTTGTTTTTTATTATTATTAATTTTGTATCTGTTGTTTATTTCTATAACTTAGATTCAATAAGCCATGGATAATCTCATACCAGATATGAATCTGTCTGATAATGCATGTTAAACAGCCCAAATATTATGTAATTCAAAAATAAAGTGAAGAAATATATTTATATGCAAAGGAATGATCAAAGCTGAAAGACTATGAATTTCCTTTTTTTTTTTCACTGTTTTTATTTTTCCCCTTCTTGTTCACTATAATATGACTGTTATTTTGAGATATCTTAATGATATGTAAGTTTTGTTCACAATTTCTATTTTCAATTAAACAACAGTTGATAATACTTCATGAATGATCTTATACCAGGAATTACTGTCTGATCATTAATGTCATTCCTACTAGAAAACTAATTATGCTTTATACCGGGTGGCTACGGAAGTATTGCCTACGGAATATCTCAGTTATTGTATGAAGTAGGTTTGTGAAATTTGGAGCGTCGATATAATGACAAAAGAGCTAGAATTTGAGCATATTGACATGTCGAAGTTAACTTCCGGTCTGACCGGAAGTAACATCAACTTCCTTATTTTAAATGGAAACCCTATTATTTTTTCTTTTCGCTTTATTCAGCATTCAATTCCCTTTCTAATGACATATCACAAGCTGGTATCCAACCAGAAACTAGATCAGAAAAAAATTATTATTGAAATTCACCGAGTAGGCCGTGGAAGCAAAATGAAAGCCAAAAATTGAAAAGTTGACTATGGAAACCATACGTCACTTGATGACAGTTGCTACTACTGTGATAATTTATTTTCATTCGTCGGCGTTATAAAAAGCCGCCAAAAAAAATATTGGAAAAATTGGGAAAAAACAATACTCTGTAGGTCCATAACTTGAATAGGAACATACAACTGTTTCTTGCCTGTACTATTCAGCATAACCATTCCTTTCTAATGATATAATAGAAAGTCATTTTTTGGCTTTCATTTTGCTTCCACGGCCGACTCGGTGAATTTGAATAATAATTTTTTTCTGATCTAGTTTCTGGTTAGATACCAACTTGTGATATGTCATTAGAAAGGGAATTGAATGCTGAATAAAGCGAGAAGAAAAAAAAATAGGGTTTCCATTTAAAATAAGGAAGTTGATGTTACTTCCGGTCAGACCGGAAGTTAACTTCGACATGTCAATATGCTCAAATTCTAGCTCTTTTGTCATTATATCGACGCTCCAAATTTCACAAACCTACTTCATACAATAACTGAGATATTCCGTAGGCAATACTTCCGTAGGCAATACTTCCGTAGCCACCCGGTATATTATTTGTATGAAATGTATCAATGAAGAAGAGGATGTGATGCAATAACTGAAATAAATAAACAATTTCATTGTAAATCATGATAAAATATATTTATATTTATTTGAGGTGCAAAGTGATGTTTATAACAAGGAATGGAAATAAAAATAAAAGTATATTAAAAAAAAGTCCCCAAATGGGAGATTATCAACTTGGCATAAAAGAAATTGATTTGCAAAAAAGTGTACCATGACTTTTTTCTGTGTATTGGTAGAAATCACCCACTAAAATTAGGGTACCTACTAGTTGGTTAGTTGAAGAAGTGAATATTACCTGTAACTCCTGATCCTTGGGCCACCCTTATAACTCTGCCATTTTGTTTGGAGAACAATTTTGCACCATCCCTGTTGTCCAACTCTGCATCATTCATACTATCCATAATTGTCATCAGTTTTTTCAGCCTTGCCATGGATTCTTGTTCACTACCTTTTGACATGAAATCTTGACTGAAGCCAGGAATCATACCCTGAAAAATCAACAAAAGGATTCTTCTAGTCACTGAAGCTTTGGGGAAATATTCACCATTATTTGTGAAAAAGGCCCCATCTTCATGATATTTTGGAACTGTTCATACATGTCTCTCAGAGTGAACTGACCATGTTTAATTTTTTCCAGCAACTCTTCATTATCTTCTAGCTTCAGTTCATTCACTTTGTCAATCAGTCCTTCTATATCACCCATACCCAATAACTTGCTAATGAAAGGCTTTGTTTTGAAAGATTCTAAATCATCTATGTGTTCTCCAGTACCTATGAAAATTATAGGACTACTGGTTGCTGCCACTCTGAAAAAACAATATGAATAAGTCAATCATGTTAGAATTGAAAGAAAAGTACAGTCCAGTATTTATCTATATATTATCACTTACGCACTGAGAGCCCCTCCACCTTTTGCATGTCCATCTAATTTTGTTATGATGACTGAACCAACATCCACTTTTTCTTTGAAAGCCCTTGCTTGTGACTCACAAGCTTGACCAATGGTAGCATCCATTACAAAAATAATATTGTCAGGTCTCTAAAAAATGCATTATACAGCTTTCTGAAAACTCCAAATATTTTTTTGGAGCAAAATAAATTGCTGAGCAACACTTAATTATCAAGATATTACTCACCACAGCATTAGATACAGCTAACATCTCTTCAAACAGTGATTCTTCTTGTTTATGTCTACCACTAGTATCCACAATTATTATTTCAAACCCTTCTTTTTTGAACATGTCTACACCATCTTGGGCAATAACTACAGGATCAACTTCAGTGTAACTGAAAGATGGAAAATGAGAATGGATATTTCCCAATTTCATTGACATGAACTATATTTTGTTTACCTTCCATAAAAGGGTATCCTAGCTTTAGTACAATTCTGTTTCACTTGGTCATAAGCCCCTGCTCTGAACGTATCAGCACACACTAAACAAGACTTCCAATTCTTTTTTTGATAGTGATAGGCCAGTTTGGTACAAGTAGTTGTTTTACCAGAACCTTGTAGACCAACAAACATTATAACATTTGGTTTTCCCTTGACTGGTTGATAGGGTTTCACCCCAGGATCCACCAGCTGAAAAACAAAGATACCTGTAGTAAAAGCTATAGCTACAGCAGTAGAAGATAAAGTACTTTGACAAGTTCTTTGAATACTGCACTTTGGATCATCCTCCTTTTGTTGAGGCCCCCGGCCATTTCCTCGAAGTCAATAACGGATTTGACATTTTCTCGGAGACTTTTTACTAGGCGAATGTTCACGTCTGCCTCTATGAGAGCAAGGCATATGTCTTTGAGCATGCCATTGAGGACCTGAAAACATAAGAGCTGTTCCTACCATATTTACAGAATAAACATCTGGAGTCACGTACCTCTTCATTGATGATTGTGGCCTTGCTGAGAGACTGCAAGGCAGTCGTAATTTTACGACCTAAGTCTGCTAATACCATTTTTCCGAATGTTTAGAAACTATTTTAGAATGTTTTTGTGATTTCAGTACTTGTGTTTATTTCATGATACGTGATCTAGTTTTTTGACAAATTGAGATAAAGCTGACAGTTGACAATTATGACAGAAACGTCATCATAGCTACCAACTTAGATACCAATCGTCAAAAGCTGGCAAGCATATAATAATATTTACTATTTCTATATATGACGCATCGCCTACACGATATCTCAACAAAAATGGGACCAAAATGAGAGGTACTTATTAGGCCTGTTCGTTTGTATTGCTAAACTGGCTAAAGTTGATCTTTTTCCCATAGTTGTCTCTGTTCATGCCATGATGTAAACTCTAGGAAAAAATCAAGTTTAGCAGGTAGAGCAAGCACAAACGAACAGGCCTTTTGATTCTATAAGGACGGAAACAGCCATATTGGTTTAAGTTTCGTATTATTTTTTCCCTACGTCGGAATCAATGCCTATTGGCGAGAATTGACAAGCCCCGGGGTTTATCGCGGGAGAGAGAAGGACATATAATGCCCTCTCACTCGCGAGAATGCATTTGGCACATAGCCGAAGCACAGTACTTCATCATACTTCGTCTCGTAAGCAACTGGTTGGCTCAGTAGGCAGAGCATCGGCATGCCAAGCCGGCGGGCCGGGGTTCGAATCCGTGCGAAGCTCGTCTTTTTTTTATTTTTTCCTTGTTCTCAAGTGATTTCTAAAAAATATTCTCTATGGGAAATAGGTTCATTTAGGGGTTTTCTATGTTTGTGGTTTAGGCCAGAGGTGAGGTTCGGTTAGGTTAGGTTAGGTTAGAATAGAATAGAATATTTTATTTGGTGTTAATAAACATTAAGTTTTACACAGGTCAACGAAACAAGTACAGATATACTCATAAAATAGATAGGTTAGGTTTTCTCATTTTTTATGCAGAAACAATATTTTCCTTCCTCAAGAAAAATTCTCCTTCTTCAAGAAAAAAGGTTCATCTGAGCGAGAGCGAGTTATACGTCCTTCTCTTTCCCGCGATGAACCCCGGGGCTGGTCAATTCTCGCTGCCTATTGGTCAATTTCGTTACCTATGACTGTGGATTATCATCCCAAACGTCAAAACAGCAGTGTCAAGTACACTTAGGAACTCTAATCTATGCCAAAGAATAGAATCATTCTTATAGTAGGGGAGCCGGTTGCAAATTTCGACGGTCATCTGATAATGAAATGTTATTATGTTGCAAAGGCATGTAAAAAAATTGTATTTTATCGAACGGCGCCTGTGCTTATCACAATACTGCGCAAAATGATTGAAAAATTGCACTTTCCTCTGCCGTAATTTGAAATGCCTTCCATTTTTCAATGAAACGTAAGACGTAGTTCAACATATTTTATTGTAGCAAAACATATAATTACTTGTGGTTACATTTTCATTTTATTAAAATGCAAATAATGCAACAGTAGGCAAGCTTGCCGTTTTTCAGTTTAATCACAATATAAAATCACAATATTATCCGATATACTTATATATAAAAAAATTGCACCTGATTTACACATGAGAATGTGTATAACTGCATAAATAAAATTTGAAATAAATATAAAATATGTAAAACTCAACTACTAGGCTAAATTATTAAACTAAAACAAATACAGAAAAATAAACAAGTAAGTTTATCATCATGAGTACATGTTTTCATACTAGTAGTAGTACAACCTTGTAAAAGATATTGATTTGGAAAAAAACATACCAAATAATAGACCTATACCTACGCCTTTTATAGGTACTTTGGTATAAACTCTTCCGGATTAGCACTGAAGAAATCCAATTAGGTTAACAAAAATGAATCAGAAATTCAAACATTTATTATACTTATTATAACTAGGAACATGAGCTCACAGAGCCTCAGTTTTTTTTTTAATTCGGAAGCCTACAGAATACATCTGAAGGCGCAATAACATATATATTATGTGCAATGGAAGAGTGAGTGAAATGTTAAAACTCTATAAAATAGGAGCTTGTGATTTTTTTATAGAGTCTAGTCTTCTGAAATACACAAATATATCATACCAGGGATTCCTGAGACCCAACAAACACATTTATGTCTATGAAATATTGTCAAACCCCTGTTTTATCAAGTGAAAAGGGATAACATAAAATATATTCTGCGTCCACAGTAATTTCCTCCAAGTAGCTACAACGTTTTGAAATGAAATCAAATTCTATTCAGCATTATTTTGGTCTCAGGAATTATTTCAGGGACATCCTGTATATTGACTTGTGAGTTACTCTTTGTAGTGATGAAGTTGCTTTAGAAACAATAGTTGAAGTACACACTGAACGTTGACGTCAACGTACGGAAAATAACGTTTACGGATTATCCTTAACTTGAGTTGAAGTAATCAGTGTAAGGCCAAAAATAATTTTTGTTTTCGGTTTCTATTGGTCCTTTTTAGTTGTTTGTTTTGATCTGAACATTAATTCGTGTTGAAACGAGCGACATCTCTGAAAAAGGACTTTTTGGAGATCAGATTCAATTCGCGAGATTCACGAAGTGGCCGACATCTAGGTTACATAATACGAACTTCAAACTGGGGGAAAACAAACTGTTGTCTATGGATAAAGTGCATAGACTACATTGCATTCAGCTTGCTGTAGCTGTAATTGTCAAACTTGTCAATGACATAAAGTGTTGGCACTGTTGGTAGTGATGATGGTTGAGGTGGTTAATTTTTTCACATTATTACATTTTTAATAGTTTGGTGAACAGTGAACTGGTGAAGAATTGAAGATATTTCAAACAATTCAAACTAATTATGACGAGCAAATCAATTGACATATAAAAAAACCGCTACAACATGTTTTCAATACCCAGATTGTCCTGCTTTGCATGAACAAATACAAATCCATTGTTATACAGGAGTTCCTCTGGGCCCCAACTTCAATTTTTCTTTATGTGGGGAAGATTTCATTGCCGAAGTTTTTAGACAAAGTGCAAAAATGTGCCTTTTGTTGAAGTCTTCTGCCTCACACAAAATCACATGATTAGCAAGGAGAACTGCTTCTCCTTCCACTACTGGTCGGCTTTTTCCGTCTAAATAGAGCAAAATATATGCCAAAAGAACATCTACAACAGGGATTATTAGCGTTTTCGATCGAATATCGACAATTACTGTCAAGAAATTTGAAAACTTATCACTCTTATCAGTACACAGTACACAAGCTAATGGAACTAATGGGATTGAGTGAGGATTGAGTTTGTTTTCCCCCAGTTTTGACGTGGCTTTGACATGAAACGATGAAATCCGAGCGCCACCTGGTGACATTGATTCCCGCGAATAATCTTGACTCAAAGGCATATTCCGGATAACGTACAGTCGTATTCAAAAAAAAAAGCGTCCAAGTACATTGGAGGGAGAAATTAACGTCATCCTATTTGCGTAAAACGGGCTATTGGGAATGAATGTTTACCAAATGTTGACAGTAGGGTAATCATAGGTTCTCAAAAACACAAAGCATTGGCTGAGCCAATTTTACACAACGAGAACTAGAATGCCGAAATCTTCTATGTTTAATACTTGTACGCTTTTTTATTGAATACGACTGTACGTTGATATTTAAGGTGTACGTGGAAGAACGCAAGATAACGTCACACCCGTAAGCCCACTACCAATGCAAACGTGAAAAAACGAGAAATACGCATGCGTAGCTGTCAATTTTTAGGTTTACGTTAACGTTCACGGCAGCACTTCAACTCTCTACAGGGTGGCCCTTTGAAAACGAAACAGAGGGTCTGTAGGTCGCCGAAACCGGATTATGAAAAAAATCTGAAACAAGTCAACTACATTTTCGAGGGGGGAGGACATCGTTCTAAATTATTTTCAGCTCTGCGGCGTTACCGCTTCTAACTAAAAGTAGCAACAACTTTGTTATTTCAAATGGAACACCCTGTATTTCATTGCGTTTTTAGATTCTCTCCGGAGAGCTGATTTTATGAATTCATCACACTTGAGATCTAGCGGCAATGATAACAGAGCTATTGGGTGTTCAAAATAGAGATTTTTCAACTTTGGTCATAACGGCTCTCATATCCCTAACTCAACTTTTGATTTACTTATCCACTGACAATCAATTGGAACAGATACAGGGTGATCAGAATTCTGAATCTTGAACCACCCTGTATTTGTTCCAATTAAATCTCAGTAGATAGTGAATCAAAATTCGAGATAGGGTCATGTGAGTCGCTTTGACCAATGATGGATAGTTTCGACACAAAAAATCTCCAATCTCGATTTTGAACACCCTATAGCTTTGTAATCATTTGCGCTAGATCTCAAGTGTGATGCATAGATGAAATCAGCTCTAAAATTGCAATGACATACAGGATGTTTCTTTTGAAATAACAAAGTTGTTGCTACTTTTCGTTAGAAGCGGCAACGCCGCAGAGCTGGGTATAATTTAGAACGATGTCTTCCTCGAAAATGTAGTTGACTTGTTTCAGATTTTTTTCATAATCCGGTTTTGGCGACCTACAGAGCCTCTGTTTCGTTTTCAAAGTGCCACCCTGTATGATAGCCTGATATACCCTAAAACAATTGAGATTTAAGAAATAATATGTATATAAAACTTATAAAATTGAATATAATAACAGATGACTCATTTTTTTCAAGTTCCAGTTAAAATGGAACCAACATTCGATTAAATTTTTTTCACTTATTGTTAATTCATTTGATTTGAAAATCTAATTCTGAAAATACGAGTGCCTGGTTCATTTTGGCCTCTGTCAAGAACTATAATTTTATATCATACATCATCAGGGTGGTCAGTATTTGAATTTTGTTCAGTAATTCAGAAACTTTAAAATAAATTCAGAATGAAGTCATCAGGAAGTATGGTCGAAAATTATATTCACCCTGTTTTCAATCTTCAATTCGAAAAGGATTATCAGACCTGGGTTTATACATAATGACAGGAGCGGTAGCAGTGAATATGTCGATTTAAGAGTACAGTAATTACAGTAAACATGATGATTAGAACTGTCACATAATAATTATTAGTGTGTTCATCTTTTTTTCTTATACCATTTATTACCTACAAATGCACTGCATTTAATACTGATTCTTTGGAGAAAAATATACCTCTTACAGATACAATTTACATATGTACAAGAAAACTAACTAAACAACAAATAACACATGAAACCAAATTGGAGGCGAATTCCGATTCAAGTCATGCACATTTTATACAGGGTACTCCATGGATTTTGAATAACGACATGGACATACGAACGGAATCTAGTACAAAAAATTAGTCAATAAAAAAAACTGAATAAGTGAGGTGTTGGTTGAATCAAATATATCGTTACTATATTTTCTCGAAAAATAGAGACACCATGTACGGATGTTAATTTGGTTAATGAAAATCTATGGAAATTCTACACAACACGCGATCATCTCGCGATTGTACAGTACAGAAAAATTCAGTTGAATTTTTACATTGTCCATAGCACATTCAAATAGACAAACAAGTTCACTCGGTCATGTGAGGGATAAAATGATAAAAACGTGTTTCTTTCTGGACTCGTATGTGGATTTGAACTTGAAAATGGTAGTTTTTATGAACAAAAGAATGTCCATCACTGGAAAATGGCGCATCCTGTATAAATCTGATTGATTTCATTCCTCTAGGGTCACTTAGCGTGCTTACCAAATTTTAGTTCTTTAACATCCCAAAAAAACGTATTTAAAGTGAAAATACAAAAGGTCATTTCCAGATTTTGTCCTATAAATATATTGAATACCAAAATTTGTGTTCAATTCCCTATACAGGGTGTATCTAAATAACACCGAAAAAATTCAAGGGGAAATAAAGTTCATATAAACATGTGTCCTAACTTGCTCCTTTTTTGAGATACAGGATGTTGAAGTTGGAAGTATTAATTGTTCTTATTTATAACCCTCCTGTATAAGATTTCATGGTGTGAAAATTCAGTATGGATGGAGACTGAGAAAGCCCCAAAATTTCAGAATGATTTTAATTGGGGTTATTGGGTAATCTTAATGGAAGTCTTCAAAACACCTACATTAAAATTTGGCGTCAAATCGATGTTTTATTGTTTCCTCAAAAACTAAGCTAGAAACAAAAACTACAGAGGATAAAAAAAATTTAATTTCAATAGTTCAATCTGATAAAAATATGAAACTCAGAAAAACCGGTGGTGTACAATGACATTCACCATGAATATCGATAAATTTACCCACTGTGACGCCACTGGAAATATTATTTCGAATTTAATTGCACTAGAAGAAGCTCCATATCACTATTAACAACACCACAACGTTTTGTTGAAATTAATGAAAAGACAATTGAGAAATGAATAGACAAAAAATTTTTCATGGAAATATTAATACCCTGTATCTCGAAAACGAAGCAAGTTAGGACACATGTTTATATGAACTTTATTCCCGAAAATATCACAAGGAACCACCCCTTGCATTTTTTCGGTGTAACTTAGATAAACCCTGTATAATGATCCTAATCTGATTATGGATTCACTTGTTTTTTTTTCTTCCACAATTTGAAGCATATAACCTTCCTATCTTCATGCATTGTGAACTTCATCAGTTGACTTGTCTATCTCATCACCGACTAAACTTGTCTATACTAGGGTCCCTTGATGTAAATTGCCGTATTTGTCATCTTAACAGGGTACGGACAGATCCTCGTCTCCTCTCACTCTAAAGTGTTTGTGAAACAGCTATATAGTTCCATTTTCATTTCCATTTCCATATTCATTTCTGGGGATAAACACTAGATTTCTGACATTTGTTGTTTTTTAGTAATTTCCACATATAATTTCTCATTCAACTCCTACATATTGTATCCAAATGATGATGATAATTTTCCAGTTTTTGATTTTTCAACTCCAGCATAATCTTTGTGAGGCAGTGAGCAAATTTTTCTGAAAGTTTAATACGTTTTACTATCTTAGGCAGTACCTATCAATAAATGAATTTTGATTTCAGAGTAAGCTTTATGGTTGATAAATGGTGAAAAATTTCATGTAGGTATTCAAACTAATGTGCTCATATGTCATATGTGTTGTATATATTCATGTTGGGAATCATTTTTGCAGTTTTTCTCGAACACTTAATATTTCCTGAATGTAGGTATAATTTTTTAAATTGTAGGGCATATGCCTCTTCTTTTATTCCTCCGTTATCCACTGTTTCTACTGAAATGCATTCAAAAACTTGTGGAGTGGATAATTATGGGCATAATGAGAAAGTATAATATGTGATTTCATATAAGTTTTACCTCGACTATTTTGCTGATGTATTTACCAATTTTCCCCATTCGGTCACTTCACTTTCCATGTTTTAAGTTCAATTGCATTTGATGGATCCTTCCAAAACAGAATTGAATAATGTCGTATAAAGATAAAGTATGAGACTAAAATTTTGTGAGATCTCTTTTAAAGCCTATGAATGTGACGTATCAGCAATGTCATGTCAGGGACGCCAATACACGAAACCAAAGTCACTAGATGAAAAGAGAAAGGAGCTATGATCTGTCCGTACCCTATTAGATGGCAAATGCATCAAAAGACCCTAGCCTATACGAGTATGCACATGACATTCAATAAGACCTACGTCACATGTCAACCTATAGCTAGCTGCCTTTGTAACAATTTGAGGTCGATGATCGTCTTCTGCTCCCTAGTGGCACAATTTGGAAGTCAAGTACAAAACTTCGCGTTCTGCGATGACGTTTTCACGGGAGGTTAAAAGAACGCCTTATAATGCATCAAAATCTACCACTAGATGTGCGAGTCAATCTTTCTACCGTAATTGAACAAATTGTTCGGGGAGAGGACATCGTAAACAAGGATCTTAACATAATAAAATAACAAAAAATGTACACTTACATATGACAAGTTGAAGCCACTCTGCTGAAAGAATAAAAGTGCGTTCACATGCCAACTTATGATGAGAGTCACTGCCACATTTGGTCGATTTTCAGTCGTACCACCTCTTGAAACAAGTTTTTTTTTACATTTTCAGCGATTGTTCTTCATCTGTAATCGAATATTAATAATAAACATTTTATTTGTGACAGTGAACTATTGACTGGAAACAACAAATTCCTGATTGAAACAGAAAATTAAATTGTTTGTTTACCATCAATGGTGCTGGAAAAATTGGACAGTTAGATGAGAATACGCTGTGAACTAAAAAGTATCTAGCAAGAGAATGCAACGTCAATAAAAATTCCCCTCCCTATCTTATCCAGTGAATGGGGAAGTTTCCGATATTGAGGTTTTTATATCACTGTAAAGTTTGTAAAAATTCAATATATAAGTATTTTTTCTTTTATTCCTGCCAAATTTCACTTCGGAGAAAAATAAATGAAAAAGGATCTTGCTCCTTCACCATTTCTATGACATTCTCTATTCACCCAGAGTTAAAATACGATTTCCTGTGTCAGTACGTCGTTGCCGGCATCATCGATATGTCTATATTTCCAAAAATTGTTCTTTGAATACATTATAGCTATATCATAACAGCAATGGGATATAATAGGTTTTTCAATCCTACTTCATCAAGTATTCTGAATAATTTTCATAAATCTCTTATTTGCTGGATAAAGTTGATTACTAATAAAGGTTCATTAGGATATTTTGCGATAGTATCTATAATTATTCACTTTCGTTATATTACAAAATAATGTTCATTAATTATTGCCAGTCACTATCTTCCAAATGAATTGGTCCCTTTATAAAACACATCAGTTTTACAGGAAAGTAGCAGATTTCGTCTTGCAACAGCACATAATTTTGAGCCCGTCCACATCACATAAAATACTGACAGGCACACCAAGAGGTGATCTGATTTTGTGGTTTTGCATGTTTTTGTTTGCCACTTTTGCTCGTATCGATTTTTGATCTCCAGTTATTTGTTAGCATAATTGTTTTGTTAGTCTAACGATGCCAAGTTGTCTTCTAGTATTTTTTTATTCATAAGATATCCGCTACCTATATTCTCCATCATCATCTAAATACATACTAGATTCAGAATGTACGCCACAGTATGTTGCCCTGACAATTGGAAATTGCTCAATTTTGAAAATACAAATGACTTGGACTTTATCGATCTCCATTATGTACAGCGTGGACATAAAACTGGAGTTCCGAACTCATTTTATAAAGAATCATCTGAAGGAAACTTCCCCATTCCAGGTGAACGTCTTCTAGGAACCAAAACTTTTAAACCTTGTAGCAAATTTACAATTAGTAATAAATATTCCATAACTGTGAGAGAAAATTATAGACTTGCTCGACTTTCGTCTTGCCTTAACTTGAAGGAAATAAAAAGTTGAATATCGCAATATAAGGTTCTTGTTACATGCTATTCTAATAGATGTCGCTGTACGAATTCTTTTCAAAATTAAAATAGAAACTGTTATTTGGCCCGATGACCATTAAAAATATGACGATATATCAGCGCCGCTTCCGGATTTCCTATGAACAAAAAACGTATAAGTGTCATCAGATTTTGACCAATGTAACAAAGGCAACCAGCCTGGAGTAAGAACACCAAATTCTCATAAACAACTCAGTCAAACAATGCGATGAAACCCGACTTTCTAGTTTCATGGCCTACTAACTTTCTGTGTTTTCAAAGCGGCCAATGAGATGAAAATACGCTGTAAACCGTAAAGCAAGCATGTGAACGCGCCTCAACCTCAAGCCCAGTCAGTACCGTTCTTCTTCTTCTTCTTCTTCCATTGGTAGTCTCACCTCTCGCCTACCTCCTCGACCGACCAACACCGCTTCACCGCGGTATCCTATCCAAAAAATCCGTCTCCACCACCTTGTCGATCTTCTCCAAGATGGCGTCCGTCTGCCGGTCGGGCTGCCTTTCGGAATACGCGTTCTCCGGCGTGAATCGGCTGCACTCGCTGCGGTGTCGGTCCGAGCATGCGCTCAACGTGCGGAAGAAGCCGTGCAGGTCTTTGAGTTGCGCTATGGTGTTCGTGGTGAGTAATAGTTCGTTGCGCTTCATCGGCAGCGCGTCGATCTGCGTGTCTGGGAACTTTTTGTCCATGAGAGCGGCGATGCGCATCACGTGTGGCAGGAAGGAGGGGTGGTGGTCGGGGCGCAGCAGGTCGTCGCCGACGAACGCCCAACGGTACCTAGATACGAGGAGGAGGATTTGGTAACATGTCATTTGATCCCAATGAACTCGATATAAACACCTGGAAGGGACCCTCTGTGAACGAGTGAGGCAAAAATATTGTTCAGGCAACCCGCAGTGTTTACGGATACCTATCTCTTTCTTTCTTATGTTGGCTAATGGGAAGCGCTCGCATTATCTGAAATATTTTCTCGATTTTTGCTTATATTTAAGAGTAAACGTGATTAAATATAAATATTCATTTAGTAAAAAGGATAATGTTGCAATCAATTATCATTAAAAAATTATTATTGATTATATCAGAAGAAAAGGGAAAACGATAGAGAACATTTGAAAAGAGGTTCTTGAATGGTATTGAGTACCTAAGGTCCGTTTTAAGCATAATTTCCAACATAACCCTATTAGAAATCAAGAAAAGACAACTCTCCAATGGAACAGTTTGGATTTCTATATTGATGAACTTCGAAACTCCGACGAGGCCGTTAGGCCGAGTTGGACAACACGTCGAGTGCAATAAACAATTTTTGCACGAGTTGCATACAACATTTTTTCTACGTTCATGCAAAAAGCAAAAAATGATTTATTGAGGTGCGGCACTAGGTGCAATTCTGTTAATTGTCAGAATTAATTTTTGACTGACGTTTCTATAACCACAGTTGCATTATAGAAAATGTTTGTCATGATGAAAGCACGTTGAAGTAGAATGACAGATGAGTGCAATAAAAACTTTATTGCACTAAGTGCAATAAAGAACTTCTTTTTCCACTAAATATAGTTCAATAAAGTTCTGTTTTTTGCATGAATGTAGAAAAAATGAATTAATAGCTAGTTTTTTATTTTAAAGAAGTGCAAACATACTTTTTTTCGTTATTAATCAACTAGGCACCTATGAGTTTTCTTATTTTCCTGCGAGGATCAGCATTTTTTTGTAACAAATACTTAGGAAATGAAAATATACTAGGTACAGCATCTGGTTTCAATAACGTAGCAGTACCTGGTATGTCTAAATAAATAATCAGTTGGCAGGAAATGCTCTCTTGCTGGTTTTAGATGGAGTCCAATTATCTCTACGAACTGCCGCCTTAATCCATAATAATTCAAGAATGTTTGAATGGAAAACTGCAACAAATACTATTACTTAATATGTTTATGGAAGTCATGGAAGTATTTAACTCTGACAAATAATATAGGTATAGTTTTTGAACATATTCTGAGACTGGGAACATTGTACACCCTACTAATGATCATTTCAAGAACTATATTTTCCAAAAATCTGAACATTCAACTTACCCATGGAATGACAATTTCCTTTTGTCTTGCTCGTTCTTACATCCAAAGGCGACCCAATAAATCACCATTGTTTATCAATATGAAATCACAAACCTTCTCAACAATCAGTTCACAGTGTTCACGCCAACAAATTCATTCCTTTTGATAAAACAAAACACGCCAAATGAATAGATATTTCACATAACCAAAGACAATGAACTCATGTCTTCACTTTCTTGCCTGTTTTGATGAGAGAAGTACTTTAATTATTAGATCAAAGAAACCGTGAACACCAATCCACCATTAAACAAAACGAGTAGGAAAGAGACAGGTTACCGTAAAACATGCTATCTTTGTTGCAGCTGCCCTGACACACTTTGTGCTATTCGAGAGAACGGCCGTCTCCCTTCCAGGTGTTTATGTTAGTTCATTGTCTGATCCATGGCCATTATATCCGCGACAGTATATCCGTGGCCTTATATCCGTATATGTCATTGGTTATCATCATTCTGTTTTATATCACTTCTTCTCACCTATTTGCATACATTACAGATTTCAGGAACGAGAATACTCGAAGAAAACCAGCACCCGGTGGCTCTCTGAATTCTCGCTCGAACATGACGTCTCTAGCAATAGGCGAGTGGACTATTTTTAAAAATTTTTTTAAATAGAATCATCACTCAAATAGCGTTCAATTCCATATTTTTCAGAATTTTTCGGTCGATTTTCAGGTGCTGAAATCATCAATAACGCCACGGTAATTTTCAAACGGATAGAAATTTACCGCAAGTAAAAACTGACGTCACGATTTCGTTAGTAGGTACAGACCATATTATCACAGTTGTCATGTGTTGAAATACGATTGGGACCATCAGAAATATCAGTTATTCAAACATTCATACATTCTCAATTATACTGGTATACTGGTATACTGGTGGAAAGCTCTTGCAGTTGATTGAATTACTGTTTCCAGATGAAATATTTCAATAATGCGATCGTATACTGTTTTGTATGACAAAGTTCATAGAATTTTTATTCCATTGGCTCACTTTTTTCTTATTCAATCATAGAATCTGTGAAAAAATCTCAGATTTTTATCAATGATGCTATTGATTCGGGAGCGAGAGGGTCAAGTCAAATTGAGCTAAGGCACAATTTCTAGTTAAATTGTTTATCATTCTCCAAGTTTACTGTAACAGACAGCTAAAGTATCTGCTAAATTATCTAGGAAATAAAAGTAAAAATTTAGAGTTCCAGGGACGGTTTATCAATCATGAGCTAAAACTGCATGCTAGCTGACAGATAGAATTGACTAATAGCCAAAGTTATTGTTGAGGCCCTACTGTTCATCGATTGCATAATATCAACCTTCTAGCTGGGTAACTCTGAGTAGCCGTGACATTCAAAAGACCTGATTTGATGGGTGGAAGAATCCTTCTCATAACCTCTAATATTGGTGCCTACTTCACCGACATAATACTGGCTTCAGCGTTTATATTCTTACCTATATTGTCGAAACTCAGAGACCAAAAAAGGTAAATTAATAATCACCTCCAGATATATTCCAAATTCTACAAACTTCAATTCAACACGAAATTACTGCTGAAAAGCGAATCTGTCTACACTTACATTTGGAATTGCGGGAGGGTAGTGGCGGGTAAAAGTAGAGCTAGATCCAACAGTTTGGCGGTCGCCAGCTGCAATCTCAGCCAATGGGGGTGGCCCAAGGCGTGTAGTCCGTTGTTGCTGTTGGTGGCCCAGCTTGCGTCAAGAGATGTCAATAATTTAATGTGTGAACTAATATGGTGAAAAGAAAAAAAAAAAGCGTTACTAAAAAGAAAGAGTAATGTTTCGGGTGCTACTGCGAAGCTGAGAAATTTCGGTCAAGCAGAATGAAAAGTACCAAACCACAAGCAATGAGAGAATGTCGCTAATGAATCAAAATGAAGACATAAGAAACAATGAATGAAGAATTATTTCATCACTGCAACTCATTCAGTAATTATAACAAAAAAGTATGCTATTTTGAACTCAGTTATGTTGTCTCCATGATAAAACAATCACTAATAGGGAATTCCATTGGCAGGAACAGAGGTAAATATACCCTTAGTGGGGAAACACTCCACCAGTTCCTGCCAATGGAATTCAATACAAGAATCTTTCTGAAATTCATAATTAATATTCAATGACAAAATGTAGATTTTACATGATTCGATAAATAAATAAATCAATCAATAAATAAATAAATATGAATTAATATCAAAACCTGAAAGATCATAACAAAAAATTGAAGCAACAACATAAAAACGTGTTAATTCGGATAAAACTATTCAACAAATATAATAAAGATAGAATTGTTTCATGGGATTAAGAATGCTGACGATATTAACGAAAAAGCCAAAGACACAGCTGGTTAGAATTTAGTACTAAATTACCTGTTGTTCGTCCTGTAGCATCCAGCCACCACAGCAAAACACAAACAAATAAATACAATTAATTATCTCAAAAGAGGTATTAGTCATGTAACATAATACAAGAATGCGTGTTTTTCAATGAAGAATGCATCTTGTGGCATTTACTATCAGTTTCCAAATTAAGCATGACAAAAAATTCTTTTAGCTACCAAATGGCAAGTTAGTAACAAACTAAGACACACAAATTTGGGCATCCCATAAAGTTATTACATTAGATCTAATATCATGTCAAAATACTCCAATCATCATTGTTTTAGTTCAAATATACCAAAATACCACTGTGATTAATTGATTAATCAATGGCATCATCACGACTGAAATTTAGGATAATAATAGCATCCAGTATACAGTGTTGCAAAATTGACCTACAAGCGTTGTTGATAGAATATCGTATCACCCTGTGTGTATAAAAAAATTTCTATATCAAGACAGTACAACCCACTTGAACATCAAGTCCTCCAATTAAAGTATTATTGTGTTATCGTGTGAATACTATATAATTTTTCAGAACTGATATCTAGAATTGATGTTGCTGGCCAATTGTCAACAAAAGCTAGAGGTACTGTTTCGCCCACCAGGCCTCATCAGTCGCTCTCGGTTTGCTGGCAATTGAGACTACTCAAGGGTTCTGTATTTTGTCACAGATTTTTCACAGATTTCGCACGCACCTGAACTCTTCGGTATCGGTGGACAGTTCCTGCTCGATTTGCAGGAACACCTGCAGCATCTCGCTGATGATGATTGGCCACAAGGAGGTCACGTGCAGGGGGCTCATCCTCAGGAGGATGACGCGAAAACAAAGGAACACCTGCGCCTGCACCCCCGGTACGCCAAATCTCAAAGAACTAGTCAGTTGTTCTACGAAAAAATGGAGACAGGTTAGGTTGTTACTGTTGAGAAGCGTTTCAAAATTGTACTCGACCTACAACCATTTAGTAGAGGTCGTATCAATTTACAGTTGAAGTTACTCGACAGATGCCAAATATCGTTTCAATTTCCGAGAGGTAGGTAAATTTTACCCAATCTACGTTTTGCAAGCCGGACGAGCGTTTTCTGCGTTTTGGTTTTGTAAGCATTGCGGATTGAGGTTAGGGTTTAGGATTTCATAACAAAAACCAGTAAGTTTTTCATTTCAATTTTGAGATACCTAATTATAAATAAATATATAATCAATAGAATAGAATAAAGAAGTTAGTCTTCTGAAAATTAAAAATGTGATTCGCTGATAAGTCACATTAATATTGTACCTAGCTGTAACCAAATAACGGATAATACTTGTTTCTCAGCATTTATCTATTATCTTCCTCCTTTGCATTGTTTTCCACTCAGTTTGGATCCTACCACTTTCATTTGTCGATCAAAGAAAGTTCTAGTCACACGAAAATATGATTGAAATTGTTTTCCTGGGATTAGGTTTTCGAAAAGTTTGGACTCCTTCGTATATCAATTATTTTTCAATTATTTTTCCTCAATCGAAGAAGATAAACTACTGTCATCGTGAAAAAATAAATTATAGAGGAAACTGCAGGACCCAAATATAACTGTCTCCATTATTGCTACATTTCAATGAAAAATAAAATATACCAAAACTTCAAAACTTCTGCTCAAAAAAATATAGGTTAGACATAATCTCTCCTAGAGTTCCATAGACGTTTCAAAATTGATATCAACAGACGTGATCCTCCTGAATACTTCTGACGTCATCTTTTTACCTTTTGGCGGACGTTAAACACATTTTTGAAACGCAGCTCCGGAGATTGAAAGCTGTCCTATCCTAATCCATAAAAAAATCCAGGGCCGTATTTAAAAAAACAAATTCGACGATTGCAACTGGAAGACAAAACGTCGGTTTGAAAATCTGATAACACCATCTTGTAGAACAGAAGAAGTAGCAATGAGAATGTGCGATTTGTTTTGTTACATCTATTCAAATAGATTCAGAAAAAAATGAAAATAAAATCGCGAATATTCGCGAATATTATTCCAGAAATTCGGTATTTTTTAAATTACAAAACGTGATTTTGTTAGTCAGAAAATTGCGCAACTTTGCCTCCATTTAACCCATTCTGTAGCTCTACTCGAATTTCTCTCACCCGGTATAGCTTTTAGATTTTTTTAATTCAATCTAATCTAATCTAATGAAGTATTCAAAAAATATAGGAGGCCATAAAAAACAGTATATTTACTGTGATTGATGTAAAAATGAGGTACTACTTCAAACAACTATTCATTCATACACAACATGTAATTGTGGTAAAACCTGTTGGAATAAATGAATACATATGGTGAAGGTAATATTCTAGCCATTACCTTGGATATCGGGCATGTACTTGGCATATTGGTCCATCTCACTGCAAAATATCACATAAGCTAGTCTCTTCAGCAGCTGAGCTTTCTGTTCATATTCTTGTTCCCTAGACGAGAAAATGCTCAGGCTGCCACTCTGGTTCATTGAAACGCGATCTGAAAAGAAAAATCGACCAATACTGATGCTGACAGCTTGTTCTTGAGGTTGAACATACAAGGGACCCTAGATCATACTAATTTGAATTTTTGTCGAAAGGTTTAAGAGATATTTTAATTTCTCCAAGAAATTGACAACTTAAGTCTGGCAGGCAACAAAGGTTGCAAAGTAAACCTGATTTACATGATACTGCAATGTATTTTATCAACATGTTTGTTGAAGGTTAGAGATTAGACCACAATGACAGCTTTCTTCTTGCTAGGCGACAGCCTCCCCTTTCTCTACTGCTACTAGTATGTACCTATACCTATGAAAAATCAATCGACAAAATTATAATTCCTTATCACTTGTAGTATCCCGAAGTTAATATAAAATGGAAGAATATAATAGGTAGAAATCAAGAATCTATTATTGGTGCCGAAACTGCGACCCAAACTAAATTTATTTATGAACCTGTATCAATCAAATGAACAAATAGATCCTAAAATTATTTAATTTCCAAACACAATCTGGTGTGAAATTTTCTTACCGAATATCACACAAGGTCAAATTACTCGTCATCGACTCGGAAATAATTTGACCTCTCTTGTAATATTACAAGTAATAATTCGTTCCAAGGGAAACCTCTTATTTAGGATATTTAATTAGGTGCAATACAAGAAAATTCAAGGGTATATTCCTTGCAAAAATAGGAAGAACAGTTGGACGGAAGTTGAACAACTCACTCATCAAATCCCTGAAAGTCGTGTTATCGTGAGTCATCAAATTGTCGACGATCACCCTCCAGAACTTCAGACACGAGTAATCCATCTGAAAAAGCGCGTTGTCCAGCAACAAATCGAACACGTCCTTCTTCCACGCCTTCCTGGTGTACTGGTAGCTGCTGAGGCCGCTCAGCAGCTTGGAGCAAGCGCTGAAGCTCGGCATGTTCCGGACGGTGTGCGTCTTCAGGTAGGGCACTATGTTGAACATCAGCGAGGTCAGGATGGCGTTGACTTTGTCTTTTTCCGATGAGCCGAAGCATATGTCCAGGATGGGGGCCAGTATTTCAGATAACACCTGGAACAGTTGGTCTTCAGCACAGGCTGGACAACAATAGGTAGATACCGCGATTCATTCATGAATCATTATAAAGTATACGCCAACAATCCTGTAGACGCCAAACACGGGTGAATGAATAAAATCGTGAATGGTGGGGATAGCTCTGAGGAAAAATCCCAAGACAATTCGCGAATCAAATGGAACACGTTATTTATTTTATTGTGTTTCATCCCTACAGACTACAGAAGTCTCATTACAGGAATGAAAAATATTATTAATATTAATGAGTTGTTAGAAGGTTCTAGATATAGGTACCATGTATGAATGTTGAATCTAACCTAGATCCGTTACAACGATAACAATGAAAATAAAAGTGATAGTCAGAATTTTTTCCTTTATAGACCTTTATTTATTAGAGAACAATTCTAACTATCACTTGTATTTTCATTCTGGAAACTGCTTGCCTGATTTACAAAAAACATAATATGGTTGAAACTCCGAGACATACAAATTACGTAACCCGTCGAGCAACAGAAAATAAAATACCTCTTCCTGTTCCAAAAACAAGCCAGACAAAATATTCTTTAATATATGAAAATAAAAAGCTGTTTAACCACATAGCGTACGAAATCAGGAAGAAGAGAAACTATAAAAAGTTCAGAAATCTTGTGAAAGAAGCCCTTGCAACAAGAGCGTATTACAACCTTGAGGAATATTACAATGAAACTCTGTTGTGATTAGAAGTTTCATATTGTCTTTCATTTACACCCATATGTGGAGTCTGATTTTGAACTATAAAATATGTTTGTATACATGCTTTTGCCCACTTTCACCTCGATAACTCCATCTCTTCTAGATTTTTTTGTATACTCTAGATTTCTGTCAGATTTAACTAGATTATACACACTTATTAGCGAATCCAAGAGTCTATATAGATGCCACCTGGTGGTGAAATTGTGAACCTACTTAGTGAGTAATCGGTAATTGATGCATCATCGTCGCTGTTTTGGGTGTGTAATCCATATCAATTCTAATTTTCGCAGCGCCCTCATCAGTAGTTGATATTCTTCATGGATATATTTTACACCGGGTGTTTCATTCATATTGCACGAAACTTCCGAGATCATATGATTGGAATATGAAAAACCTCGGGAATTCTATAAATGTATTAATAATTAACTTTTAGGTGTTGTAACATAATAATATGTCATTTTGTAACGCCTTAGTAGGGTACGATTTTCATCAAGGAAAGCAAGCCATTAAACTAGACCGCCACTGAACCAAATTTCTACGTACCTGTTATTTATCAGGTCAGGATATTTGTAGCTAACTTTTCTTTAGATTTGACACTGCCTAACTATGTGTATGCACGAAATAGTCTGCTTTAGATTTATATAATATTGAATGAGTTGCTGAAACACCGGAAACTAATCACACAACAGCCGGAAAACTATCAATAACAAAAAAAAGACAAATGACATATCTCACAACGATTATTGCTCGTCTACTACAAAACTTTGCGGTACCGCTAAGTTCATTTTTCAATAATTCATATTTTTCATAATAATTATTGGTAATGAATTTCTGGCAATCATTTTGTTATGGGTGTATATTATGTTTTTAATGTTACTCAATTTTTTGTCAGAAGCTATTTATGCCGAGTTGCGAGTTGAATAGGATGGTTTATCTGGAAAATCCTCTCGAATTATCGATTTGGCAGCGGTTCCACAGAAGTTCTTAGAATGTGATGTCTTTTTCCAGAGAATATAAGAAAAATTATTCACAATTTTGAACTAGTTACTCTTGAGTTCAAGAGTAAGTTCTATTCTCGCATTCAAATACGAATCCGCTTTCCAACATTCACCAAACTTTCAGAACTGGAGTTTCAAGTTATTTTTCAAGGACTCACCAATTGTGCTTGAACACTGTAACTAGAATTAACGAATATCTCGCTGTTGCTGCCGCTAATGATGCTACTTTCTGCAGCACTATCTTCCTCCTGTTCTTTGACTGCAAAATTTCGCCTCAACCATGTGGTTTGCTCAAGACAGGAACCACAAACTTGAGAGACACAATCGATCAACTGAGAAAAAAAACATCAATAAATTATATCAACAAAGTAGTTCAAATTATACCTTTGTAGTGACGTCTTGCAAGTCTTTCTGATCTTTTCTCTCTTCTAGGGGACAACATTTTATCATTATTTCATGCAAAAGAGCAGCCAACAGGAACTGCGACGGTGGGGCTAACGCACAACCTTCCCTGATAAGGGTCAAAAGAGAACCCCAAGCTTCGAATAATTGAGTAGAAGAGGCATTTCGCATGTAACTGAAGAAAGAAAAATGAAAAAGTCTTCACTAAGAATTATTGTCGATATCTCACCAATAAAATAACTCCAATACCGACACATCTAGACATATGTCAGCAGAAAGACCTTCAGTAGGAGGAGGGTTTTTTATCACGGCCGTAACAGTTTGAACAAGATTGTCTAGTGGAATAACTCTAATAGCCGAAATCAAGTACACTAAATTGTTTTGGCCTGCATTGGGCTCAGGAAGAACCTGTTGAAAAATAAGAAACATTACATTTGCCCAAAAAGATTTCATTGAACAATCATAAAGGACAATTTAAGAATCCACTCACGGTTTTGACACTACTAAACGGATTCCTCCTCTCGTACCAAGCGACAGCAACCGCAGCCAGGAAGCTGGCCCCATGGTGGACCGCAATGGGACTCAGGAACTCCAACAGCTGCTGCTTCACCACCTTGCTACTCCCGTAAACCCCCTTATAATCGCTTTCCAAATTGACTATAGTCTGCCACAGCTTAGCCACGCTCGAAATGATCCTCGGCATGTGGCTCAGTATGGTCTTTTTCGCGTTCTGATAGTTGTCAGAGTTCTGCTTCACCGAAAAGTTGATATCGACGTTTAGAGGTGAGAAGAACACGTTGAACAAGTTGTTGATGATCTCCCCGGGGTTGGGTATGGAAGTGCTAGGGTTGGCAGGGACGTTTTGGTTGACGGTTTGCGTGGAATCCAGCAGACAATAGTGACAAAGTATCGTCAGAGCTTCCAGTTGCGTCACGGCATAGTCCGAGCACATTTCCTCATCCAACTCCGTTCTTTTGTAATTAGCCGAAATGCCCTCGACGTTATTGCAAATCTGGTGGATGACGCTGATAGAGATCTGCTTGAGGTTATCCCCAAAGTATGGTAGACAAGAGGTGACCATGTGGAGCCACTTTTCGTGGATGTGCTTCATGTTTTGGTGACGCAAAGCACTCATAATGGCCGACAGGAATATCTGTTGCTGGGGTATCAGAGTGATAGAAGGGGCGCTACTAGGAGAATCTGTTTTCACTGGAAACACGTTGTATTCCAGGATGATCAAGGAGTTGATCAAGCGCAGGATTTGTATTTGGAAAGCTTCCACGTGCTCGCCTACTCGGTTAGCAGTATCACTAAGCTGGAAGTTGTTGTAGGCTAGTATTTCCTCCGCGAAGGTGATGTCCTCGTCGAAATTTCTCACAGAAGTTAGGAGACAGTTCAGCAGGATTTTCTGGATCTTGCATTTCACCAACAGATCAGCAATATAACTCGAGAAGCCTTTGGTGTTTTCTCTCACCATTGTTATCAGCTTCTTCGTGATGACGTCCAGTATGTCCAAGCTCAGCAGCTGTATCTTCAAGTTGTTGCTCATCTCTTCAGAAGCGAGCGGAGAGTCGTCCAGAAAGGGGTAGAAGCTCCTAGAGTAGTTCAAGCAAATGGTAATAATTACGTCTAGGAACATGTAGCCTCGGTAAAAATTAACATGGTCGCTGCTGAGGTCGCCAGAGTAACCGAATCCGAGAGAAGACTTCCTGTGTCTCGCCAGCAAGTACAGGATTTCGTTGTTTTTAAGGTTTTTGATTCCGCTAGTAGCCAGACACTTGATGAACAAGTGAGGATCCGCGATGATGCAACTTTTCAACGTCTGCAAAGCGTACATGACCTGGTTGGAGTCGAAAACCTCGCAGTACAAACACAGATGCGTGTGGATGGGATAAAGCACGATGTTCCTCGGAGTCTGGGAGTTCACTTTGGGCTTCAAATCCAGATCCGTGGGCCTCCTGGGCGTCGAGCCAGCTTCCTGGCACCCTTCAGAGCACACTTTGTCCATGATGGAATTGAGGATTTCGCTGACGATGGATTTTTCCTCGTTCTTGCCTATGAAGAAGTCTTCGGCGCTCCTGCTGAGCTCTAGCTCGTGGTTTACGTGGAGACTAGCTGAATCCGAGATGCAATATGACCAGCTCTGGACCAGCGAGCTCTCTATGTCTGTCGTCTTAGCGGCTCCTATTTTTTCATCGAAACTGTGCGACTTTGGTATCTTGACATTTACGTTAGGATTCACAGCTTCAGCTTTGATGCCGTCTGATATGGGCTCCATGCTTTCCAGTAAAGATTTCGCTATGCCGTTAGGCAGCTCCGACTGGCTTCTATTCTTGAGACTGTCGAAGCCCGAGTCTCTATCGCCTCCGTTGGAGCGTTCGTGGTAGAGCAGCGTTTCGCTGTCCGAAAGACTTTCTAAAGAAGAGTGAGACTCCTTTTTGGAGTAGCACCCCTCAAGGCCGATGGGGTAGACCTCCTTGGTCCCCAATGGGTTTATTATCAGTTTGACGGTTTTGGGGCCTTTCTCAGACTTCGGGCTGGCATTGACGACCTTGAAATCCCTGTTTTTCTTCGTCACGACGTTGGAATCCTCGGTGATGCTCGTGGCCATGTTCACCACAGACGAAGAGTATTTTTTGTCGGGTTTCGAGAACGTGAACCACTTCTTCTTCAACGGTTTGGGACCCGGCTCATCTGTCACGTGGTACATTATGTTCCCGTTGATACTGCTGACGGCGTAGACCTTTTTGCTGGGCACGTTTTCCATTATGTTGTTTTCTTGGGAAGTGGTGTCGCTCTGCCAATCCGAGTCTTGGATGTTTATGTGCTTTATTGATACTCTAGCAGTATTCGAGGCTAACAGTTTCAATAAAATCGGATTTAATACTCTAGAGATGTCGTTGTGTAAGAGGCAGTGCATTAGGAATGATTCGGACAATAGTTGGAGGTTGGGTTTATCTTTGTATTGAAGGTTATCCAGAATTTTCAATAGGGACCTATCGAAATTCCGGATATTCGATTTATTCGGGCCGAACTTGATATTCAAATCTCTGCCCAAATGCCACAATAGAAAAAATTGTTTGATGTAGTGGACGCTGATGTTTTCGTGAGTCAAATATTGACTGATGATGTTTTCGACGAAAACTTTGCTGTCGAAGGTGTTGTGAATTTGGTACAGTAAGGTAACGCATAACATCAGCTGGTTTTGGTTGTCTAAAGTTCCCAGAAGTTTCCATAGAATTTGTGCCATTTCCTCGATGACAACGGTGTTTTCCTCGATGTACCTGACATGCGCGACATCCAGTATACCGGTGATCACGATATTGGTGCTGCCATCTTCCTGTCGATTCAACACCTGGTTGTTCGCTAAACTGAAAATCTCTAAAAGGGTGTTCATGGAAGTCAACTGAATGCCTCTGGAAGATTCCTTGCAACAAGCGACAACGATAAGGGCTTCCACCCACGCAGGAAGATCATCTTCTAGTTTGCTTCCTAACAAGTTAGGAAAGGCGGAAAATTCCAAGAGAATATTCGAAGCAACGCTCATGGACTTTTCATAATAGTTGATAGGTTTTTCCGGAGATATATTAGAGGATGCTGAAACATCGGTTTTTGTTACTATACGAGCGAAATTTACTGGTTTAAATTCGCTTTTGGGGCTTTCTAGTATCCTAGCACTGAGCATTCTCTTCAAAGATTCCGTCCTCACTTCTTTATCGCCGATGAGGGACTGAAATATCGCCTTAATGTCAGTGTTTGGTATCAACTTGGCTCTTATGAAGTGTACATAGAAAGTCTTGTACTCGTCCAAACATTTTATGAAATATTTGTTCTCGATTTTGGTGGTTTTCAGAGGGGTTTCCACAGGTGGTTCTTCTTCTTTTTTGTCTGGAGATACATTTTCTGAGCTCAGCGACTCGCTGGTCTCGTTCCTCAGATCGTTCAATTTGGGACTGGACTTGGATTTCTTGTTTTTTGTCTTCTTCTCTATCCTCGGACTGTTTTTTTCCTTCTTCTTCAGCATTTGGTTGCTATAAGATCTTTCTCTGGCTGTGTCATCTACTGTAAGCTCATGTTTTTCTTGGCTGTTGGTATTTTCGTTGATTCTCGAATCCGACTTGCTTTTTTCCAAAGTCCTCAGAGCTTCGTTCTCTTCTCTTCCGTCCACAGCAGAAGTGTCAAGAGATTTTTCTAAAGTTTCGTTGAATGAGTCGGTCTCTTGCTCTGTGGTTTTGGGCATTTGCGTCAATGTAATCGGTTGTACTTTCGTCAGGATCCTAGTGCACAGTTGCAAGCTTTCGGTGATTTCGTGGTGATTCAAATCGTTCAAATTATATTTCAACGTCACGACAATCTTCGAAAATAAATTAGGAAGTATGCTAGAGGTGCTTTCAGTGTACGATTCTATTGGTATTATATCTAAGAGGAAGTCGGTCAAGATACAAATTTCCAAAATATGCGGTGCTCCACACCCAATCTCGTTAACTTGACACCTGTCCCTGTACTTATAATTCTTTAAATTCTTAACTGCATCCACGAAAAGTTTCTCGATGTACGACCAAATGTAATAGCTCTGCAATGTGTTGAACAACAAATTCGCATTTTTGATCAGCTCCTGGCAATTCTTAGTGACAAACTGCTTATTCAAAGAAACATCGTCGTTCGTCAAGCTGTTCAAGTCGCCATTGAACGAAACGCACCGTACGTTACTATTCCTGTGTTTCTGCTGGTACAAACAAGACAAATACAGGGTCCTGAAGACGTCGTACAAAATGCCGTCGAGTATGACCGGCCCGATTTGGGGTTTGTCGAAAAGCGAGGTTAGAAGCCGGTACGGCTTTATGTCTATGGGGGTTTCGGAGGTGCAACGTTTCAGGATCACTTTGAGGGCATCGTTGAGCAGGTCGTAAGCTGTGGAGTGGTGGTGATTGGGGGTGGGTGCCTCGAATTCTTCTTCTGCTGGTACGGGAACGTTGTTCGCTTCGGTTCCGAGTAACCAAGAATAAAGGCGCCTATAAAAATACCGAAAACATTTGGTCTGCTAAGATAATGGGGTACGTATTTGTTTTGAGACCATACAATACATAATACAATACCAGAAATTTAAAGAGTTAGGAATAAATATAAAATCTGATGGGGAAAATACTAGGGAAGTAGAAATAAAATGCATGAAAATTCTATACGATATATATTTTTGTTCATAATAGGACCTGTTTGACGGAAATATTATCGAAATCATTAGATCGAACTTCATTTGATCGACCATCATTTGATTGAAAATCAATTGATCGAGAAATCGTGTAATTACGGAAGGAAGGTTCATTTAGGCCGAGCCAGGTTAGGTTATTTAGACACATTAGACTCTTTGACTAGGCATTTCAGGGAATGACGGATTTCATCAAATATCTTTCTTTCATGTTATAAGTTCGAACAAAATGTAATTCGATCAAATGATATTATAATATAATTGGATATAATAGGACCTCTTCTATCTTCAGTCTATTTTTGTTGTCAGTGTTTTCATTTCATTTATTCATTGCAGTGAGTCTCATATATGCAGGGTGTCCCGAAATTAGTCTGCCAAACTTCACCAGCGGCTTCTACGACCAAAAATAGGAGAACAAATTTCTTATGAGCATGAGTAGAAGAATGTCTCCTGATGGAGCTACGGCCCCCTGAAAGGTGACTACTGAAGATGATATTTCTCAAATTTGTCGGAAACGCCAATGTGATAAAATGATCTAATCTTTCCATGCCCAATGCAGGGCAAATAAAATGACTACAAAATTTCATTCAGGAATCGGGAGTGTCTAATACAGGGTGGGACTACATTAAATGTTGCTCAAACTTTTTTGAATGAATATTTTTCAACCATTTAATCTCGAATTATAAAAATTCACACCTATTCACAGATAGAAGATGTATTATTTTCTTATGAAATCGATTTAAATATATTGTTACATCTCACATATTATTCATAACGTTGCCAATTTTCGAATCATAGTGGCTAAAAAAATCAACTAAGTACTCTTCTTCGTATTTTTGGTCGTAGAAGCTGTCGGGACAGTGAAATATGTATAATTTAAACTCTAAAAAGATTCAAGGTAAACTGTCCACTATCAAAGGTTACATAAAAAAAAACAACGCGATTTCTCAACGGCCATTCTGATTCAAATGGACACTCTGAAGGAATATTAATGAGACTGACTAACTGATTTGGATCAAATAATTAAGTGTATAAATTGTTCAATATTGATTAACACAACCATCATAAAAAACGATTCAACTAATATGTAAACAAAAATTAGTGTCACCATCAAAGTTTTAAAGAGGATTGAATACTTCAGGTCATGTACTTTTTCCTCAATGATGATATTGACCTCACACTATACCTAGTGATTCAGGAATTTACATGTAGAAACGAATGGATCAAGAAAAAAAATTATACCATATCTATTGGTTCACATAAACCAAAAAGAAAATGTTTTGTTCACTTTTGGTATTGTTTTCACCTGTTTGAGGAAGTTATCAAAATTCATAGTTCATCATAGGGGTATGTACCATTTGAATGTCATAAACTTGTTATCAGAATAGCATACAGGTGGTATCAATCAACCGAAAAAAAAAAACTAGATAAAGTTGGCCTTGTTCCAAACATGTTTGTCAATAATGATAGTTTCCAGCTTGATTTTCTGCATTTCTGTATAATACTCATTCAATAATACGTTCGTATAAATCAGCAACAGATATAATCACTGAAATGGGGTTCTGATAGGATCTTCTGGATTTTTCAACAATGAGGGAAACATTACTCATCCTCCAGAATATTTATTTCATAAATAAAGTATATAAATGAACCACAATAAAGTGTGCAATTCCAAATATTTTGTTAATGAGTAAAATAAACATTTTTAAAAGATTTCAACATTTATTGGAGGAACCAACAACGGATATATATAAACCTAACCTATAATAAATAGATGATCACTATGTGCAAAGATTATGTGGATTCATTTAATAAATAAATGTTATCTCAATGAATCATCATCATAACTATACAAATTATTAACCACTTTGAATTAATGAAACTGAAATAATGATATAGGTATTGTAGGATATTTATATTATATCAAATTTAGATGATCAGATGAAATTATATGATTGCTCCATGTCCCAGACAAGAATTTGAACCCACGACCTTTAACTAGCTTCAATAGTGCAGAAATATAGACACCTTATTCTCCAACAATACTGAGAAATGAGAAAACAATACCTAGTACTGATGAATAATTGATTATAGTCATGAAATGGAGTCTATGAACTTTATAATGTTTACTCTCCACAGTTTATTGACAATAGTAATTGTTGCATTTGTTATTGTATATGTACAGAGTAGATAGTGAATGTAGTACCTAACTAAATACAAAAAATACTTTTATTGTTATTCTTAGCAGTATTTGATATCATATCTTGATTTATCCGGAAAATAATTGATAACTGTTCCTTGGTTGATTAAACTTTTTGATAGCAAATAATTATGAGTTAAATTTTAGTAAAACCACAGTATATACCCTTAAGGGTCTATACTGTGGAAAAACTTCGAATTTTCATATTGGAATAATTTTATTTCTCATTACCTAGTGAGTTGAAAAATATTTTTTAAAATCAATTCAGAGAAATATTTGCTTCTACACTTCAATTTCACAATATATGTCATTTCTTCAAGTTTTGAATACTTGAAAGGGATGTTACCATTTGTTGAAAAGCAATTGTACCATAATCACTGTTTTATGGATTCTAATCTGTTGAATACCTGGTGAAATTCCAAAGTGACTCACCCCTATACATTTTTTATTATTGAATATAGTAAAACAGAATTTCGGGGCTGTAAATTATAGTTCAAATGACATTTTTTGACTTTGGAGAATCACCCGGTATGTATATATTATGTTCTATATCCTTATAATGAACAACCAATGTTTCTTAGGGTAATAAAGCCAATCAGTAAATTGATCAATCAATACACAACCAAATTGGAAATATATTGGAAATCAAATTAATGTTAATATATTCCACTAATCCCTAGTTTGAATCTTTGAATGTTATGAATAACAAATTTTATAGTATTGTTATTTACAGACTACAGAATTAGAAATCCCAAGAAATAAATTCAATTGAAATTTTGAAAACAGTCCATTTTGTATAAAGACATTTCTGCTATGGAATAATCAGGGCATAAAGCTTGGAAATTTCAAATTTGGGCTTCAAGGACATAGCAAAAAGTCAAAAATATCAAAAATCATTTTTCAATTTCATAAAAATCTCACCTGTTCAATGACATATCCCTTCTCAAAATTGTTGTTAGAGCTGCTGTAACCAATCTGACCATATCAGCATACAAAAGCTGTTGGTTTTGCATGGGAAAACACACCATCAACAAGTCAAGAGCAGCTCTCTGCACCAAAACACTCGAATCTTGGACAGCTGCACAAAGGCCAGACACCTAATATAATACAATAATAATAATAATAATAATAATAATAATAATAATAATAATAATAATAATAATAATAATAATAATAATAATAATAATAATAATAATAATAATAATAATAATAATAATAATAATAATAATAATAATAATAATAATAATAATAATAATAATAATATCAAATTGTTTGACAATATCTGAGGGCCACTTCAAAATATTTTTTCATCTCATGTCATTAATTAATTTGTTCTTCATTCATGTTCTTTTTCAAATTGATTTTAATAGTTATTTATGCAACAAGTGCAAAAAGTGAATGTTTATTGCACTCGACGTGAAATTGTCCGACGAGGCCGTTAGGCATAGTTGCATACAACATTTTTTCTACGTTCATGCAAAAAGCAAAAAATGATTTATTGAGGTGCGGCACTAGGTACAATTCTGTTAATTGTCAGAATTAATTTTTGACTGACGTTTCTATAACCACAGTTGCATTACAAAAAATGTTTGTCATGATGACAGCACGTTGAAGTAGAATGGCAGATGAGTGCAATAAAAACTTTATTGCACTAAGTGCAATAAAGAACTTCTTTTTTCCACTAAATATAGTTTAATAAAGGTCTGCTTTTTGCATGAATGTAGAAAAAAGCTTTCATTTAACTTGCATTGTATGTTTGTATGGATGTATGTATGTATGTTCGGGTGGAATCTTTGAACTCAATTTTGAAGTAGAAATCTTCAACCGATTGAGCTGAAATTTTGTATACACGTTCAGTTTGGATGACAATGCACGATAAGGTGTGTCACGTTATTCTAAATCCAATATGGCGGACTATCCAAGATGGCGGAATAGCTATTTTTTATATACTTTTACAATATGGGTATCAAATGAAAAGGCTCGTTGAGAGTAACTCGAAAAATGATGTGACGTCATTCTAAATCGAATATGGCGGACCATCCAAGATGGCGGAATGGTCATTTTTAATCTACTTCTACAATATGGGTATCAAATGAAAGGGCTCGTTGAGAGTAATTCGAAAAATAATGTGACGTTATTCTAAATCCAATATGGCAGACTATCCAAGATGGCGGAATAGCTATTTTTGATATACTTTTACAATATGGGTATCAAATGAAAAGGCTCGTTGAGAGTAACTCGAAAAATGATGTGACGTCATTCTGAATCGAATATGGCGGACCATCCAAGATGGCGGAATGGTCATTTTCGATCTACTTCTACAATATGGGTATCAAATGAAAGGGCTCGTTGAGAGTAATTCGAAAAATAATGTGACGTTATTCTAAATCCAATATGGCGGACCATCCAAGATGGCGGAATGGTCATTTTAATCTACTTCTACAATATGGGTATCAAATGAAAGGGCTCGTTGAGTGTAATTAGAAAAATAATGTGACGTTATTCTAAATCCAATATGGCGGACCATTCAAGATGGCGGAATAGCTATTTTTGATATACTTTCACAATATGGGTATCAAATGAAAAGGCTCGTTTAGAGTAATTCGAAAAATGATGTGACGTCATTCTAAATCGAATATGGCGGACCATCCAAGATGGCGGAATGGTCATTTTTAGTCTACTTCTACAATATGGGTATCAAATGAAAGGGCTCGTTGAGAGTAATTCGAAAAATAATGTGACGTTATTCTAAATCCAATATGGCGGACCATCCAAGATGGCGGAATAGCTATTTTTGATATACTTCTACAATATGGGTATCAAATGAAAAGGCTCGTTGAGAGTAACTCGAAAAATGATGTGACGTCATTCTAAATCGAATATGGCGGACCATCCAAGATGGCGGAATGGTCATTTTTAATCTACGATATGGGTATCAAATGAAAGGGCTTGTTGAGAGTAACTCGAAAAATAATGTGACGTTATTCTAAATCCAATATGGCGGACTATCCAAGATGGCGGAATAGCTATTTTTGATATACTTTTACAATATGGGTATCAAATGAAAAGGTTCGTTGAGAGTAACTCGAAAAATGATGTGACGTCATTCTGAATCGATTATGGCGGACCATCCAAGATGGCGGAATGGTCATTTTCGATCTACTTCTACAATATGGGTATCAAATGAAAGGGCTCGTTGAGAGTAATTCGAAAAATAATGTGACGTTATTCTAAATCCAATATGGCGGACCATCCAAGATGGCGGAATGGTCATTTTAATCTACTTCTACAATATGGGTATCAAATGAAAGGGCTCGTTGAGTGTAATTAGAAAAATAATGTGACGTTATTCTAAATCCAATATGGCGGACCATTCAAGATGGCGGAATAGCTATTTTTGATATACTTTCACAATATGGGTATCAAATGAAAAGGCTCGTTTAGAGTAATTCGAAAAATGATGTGACGTCATTCTAAATCGAATATGGCGGACCATCCAAGATGGCGGAATGGTCATTTTTAGTCTACTTCTACAATATGGGTATCAAATGAAAGGGCTCGTTGAGAGTAATTCGAAAAATAATGTGACGTTATTCTAAATCCAATATGGCGGACCATCCAAGATGGCGGAATAGCTATTTTTGATATACTTCTACAATATGGGTATCAAATGAAAAGGCTCGTTGAGAGTAACTCGAAAAATGATGTGACGTCATTCTAAATCGAATATGGCGGACCATCCAAGATGGCGGAATGGTCATTTTTAATCTACGATATGGGTATCAAATGAAAGGGCTTGTTGAGAGTAACTTGAAAAATAATGTGACGTTATTCTAAATCCAATATGGCGGACTATCCAAGATGGCGGAATAGCTATTTTTTATATACTTTTACAATATGGGTATCAAATGAAAGGGCTCGTTGAGAGTAATTCGAAAAATAATGTGACGTTATTCTAAATCCAATATGGCGGACCATCCAAGATGGCGGAATAGCTATTTTTGATATACTTCTACAATATGGGCATCAAATGAAAAGGTTCGTTGAGAGTAACTCGAAAAATGATGTGACGTCATTCTAAATCGAATATGGCGGACCATCCAAGATGGCGGAATGGTCATTTTTAATCTACTTCTACAATATGGGTATCAAATGAAAGGGCTTGTTGAGAGTAACTCGAAAAATAATGTGACGTTATTCTAAATCCAATATGGCGGACTATCCAAGATGGCGGAATAGCTATTTTTGATATACTTTTACAATATGGTATCAAATGAAAGGGCTCGTTGAGAGTAATTCGAAAAATAATGTGACGTTATTCTAAATCCAATATGGCGGACCATCCAAGATGGCGGAATAGCTATTTTTGATATACTTCTACAATATGGGTATCAAATGAAAAGGCTCGTTGAGAGTAACTCGAAAAATGATGTGACGTCATTCTAAATCGAATATGGCGGACCATCCAAGATGGCGGAATGGTCATTTTTAATCTACGATATGGGTATCAAATGAAAGGACTTGTTGAGAGTAACTCGAAAAATAATGTGACGTTATTCTAAATCCAATATGGCGGACTATCCAAGATGGCGGAATAGCTATTTTTGATATACTTTTACAATATGGGTATCAAATGAAAGGGCTCGTTGAGAGTAATTCGAAAAATAATGTGACGTTATTCTAAATCCCATATGGCGGACCATACAAGATGGCGGAATAGCTATTTTTGATATACTTCTACAATATGGGTATCAAATGAAAAGGCTCGTTGAAAGTAACTCGAAAAATGATGTGACGTCATTCCAAATCAAATATGGCGGACCATCCAAGATGGCGGAATGGTCATTTTTAATCTACGATATGGGTATCAAATGAAAGGGCTTGTTGAGAGTAACTCGAAAAATAATGTAACGTTATTCTAAATCGAATATGGCGGACTATCCAAGATGGCGGAATAGCTATTTTTTATATACTTTTACAATATGGGTATCAAATGAAAAGGCTCGTTGGGAGTAACTCGAAAAATGATGTGACGTCATTCTAAATCGAATATGGCGGACCATCCAAGATGGCGGAATGGTCATTTTTAATCTACTTCTACAATATGGGTATCAAATGAAAAGGCTCGTTGAGAGTAACTCAAAAAATGATGTGACGTCATTCTAAATCCATTTTGGCGGATCATCCAAGATGGCGGAATGGTCATTTCAATATACTTCTACAATATGGGTATCAAATGAAAAGGCTCGTTGAGAGTAAATCGAAAAATCCAGCTAGCAATAACTAAAAATTACAAAATAAATTAAAAGTAAAAAAAAAACTTTTCAATAGAAAGCTTTTATTCAAACGCTTTAAAAAGAAGAAAATAAAATTTTTCTTAATAATTTTAACTATTAACTTATAACCTCATTATACAATACAATATTTAATTAAATTGTAATTTCAAAAATTTTATCTCAGCTGATTTTACATAATTAAATAAGTACTAGTTCATTCACACAAGTGAATCATGTGACAAACTTTTATGATCATATAAATTGTGTATAATGAGGTTATAAGTTAATAGTTAAAATTATTAAGAAATATTTTATTTTCTTCTTTTTAGAGCATTTAAATAAAAGCTTATTATTATAAAGTTTTTTTTACTATTAATTTATTTAATACACTACTTTATTTATCCCAATTGGAACATCAATAATGAAAAATCATAAGAATTTATTGAAGTTGATTCATGACTTTTTGACAAATCATTAGCTCACCATGAGTCCTATATCATTTCCCATCAGGTACAACTGATCTTCCATGGACATTTTTTTGCTATAATGTGCCAAGACATAGCTAATGGCAGGCAGTCTTACAGGGCTATTATTTGCCACACATTGCCAGATACAAGTGTAGAAATAAGGTGGTTCTACACCATCACATACATTCTCCAGCAACAAATTTGTCCTGGAAAAATATCAATCATAATTTTCCACAGGTCAAATCACAAGGATTAGAATTGTTGATTGCAAGTTCATCTCTTACTAGATCTCTTATAATTATAATCCGATGGTTTACCTATCAAAATGGTCAGTTCCAGTGTCCAGACCAGGCAAAATGCCACTTAAAAATCCACTAAGGGCAGGCCTTAATCTATCTGTGAGTGGTACAAAATGGGTTTCATAAATTGTTAGTAGAGTGGGCCTGATTTTCATGGCTGCATGGCCCATAAGTGGAAAAAGGCCTAAAAATTATTACAAACTATTAGAGAATTTTAATTAACCAACATTATTCTGAAGGGAAGCTTATATTTTTGCTGGCAAAAAGAATTCTAAGATGTTGAGAACAACAGGTCATTTTTATTTTGTTCATTCAATTTCAGTATAATTATTGCAATTTCAATAGAAAAGTTTTCTTTTATAACCAAATATTTCAATTTATTAAAAAATTTATCAAATAAATTGAGAGAAAACCCAGCCCATATTATTTGCCCTGATAAGCATATCTGCAGAATGTGGTAAGTAATTAAAAACCACAAGTTTACAACAAATTGGAAATACAGGTATATGAATCTATTTTACTGGTAGATTATAAATGCATAGCTGATAAAAATGCTAACCAAGTATTGATATACATTTGCTGAAATAAGAATAAGCTGTTAATGAGCATATTTATAGCAGGAAAAACTTTCATTCTTTATATTTTTTCTCATAGTAAAACTAACTTTTCATGTGACCAAAAACTCCTGAAACTCTTTTATTTCCATTATATTTGTTAGCTATCTGCCTTCAATTCTGAATTTCTCTTGATTGTCTTGATCAAACTCAATGACATTTATTTTGATAATTCTCATTTTATTTACATCAACAACATGCTATTGCCAAATAGTAGATTAGATAAAACCATTAACCAGTAAATACACTAAGAATATTCATGATTAATAGATGTATTCATTACTTGAGGAAACCACACTGACCTTACACCAAAGACAATAGTATATGGGTTTCAATTTACTGGGATTGAATGGTGAATCTATATAAGTATAAAGATTTGACAAAAAAGAATTAGCCCTACTCACCTGCACTATAAATGAACAACTCATGAGCCAATCTTTTAGTTCCCATGCACCGAAAAATTATATCATATGTTTCTAAAGCCTTCAAATGGACTCCTGATGGTAAAGCAGGATGCATACATTGAGCCAGCCTCTTACTTATCTTTATACGCCTGGGAATAACAGGAAATTTTGTATAGCTCAACAAAACCTAGAAAAAAACATTCTATAATATGAAGACAGCTGAGGGTTATGTATTTAAGATTACCTTGTTGAGTTTTCCTAGTGCTGAAATAAGGTCTGCCCATTCTGATGTATACTCAAAATTTTTCAGAGCTTTATCTACTGCCGCTACATATAAGCGGTATTTAGAGTCTTTCATCAAATCATATTCTTCCATAGCCACAGTAGACATTTTTTGAACAAATTATACAATCATCTAAATATAAACTTTTTTGGTGTTGCTCACATTGTTCAAATATTGATGTAGGTATACTTTTAGCAGACACTGTTTTAATGATATTGAATTATGACCAAATTATGACGATATAGATCACCTAATTGCAGTTAACAAACTGATCAGCTGTTTGTACCAAATGTATTGCCTTCTTGACCTGCAACTTCAAGTCCTTTTTTCAAAAATCCAGTTCACCAATGGAATTCTAGAATCCAGTCTTTTTTCGCGAAACTTCCGAAACAGTACTTAGGACATTTGAAAATAAAGCTTCCCGATAAACAAACTCCGATGTTCATTCTCTACCAGCAGAAAAAGTAGACTCTACGATGGTACCAAATACGTTCGTCTCGTCAACAGATTTTTAACAGAATGGAATAATAAACATCAAACATGATGAGATGTTTATAATTCCTATGGTGTGCCCACTTGTCAATTGTTTCGTCAGACTAGCTCTCGATATGGAACAATTGAATGCGAGTTCGGAACGTGGGGTTCTCATGTTCAGCGTTAGGTGGCGTGTAGGCGTGAACAGGATGAACGATCAAGGTTGATAAAACTGATTGTGGCAAAAGGTAAATAAAAAATATAATTTCATGACATTTTACTCGACATCTGTCAAGATTGTCATGTCTCACGTCCCAAGTCATTCTTCTTGAGATGGTTTTTTGAGCTTCGTGAATCTTGATAAATTTAAAATTATTCAAATTTATCGTTTAAATCGGATATATTCATTGCAAGGTATTATTTGTATTGTGTTGTGTGTGTACTTTTTTATCATGGACTGGCGTTGCTGTTATGTGTGCGGATCACATAAAAATCCGGAAATACGAATGTTTTCTGTACCAAAAGTGAGTAGGAATTAATATTTCAATATATTTACTTATCATTACATAAAGAACTAAATTATTTTTCTAGCAGAATAGCTACCTATCAATATCATGCATGACAACAATCTACTTGAGAATAAAATGAGAGGTGAATTAAAATATTGGAAATACACCAGTTAACAAAAGTTATCATTATTGATACAGCTAGGACATGAGTTATGTTGTGCATTAATCCATTACCAATATATGAGATTGAATTCAATAAAATTTTCTTGGCACCTTTTCCAATCATTATAGATGATACAATTTATATAATGAAGGGCAGGGCATGAATTTTGATGATTTATCCAGAAGAAAAATGCTTTGCATTTGTAACTCACTTGATTAGGGGCATAATCCTTCCCCTTCCTGCCTTGCTCATGCTAAGATGTGTATATATTATATGTTTATCTTTTGTGGTGCACAAAGTGCAACTAGAGATCATATATGTTCTTGGGAATACTTCATTTGGCAAAGAATTCCAAAGCTTTGCTGTTCCTTAGACAAACAAGCTCTGGTAATTGGTAAATATGTACTGCTTAAGCACTTCAGTTTTATGCCCTGCTCCCCTAATAACTCCATAAAATTCTATTTAAAAGTGGAGGTTGAATTATAATTCCAGGACAAAGATGAACTACAATTGTGGGCTGATGCCACATCAGGCAACTTACCCCCAAGTGGATTTGTGTGTGAGAGACATTTTTCCAATGATGCCATTGGAAAAAAGAGATTGAAAAAAGCTGCCTTACCTTTGGAGATGTTAGTATTTTATTCCCATTTTTAAGTTTCCTCATTATTAGTTCTCATGATTGAATTTCTTTAATTTTGAAAAAGCAATATTTCAATATTGATCTGAAAACATATTCCATTGCCCTTCATAATTATTATAAATAAAATACATCCATTGTTGACTTTGTTTCATATAATGTGTACACAGGGTGGTAGTGAATAAGTGCAACAGGGTGAATCCTTCTGATATTTTAGGAAATAAAGTTTATATAAACAGGTATCCTAACTTGCCTCACTTTTGAGGTACATGATGTTGAAGTTGGATGTGTATTGTTTTTTTATGATTCCCCTGTATAAAATTCCATGGGTGACTGAAAGTCCCAAAATTTTAAATGAGTTTATTGAGTAATCACAATGGGAGTCTTGGGAGCACCTACATTGAAATTTGAAATCAAATTGAATTGTCATTATTTCCTCAAAAACTGAGCCAAATCCTAAAGTAACACTAGAGATAAAAGAGTTGTTATTTCAATTCGTTAATCTAATAAAAATATGGATCCCAGAAACACCAGTGGCTCACAATGATAGTCACAATAATCAATAAAAGAAAGACATTTAACTTATGAGTAATGAATAAAAAACCCTGTACCTGAGAATCAAGCAACTAAGGACACAGGTTCATAGGACAGTTATTTCCTAAAATATCACAAGGAATCACAGACTTAAGTACCCTGTACCTCTGTAGTTAAAAGTTATCATTTTAAAATTGAATAATAATGATATGTCAATGGTCCTTCAATTCTTTTTAAAAAAAGAATAGTTTTTGCAAAATTCTTCACTTTCATTTATTTGTTGAATAATATTCGTTGAAATACAATGTCTATAGTTGAAAATACTCAATATGAATGTCAGGTATACAACTTTCTTTGATCTTTATTAGCAAGTTTGGTTTGGGATTTTCTCTCCTTTCTATAAGATGAAGATATGAGTATTATTTGGTATAAGTCACTGTATTGTATTTTTTATGTTATACTAATATGAATGTGTTTACTCAGTATATTTTATTCAAATAAAAGTAATATAAATGATTCATCAATTTATTAAAATTATCCTTTTCTTCAGTCTAGTTCAACAAAATTCCACTCCAGTCAGTCCTTCTCCCAATCCCAGCTCCCAAATAGAGCCAGCTGTAAATGCAATTGTTTTTCCTTCACGTTCAATAGAGAATCCCACCCCTATTGCCACTGTAAAACCAGTAAACAATAATTTGAATGGTATTTTTCAAGAGCTGCAATCCAGTACCCAATTGATACTTCCATCTGTTTGGGGAGTTCATAGATTCATTAGAAAACCATATTATTCTTTTAACAAAAATGTGCATGCAGGATGATTCAACAATTTCGAATGAGAGAACTATAATATTGAGTTCCTCATTCCTCATTCATCATAGCCAGAGCTGGAGAAAAATATACGAATCTTGAAAATACAATAACCACTGTGGAAGATCTTCAAGAGTTGATTGTTAATATGGATTCATGGAATATGTGCTATGGCAAAAGCAAATCCTGTTCAGTTCTTATCCCAGCAAATTACTACTCTTGCAAGGCCTGCACAAGTTATAAATATTTTATAAGAAAAGGGCAGGAAGAACAACCAAAAATTGTCAAGAAAAAAACATAAATATAATTACACAACCTATCTATAAAAAAGAAATGCACATTTGAGTAGAGTTGTTGTTAATTTGAGAAAAGAAAATGCTAACATGGTCAAACTAGATGAACTTCTCAGTACTCTACCAAAAGTTCAACAAGATATGATAATCCACACCTGTTTAAAATATTCCAAATGCAAATCTACTGTTAGAAGATACACATTAGAATGGGTGTATAATTGCATTTTGATGAAAATCAAAAGTCCCAAGCTTTATAACCATATCCGAGATAATCAAATTATGGCCATGCCATCTCCTAGCACTCTCTCTAGGTGAGTTATACAGGGTTGGCAAATATATGGAAACAGCTAATTTCTGACTAAACCAGCAGCAACTTATTTCTGTTTTTTATCAAGAAGACCTATAATTCGTTCTGTTCTACTCAGTGGCCAATGTTGAATTTTGGTAGCTAACATATTGTTGTAATGAAATGATAATTGATAAAATTTCCTACTGATTAGGTCTGTTAGGATAGTATTTATTGTATGCATTGCATTGCATAATTACATTGTTACTATTTCTTGACCTCTATTGTAAACTGTTATAATTTTCATTATCATAAGTGTAGTTGATAAAAGTAAAATAGTAAAAATCAGTTACTAATTATTAAACGTAGCACACGCACATTCTTATAAGAAAATCGTGTGATACATGTTCATATTGTTGAAAAAAATTGCTATAATGAATACCTTTTTTTTTTAAATAGCAGTCGGAAAAAATATCTACATACAGGGTGATCCATTTTAAAAAATTGCTGAGCACACCATGCGAAAATATGATAGCTATCAAAAATCAACATTATCAACTGAATAGAACAGAAAAAATTATTAAGGTCTTAAATAGTTTTCAATACACCAAGGCAGGAAAAAAAAGCATTATCCAGGGACCAACATTATATACACAGGCTTCAGCTTTTTTTCCACCACTAGCAATATATTTCCCTCATTATATTTCTGGGAAACTGAATAATGGACATTGTCAGTATGAAAGCAGTTCTTTTCAATTCTGATTAAAATCTAGTAACCATGCCCATGATAGCATTATGACAAGTCAATATTGATAAATAACTACTCGATTCGACTGCCATTTCTGTGTATCACGCATCAGAACAGTGAATTTGTTTCAACCAAACTATGTCTTAATTGACTATTAGTTCATAAAATGATGAAAACTACATTGGTATAAAAAAAACACATTTTATGCCTTGAAAAGGTGTAACGAATGGGAGATGTAAAAAAACTTCACAAATGATACCACAAAATTCTTAATCACACAACATGTTAGCGAAACATGTCATGTGATTGAGAATTTTGTGCAAACATTGTTTGTGGATTTCCACCAAGTAACGGGTGAGTCAATTCCAAATAATGGGAGGGTCTATAACTTGTGGTGGAAAAAATATTTTCTTCTATATCTACAATACAAAAAATGAAACATAACTGGGTCAATACTGCCATTTTTAGTACCACTGAAAAGAAACTACAGATTAGCTCAATATAGTATGGTATTTCCCATTAATTAAAAAAAATACTTAATAGGTAGTCAGCTAATATTAATTTTCTTTTCAGTTCTACTCAGGATGGCAATGTAGATTGCCAAACTACATAATATGTATTTTGTTTTGAGATAAGCATGCTGAACAATGGAACCTC